TGCATAGAAATCAGGAAAAATGGATAACTGACAGGTTTGAAAATTTTAAATTTTATTTAAAATTTTAAATTTTGACATTTTAAATTGGAACAGATGTTGTTATTGTTATCTTCCCTTCAAATGTAGATGTCTGCTACTGTGTCAGTAAGCAGGGAGAAGGTAACAGAGCTTTTGCAGGAAGGATTAACTACATTTTATTTAATTAAAACTTTTAAAAATAAATTTAAAACTAAATAATGAAATTTAGAATTTGTTTAAAGCAGTTTATAAATTGATAAGTTTTATTTTTCACCCTGTGTTTAGCAATTTACCAAATCTATAGCTTATTTTTTATAAGATTTATTTAGAAAATGATAATTTTTAGAGAAATGCATCTTCAGTTATGGAAAAACCATGCATTGCAAGGAATTTGGGGAGTGCGTGTTTTCAGACTGGTTACGTTGGTAAAAAAAGTGATTGGCAAGCTCATTCTAGAGGTCTTAGGGGCCCAAAGAAGCCCCGGCCTTAGGATTCTGACAAGCACCATAGTAGCCTATTGCTCATATGGACCACACATCATATGCACTGATGTTTCAGCAAAGTATTTATGCTGTAGTAATCAGTATGTAAATACTCACTATTGTCTCGTATTTAAATGAAGCAGAACTGACAATTGAACAGGACAAATGTGATTTACATAATGGAAATATAGGCATTTTCAGTGTAGTGAAACTCGATGTTTTGCTGTGTTGCAAAATGTAATTGCTAATATATACACATCAAAGATTTTCTAGTCATTAAACAGTGTAGTTTATGGATAATTGGCTCATTTAAAATAACAAAGTTGATGTGATTGTTGTTGTTGTCGTTGCTGCAGCTGCTACAGCAGTTAAATTATGTTAGGTTTATAATGTCTTAACTGCTATTTCCATGCAGGCATGCATTTTTAAGCACACAATATTTAATCCCTGCTATGTGAATCAGAAAATCAAGCCATTGATTAATTAAGACATTATAATCTTTCATTTTAAGATATCAGAATTACAGCATTAATGCCTCTTATTATTTCCTTCGACATGTACTAGTGTTGCAAATTTTTTCAGACCATGCAGTTACCAAAGCCGGGGTTTGAGTACAGGACCTTACCTTATACTGGTTAAGATCTATGGAAGAACTCCTTCAGCTCAGTTTGGCAGCAGCTTTGTCAGGACACGTTGAGACGGTAATAACTTATGTCAAGTTTGAAACTTCAGTTTTTGACGGTAACGACTCCCAATGCTCGGGCAATATTTGGTAGATGTTTTAATGTACAACAGGGGAAATTTCTCTAATTTTGACTATTTTAATACTTTTCAATGATTTAAAGTGGGAGACAGTATGTGCCATCATTTTTAAGCCTTATTTGTGTGAGAGTTGGCTAATCTTACTTTGTCAGAAGACATAGCCCGTGGTGATATGGTAACCTCTTTGCTTACCTTAAGATTACCTCTGTTTGTCTTTTTATATCCTAAGCAAACAATGTAACAGTTGATCATTGATAAATAATGTTTCAATATATCAATATGCCATGCAAATGTATTTATGATTTTAAATATACCATTATTTTTGTTAACGCGTATAAAAAAATCCTGAATTTGGTCTTTTAGAAATTCATCCCAAATTTTTCATTCCAGCGTGTGTTCTTCTTTCAGTATTTATCTGAGACTAAAAATATAGCTACTATTTTTTCGAAGTCCAATGCATCAAAAGAAACCATTTTTCTTAATTTGATAGAAAAAAAGCCTGTTATATTACAATATATATTAGTCTCTTTTGTTACTATTTGTATATGCTGTTTGTATATTTGTTACAGTTATAATAAAAAGCAGACTTTGTTTAATTTGACTACTGTTTTGTATGTTTCAAAGAAAATACATTTAATATTTTTATTTTTAGCAAGCCGACCAAAGTTCATGATGAACAATGTCTTTTGTTCGCCCATTCATCTATGATATACATATACAATTCTGGTAAAATCCAATTACTCATTGAAAAGTTTAAAAGAATATCTGGTCATCAGATGTCTACTAGTTCATCGTCACTTGCTGCATTTCTTAGGATTTGTTTAAAATTGTATCTAATTAGGCATATTTAAATTACAAATTGTTGTCAGACATATTTTCAATCATAAGAGTACCGATACAGACATTGCTTTTCTTTTGGATGTCAAATATATACATTCGTTTTACATTATCTCTGTTTCTGTTTACATCTGAAATCACGTGGTAAAACTACTTTCAATCCGTATTGTTTCCGAGGTTATTATAGATAAAAGCCGAGGACGTTCCGATTGTCACCGGGGTGGTCCGGGATGATCAGAAAAGTATAGTTTTGCCGGCCTCATCCTTAGCTCTGCTGGGAACGACCGGGGTTACACCGGGGAAGCACCGTAGCTCAGCCGGCAAAAACCGGAGATGATCCAGGGTATGATATAGCCGGTAGAGCTACGGTAGAGTCCCGGTGAATGCTGGCAGAGCTCCTATGAATGCCGGCAGAGCCCCGGAGGATGCCGGCAGAGCCCCGGAGGATGAAGATGGAGCTATGGTTGATCCCGGTAGAGCCCCGGCAAAGTCCGGTTCATTTCAAAAGAATCATAACAATTTACGATGATGCACCCTTCCCATTTCCCTTCTATCCAGTCTTGCATACGGATTTTTCAGAAAATTCTCATGAATTCATGTTCTGGAACAAAAGATATTATATTAGATAAATATTATATATCAATGTTATCATTTTCGCGCGTTTTCAATTCACTGGGGTTCTACTCAGGCTCTGCCTGGATCGTCCTGGGCTATGCTGGGGCTCTGCCTGGATCGACGAGGGCTCTGCTTGGGTCAATCGGGTTACCCAGTGCTGGGTAAGAGCAAAGCACTTTAAAACACAAAATGATTGTGAGAACTATTATGTACCCATTAGGAAAAATAATGACTTCTCTCTCAACCCTTAGGATAATTTATGATACTTCTACTGTCTATGTGCTATATGGTACTTTGCTCTCACCCGGATAAATAATGAAATCACTTTCAACCATTACGATAATGTATGTGGTATGGAATGCCAGTAGGGACATATATGGCTGATATGTTACTGAGAATGCCTAATAACATGTTTGAAGCTATAGATCATTTTGTGCAGCTTAAGTCAGTGATTGTGAGGCATTTATAGACACTTGATTAGTCCCATAGTATATAATAGTTATCTCGGTCATTATGTGTTTTATAGTGCTATGATCTCACCAAATAGGAATAATGACATCTCTCTCTCAACCATTAATAATTCTTTCACTCATATGTGATACATGGTACTTTCTCTCACCGAATAGGTGTAGATATGTTTACATTGATGTGTTTTAATAAATAAATATACACCTTTGATATCATGCATAATCACATTCATCATATTTATAATATTATTATATTGTATGTATTCTCTTATGTTTCTTTAGAACAAACATCACTTTTCTCTCCTGTTTGTATTCCCATGTGTCTTTAAACGGCCACTTTGAGTAAATGCATAATCACAAACATCACATGTATACATAACATTTCTCTCCTGTTCGAATTTTATTATGTGTCTTTAGAGTACCGCCATCATTAATGGCATAATCACATACATCACATTTAAAATATTTCTCTCGTTTATGTATCCTCTTATGTATCTAAAAAACACCACTATCATTCTTTGAAAATCCAAAACATCACTTTTAAAAATTTCTCTACTGTATGATACGTTATCTTACGAACAAATTAGACTTAATATTTTGTGAATGCTTTATAGTGCTAAATAAAAGTGACCTCTCTGAAACTCGGCAGAGCCTCGTTACAGCCGTAAATAGTCACCCTCGAGCTAGATTATAAGAATCTTACACTGGCTGCCGGTACAGACCGGAATATCTAGCTCGAGGGTGACTGTTTACAGCGGTAACGAGGCTCTGTCGAGTTTACCCGAGAGCTAGATAGTCCCGTCTGTACCGACTGCCAGTGTTTGAATCATTTTCTTGCATATTAATTTACATATCAATTATTTCCAGAACAGAAATTATGAAAACTGATATTCTATTTACGCACGTTTTTCTTATAGAAGCGTATGAAATTACAGCTTCATTCATAACGGTAAAATGACGTCATCCTAATAAAAGGCGCGCGGCAATGACGTCATTAAAAGCACGCGACTTTGTTTTATCTGTGATACGCAGGCTTCATAACCTCAGATCCCCTTTCAAAATTCCATTTTATTTAGTTCCGCCCATTGTTTTTTCGTTTAGGGCACACGCTTTTTATTACTTGGGGACCATACGCCGCTTTTCATGGAATGGCACGGAAGTGTCACATTGAAGGTTCCATGATAACCGCCGTGTGAACACATCTGCGGATGTTTCTAAATTCAAAATTTTACTATTTCATGTTTAAATGTTGAATTCTGCTGAAGCCGGTGCTAGGGGGCGTGGACGGTAACTTGCACTTTCCAGTACCGTCCATGAACAGGCTCAATCAAACCGAGCCTGCAACATTTTCAATTTTGCCGTGTTGGGCTTTCTTTAGAGATTCTGTATTTATCTATTTTGTCTTACATGGAGGGAGGGGGTGGGGGGTGTTAAGGCAAAGTTTTTTAGCACCGGTGTAAACGGTAGATAATCCTGTCTGATATGCAAGAAATTCCGGTCTGTACCGGCAGCCGGTGTAAGATTCATATAATATACAAATAGCAAATTCTAGCGACAATGTCACATCGCGACAACATACCACACGACAACGACTAGACGAAAGTCCGACGCACAAAAGTTTATCAAATCAGCCACCACACATTTTCAGTGCAATGCTTAATTGACATATGCAAGAATTTAAAATTTCAGTTTCTGGGGCTTTTTGACATCATTGAAGGTCTTTTCATACTATAGATAATTTTTTATACTATAGATAATAGATCTACTTATTTAGATAATACTTCTTCTAGATAATACTTATTCTATCAATATCTAACAGAATAAAATGGCTGTTAGAAATGCTTTGAATGCCGCCTTAGACGAAGAACTTGAGAGAGACCCAAAAGTGATTCTGTTGGGAGAGGATATTGGTATATTTGGAGGATTAGAGCAGGTGAGGAAAATTAGTGCTTGATAAATGGAACACAAATTTTATAAAAAGCGCTCTTAGACATGTGTTAATAAACTAAAAGCCACAGTGTGATTGTAAGTCTTATTTCTAAGTCACATATTTATAACTGTTTAAAAAGGCCAGGTAAAGGATTTATTATGTTGGTTTATACGAGTATACATGTTTATAACTTGTTTCATCTTATTAACTACCTGGTGTGTCTAATTACTTAGATTGTTCCGTTTAACAGCGTAATAGTCGTCTTGAACAGTCACACAACACTTTTGTATGAGACACCCTTATTGGTTGAAGCAACTGTTTTATTAGACGCCGCGTGCACGCGGCGTCAAGTAGATATGAATTCGTCTATTCAGCAATGGGGAAAAATTTTGTCTTGCTTTTGTGTATATTTTTATTGTTTCAACAAAATCACAATGTTTACAGATTTTTAAAAAAAAAAATAGCTTTTCTGATCACCGAGCTTTAATGAATTAAAATTAACGTTTAACTGAAGTGATAGTGCCATGTTTGAATATCATATTCTTTTTATCATCATCTTATTTCATTTTCCTAATAAATAACGTGCAAATGAGCCACTCTTTAGTCGGTCACGGTTAAGAGAGGTAACGACTGAAGCAGTGTCACTCACTTCATTTGCACCGCCTCTGTTGAAGTACGGCTCTGCCTTAAATTGTCGCCAAATTTAATATGATGCTCTAGCATTTAGTCTTCGTTGACGGAAGGAAGGAAACCAGGGCAACTATTATCAATATGACTTCCTTACAAAATTAGGACGAATCATTAAATTGCAAGATACATAGCCTAAATCATGCCAATTATCAGAGAGGCTGTTCTCTCTAAACCGTTAAAAAGAACTATGTCAGGACGGGAACCAAATTCGGACAGGGAACAAGGGGTATGACTTAAATACACAACGGAGATTTTTTTTGGCGCTACGGGCGCAACGGCAATAATATTTTGCAAAACAGGCAAAACGTGGGCTAATTCATGAAAATGATTAACATTTAAGTTAAAACAAATCAACTGAGTGAAAAAAGTACGTTTTTTTAAAAAATGGATCACAAATATTTAGAATAGGTTATTTTGAAGGATTCTGTGACGATTGCTCTCTTTTGTCTGATTTTATTACATTTAGTGGTACTATACCTAGATTCCAGGTAAATATGCCATCTTATGTTTAATCAAATAGTTTAATCTTTTGTAAATAAGTAAACAATATGTTACTAAGAATTAATTATATTTAACAACTTATTCATAACTATTATTTAATATTTCAGACATATTTTTTCTATTTGTAAAATAACAGAACAGTTCGTCCACAAAACATTATGCAATCCGCACCAATATTAAAAAATACATAGAGGATATTCAAGTTTTTTCTATAAATACATGATTTATTTTCATCGAGTGGTATGAAAATAAATATTTCATGAGTGGCGGTAGCCACGAGTGAAATATGGTAATTTTCATGCCACAAGATGAAAATAAATCATGTATTTATAGAAAAAACTTGAATTTTCTGTTTATTATATTTATTTTTCTCTTTCAGGACATTAAAATTTGCAAGACTTTCACTTAAATTTTGAGTACTGGCAGAATTTAAAAGAAAGTAGTCCGGCAAGACACCAGTGAAAATACGGAAAATATGTTTCACTGCAGTGAAAAATAAATTTTTGCAGTGAAAATACGGAAAATGAAAATACGCATTTTATTTCATCAATATTTCTCAATATTTCATTTAAAAGTATATAATAAATAGAGGATATTCAAGTTTTTCTATAAATACATGATTTATTTTCATCATGTGGTATGAAAATAAATATTTCATGAGTGGCGGTAGCCACGAGTGAAATATGGTAATTTTCATGCCACAAGATGAAAATAAATCATGTAATTATAGAAAAAACTTGAATTTTCTGTTTATTATATACATTTTTCACTTTTTTGCGATAAAATTTGAAAGACTTTCCCTTGAATTTTGTGTACTGGCAGAATTTAAAAGAAAGTAGTCCGGCAAGACACCAGTGAAAATACGGAAAATATGTTTCACTGCAGTGAAAAATAAATTTTTACAGTGAAAATACGGAAAATGAAAATACGCATTTTATTTCATCAATATTTCTCAATATTTCATTTATAAGTATATAATAAATTGACATATTCTCGGCGCAACCTCTGTCTGTGTCTTGAATTTATTTTAAGTACATTTACCAATCATCTCAATTTTACTTGTTTTCCAATTTACTTTGCTTCGACCAGACCTTTCAATCTTTGTCGCAACAGACAAACATTTCAGAATTTCAGACATGGCATTACTTTGTGAATTTATGCACTAGGTTCTACTTTTTCAAAAAAATATGCAACTAAATTATTTAACAACGAGCACATACCAAGACCATGGAAAAAATGATTAGTTCTTCGGATATTCAACTGTGAAAGAGAACGATTCTCAAGGCTGATTTTGTACATTACTTGTGACAGTTCACATCATTTGGCGGCGTCTTTGTTGTGCAGCATCAACATTTAACTTGTTCTATAACTTTTAATGTGTGTATTGTTGCTATTGTTCACATACTATCACGTGAAGCGTGTTACACATAGCAGCCTCGTGGGGAGGCTGTGAAACGTGCCTTCTATTACTACTCTTATCTATTTTTTAAATGTATTTTGCGAATCAATATGTAAAGTTGATTAATGTTGTAAAAGAAATGGTCATTGTTTAATTCAAGGTAACAAAAGATTTATGGAAGAAATGGGGCGATAACAGGGTTAAGGATACACCGATAACAGAGGTAAGCTTTTTTTATTTTTAGACCAATCACAACGTTTCGTATTACATGTATTAGGATACGAAAGTGTCATATAAAAGGTTCAGTTTTGACTGTCGTTTGCACACTAAATGATACAAATTCTAAATTGCATCAATTTCATATTAACATGTTGAACTATACGTGAGCCGGTGCTACCGAGGGAGCGTCGATGGTACATGTAGTTTGAATTTACTACATTTTTTAAAATGCCTCAAAGAAACCGATGCTGCAGTATTTTCTATTTTCGTACTGGGCGACCTATAAGGTTTCCATGTTATCTATATTATGTTTTTAACTCATGTTGACATATCTTGTAACAGTCGTCCTGTTTTTGGTAGTAATGCTCGAGTTTTCTGTTTAAACTTACATAATTTCTCTAGGAGCTATACAATACCTCGTACAAACTAAATGTCATAATTTCAACTCAAGCATTTTCTTGCTTTTTAGATGGGTTTTACCGGACTTGCTATTGGTGCTGCCATGGTATACTTGTTAAGCACCTTTCACTTATAGAATTGATTGCACGTATGGTGAATTATATTATTAGACGCAATATTTGTGTATTGGCATAAATCATGATGAAAATATATGATAAATAAATATAAATAATAAATCAAAATATTCATGTGCATTTATCTTAAAAAATCCTAAAGCCAAATGTTTTCCCAAAGAATGACATTTGATTAGTATAACTTAAACATATTGTAAATGAATATTTAACTATTTTTATGATAGTAAGTCGGAAAATATTCAAATATTTATTTTCGTGTGTCAAGAACTGTTTGAAATGCTAAACTTATGAAATGTTTGATTCATTCTTTTTTTCCAGGCTGGTTTGAAGCCAGTATGTGAGTTCATGTCTTTTAATTTCTCAATGCAGGCAATCGACCAGGTAAAAATACAATCAAGTCATTTATTTCAATCAAATCAAATTTGTTTGTATGGAACGAAAACTATACATTTATATCTTATTCAGTTATTATTTCAGTCATATTTCTAATTTAATTCTTTAATCTAAAGATATATAATTAAAAATCATATGAAATATTTGCTTCTTAAATGAATATCTTATTTCAAGCATTTTTTTTTATAAAATCAGATCATCAACTCGGCAGCTAAAGCATGTTACTTGTCTTCAGGGATAGTAAGTGTTTTGTTTGTTCTATGAATATGTTATACTTTTGCGATCATTGACTTAAATTCTTGTGATGTTCGAATCCGTCTCAATAGCGGTGTTACAGGGCGTGACTGACTTTGCATATTTCATTGTCATTATGAATTTATCTGTGTTAGAAATATCACATTAATAGTCCTTTTTCATTTGTCTCGAATACTTATTACAATAATGTATGGTATTAGATCGCAAAATTTGAGTTTGAACAATCGCGAGTTAAAAGGAAATGTTATCAGAACAGGATTTAACGCTATTTCAAATTTGATAATATCTACAAAAAAAACTTATTTTTTATGTAAAAATAACCAAAGTCACGTTGTGTTCTTTAGATCTTTAGCGTTTATATATAGACATAGTCGTTGGCTGAAAAAGGTGTACATTTTAACCACGATTGTTTTGAGTCTATACATGGGAAGCAAGGAACAGAGAAACTTCGCTATTGTCTCTCTCTGTAGCACCGACTTAAAGGCATTCAATCTCCAAAATCAAAAATATTGGGCCAATGATCCCGATAGTCTAGAAACAATATCAGCTTAAGTTAATATAGTTTAGGTCTGAGTAACAGTTTATGTGATTAAGTTTATTTTACTGTTATTTATTATACTTATTGTTAACTTACATTTTTACAAATCATAGATTGCTCCGATTTATACTTCAAGCAAGTTTATACAAATATTTGTGACATTCAATAATTCATTCACATAAGGAAGAAAAATCAAATCCGTAGTCTAATTTACTAAAATCAATACTCTACACGTAGGGTAAATAATACTAAATATTTATAAATTACAAGTTTTCAGTCCCTGTCGTATTCCGAGGACCAAACGGTGCGCTTTTGGGTTGTTCTGCATCACATTCACAATGTTTTGCTTCATGGTATGGGCATTGTCCTGGTCTTAAAGTTATCTCCCCTTATTCTTCAGAAGACTGCAAAGGTCTCCTAAAAGCGGCAATCAGAGATCAAAATCCGGGTAACTTATTACTCATTATTAAGAAGATTGAAGTCGGAGAAGATGTTGTGCTTTTCTTTTCCTTATTGCATGTATATTGATAACGGTTAATGTTTATGTCGTTGGTCACCTTAAAAACAAGTTCTATTTAATGATCGGTAACCTACAGATATTATTACGATTATTTGAATGTTCTTTTATGTTATTCTTTTGTTTTCCTTTTTTCCGTCAGTATTATTATAAAGTAATGTCCATTTTCTCTTTCAGTGATATTTTTAGAGAACAATTGTTTATATAATTCGGTTTTTGAGATGTCTGATGAAGCAATGGACACAGATTTTGTTCTACCAATAGGAAAAGCTAAAATTGAAAGACAAGGTAAATCGATTATTTTACAACTAGTAAAACAAAATGAAAGTCATTGTAAAGACTCACCGGTAGGAAATTTTAGTCACATACTACGCCTATCCTCGGCAATGTCCACTGTATGATTTATGTAGAATACTTCTGAATTGTTTGTGTATTTTGAACGCTGCTGTTTTGAAATTGCTTACAATTTTTATATTAAGAAATGGCATATTATTTTTTGCTTCATACAGGTTAAAGGTTACCATAATATAAAAAAGTACTGAACAAAAATGTAGTTCTTTTTTATCTATAATTGTTACAGGTAAAGATTGTACGCTGGTGTCATTTTCAAAATGTGTCGCACTGTCTTTACAAGCAGCAGAAGAACTTTCAGGCATTGGTGTTGAATGTGAGGTATGATGACCTTAAGTCTTAATGGATCATATTACATACAAATTTCTGAGGCATGTTCCTTGCCTGAAACTCTGCAAAAGCATAAAAGTTGATTTTAAAAGTGCAAGCTTTGAAAACAATCTGCTCCTAAACGGAAATACTTAGAGCTTTGATAATAAGTGTGTAGCATTGTCTAGTGTGAGCCTTTACCAGGTTTTTTTAAATCATAACCCGGGGGGCAATATTGACTCTGCCCTGATCTTTACTTGAATTTACATAAACTAATTTAGAATTTAATAAAAAAATCTTTCACCAGTGTAATAGCAAGACCTAGATCATAACTATTTGTGTATATCGTTGCCTATAGTTGGTCAGTACCAAGTTTGTCAAAATAATTATTTTTGGGTCAAATTTGGGTACCATTGGGGGTCATTGATTTCACATGGTCTTATCTAGAGAAATCGTGTAACGATTCACACTGTTTAGAACTAGGGTATTTGTTGTGATAACTTCTATTTAGTTTGCTCAAAGACAATGAATTTCAATTGAGAGGTCTTTTGCCGCTTTTCATATTACTTTCGGGAAGTTTGATATACCTTTTAACTCACCAGCAAACATTTCTATCAAACTCTTGTTGATCAGACCCTTTATTTAATTTCAAGATTATGAATTGATCAACCGTATTTTGTTCATGCAACATTGGTATGTGATACTTTTGTCTTCTTTTTAGCCAGTGGTGTATAATTGTAATATTTCAGGTGATCAATTTGAGAACAATTCGTCCGATGGACGAAAAAGCTATTTTAAAATCTGTGATGAAAACAAATCATCTTGTAACAGTAGAGGGGGGATGGCCTCAGTTTGGTGTAGGATCAGAAATATGCACAAGAGTGGTTGAAAGTATGTACTTGTCTCTCGTAAAATGCAACTAAAAGAATAAATACGAAAAGTGTTACCTTAGAAATTTCAGCTTCTGATGTGACTCCTTTTCCAAAATCAAAATACATAACATTCAATATCAGCACCGACCGCTCCATCTCATTTAACATTATATTTATGTAGTTTTAGTAAATGCATTTTAACACGAATATAAGCATCTAAACGTATGCTGTCTAACGACAATATGCATGTACAAGGCATACAACTATTTCAATAAATATTATGGTTGCTTCAGGAAAATACTAAACACGTAAAATGCAAAGACACATTAACTACCTATTTATATGTTGTTTTGATTTCCTTTACTTGAATCAGGTTATGCATTACAGAAGTACATTATATTCATGCAAGAAATTTTAGTCCGGATAGGTTATGGGTTTTACACTTGTAAATGCAAATGACAACAAAGTAAAATCATTAAAGATTCTACAGATAGATTGTATTCAATTTTAAATGTTTTGTTTTATTTTTTACAGGTCCGGTTTTTCACCACCTTAGGGCACCTGTTAGTAGAGTTACAGCAGCCGATACACCTCTTCCATACGCTAAATCACTAGAAGATCATGCTTTACCACAGGTCAGCAATATAACAAGATGTGTAAAGAGAGTCTTGAAATTGGAAAAGGACTAATAATAGTCTTTGTGACTTTGCGATCCTATTGAAATAATAAAACTAGTAACAACCGAACTACTTCTAATATCATTAAAAGTTTGACTCCCCCCGCAGTAAATCAGCTTTCAATGATAACACTGTTATGCCGAAACATCGTACACATTATGATAAAAGTCAACTTGTTACAATGGTGCAAAATTAAGAACTCAATACTGTTACATTCGTTCCAAAAAATGTTTGACATATAAAACATACTAGCATCTTGCTTAATATTTATTTATAATATATATCTGTTAAATCATCAGTTAAAGCAGCATTCCTCCAGATTCACGCTAATCATGAAAATTTTGAAAATTTATTTAAAAGTTAATTATTGTGGAGTGAACAAAGAAAGTAATTTACACATTGAAAATGACACTTAGAATCAACGTTAAATACCAAAAAGACTTCAAAATATACACAAATACCTCTTATTGCGTTATTAATCGCACATAACATGTAAATAATTAATGAAATATTGAATCTCTTTTTATTTTTCTTAAGAACTTTAAACATTTTTTTAAAGATTGAAATTCTTTAGATATTTTGACTCATCTGGGGGCGTGCGGCTTTAAAGATAACTGTATGAATGGAATGATATTTATTATTTACAAGGTGTGTTGTGAAATCAATCAAATTATGCTTGCTGTAAATCAACTCATTGTTAAAGTTATTGTTTCATTTGTAGCTGTTGTTTCTGAATATTTTAATATTGTTCGTAGGCCACGTTTAAAAAATAGATATTTAATGATGTTATATCTTCATGTGTTATACCATTTTTTAAATAAAGACATTATAATTATTATAATTTTTATTATTATTATTATTATTATTATTATTATTATTAACAAAAATTGCCAACAAAGAAACTATCTGTATTTCAACAATTTCTAATTAACCGTAGCGAAATAAACCATGACATTATGCTTAAAGTATAGCAGGACCAATGCAATATAATTTTTGAAATGGAAATGTATTGTTATCTCTCAAAATATCAGAAACAAATGTATCAACATCGCTACATAAAGGTGGTTGAAATAACATGTTTTAATGTTGAAATCTACTTAAGTGGGATCTAGGGACCGTGGACAGTAACTTTCTTTACGGATTTTATTTCTCTCTTTTTTAGTATTGACCAATTATATTTCTTATTTCACTTATTTCTACGTGGGTATTATAAATATTTATGTAGCAAACATTAAACCTTTTTTACTGGTTTCTGTTTTCAATAAAGTATAGAAATACATTACTGATTTATTACTTGTAATACAGGACAAATCTTTTATACTAGGGGTTTAAACATATTTAAAGCGAAGAAACAACAATATTAATACACTTAAATGACTATTGAAGAAGCTATGAATAAGGTGATTGTGAAGGCAGCAATTATGTCCTGGTGCTAATTATAGGTAAAAAATGCCCATACTTTGTATTTATATATGCTTTCAACACATATACAGCATTATCAAACGATCAGTAAGAAAAGACAAATTAGTAAAATTTATCAGGTTTTTAATTTAAAAGTTCTTTTTTAGGAAGATCTGACAAATAATAATCCAAACAGGAGCCGAAAGTATCTATATGAATACTAACGAATGTATAATAGTCACGCTTTAACATAACGCAAAGTTTTTTCATATGAATCAGAACTCATAAAATATTAACATATCAGGTTTAAAACATAAGCTATCAGACACAAGTCAAAGAGCAATACACTTAAAATTAAGTGATGCGGAGGTAATGAGTATATAGAGCACAAGTAAAGAATATGAAAGTAACCGTTATTTACTGAGGCTACATAAAGAGCAAATCTTGTAATTATCAGCAAGGACATTTGAGAAAGAAATAATTTTTATGTAATTTCAATTTGCGATTGTGCAAAACACAAAATCTGTCAAAATGTCGCAGAATTTTGCTCGTATTTTTACGAAATTTAACCATAGCACATTGTAAAACCTGGCGTTTTAATCCGTACACAGAACCACTTACATTGTCTGCTTGATTTACATAGGAAGGTATAATCAACTTTTTTTACTTGTGAAATTGAATATGACAGCAGACAAACAATCTTTGTTTTTCTTTATTCTTGGATAGACGATTTTTCAAACTTACGATTTCAGAAACTATATTGAGTTCCGGTTACCTCAAGTAAACGTTGTATTAAAACATCTCCTAAATTTAAATTTAATTTAAATCGGTTTGAAATTTTGGTTTCAACGTGATAACGCTGTAGCAATGTTGCAGAAAAATCTGGAATAATGCGTAGATCCCTGACCTGTTCAATTTTAATGATAAGATTAATGGATACAATAAAAATTTCACTACAACATATGTGTAAACAAAAGAGCATATGTCAATGTTTGTGGTTAAATCTATTCAAATGAAAGTGCAGAGTAGAGATTTATCTTTATACATTCATTAGTTGATTCTACAAAATGTTTTTATACTTATAGTTTTTTCTTTCTTTTTTTATTGTATGTCAAAAGAAGTAATATTAGAATGAAACTGTTAAAACTGTCTCATTAATTCTATTTCTATCAAGTTAGTGAATTGTAAACTATTAATGTAATAATCAGTATTTTTGGGAAATCAAATTTTGGAAATTTTAGATAGATTTTAAAGTCATGCATGTTTGCTTTTCATAATTTAGGTAAAATTGAAAAGAAACATTTATTCTAAAACAATCGTGACTAAGATATTTCGTATCGTATTTTTGTTCAAAACATCCACCTCATTGTTAATTGGAACTTTATAAATATTTAGAGTTTTAGCGAAAAGTATTTGTAACAGTATGGCATATATCAAAGATAAGACCTTGTCATAATCATCTGAATAGACAGACTATCACCTTTCCTGGTATTGCTTTAGAGATAGGATCATTTTCATAGAATCGAAGTATGCTAATTTAACATAAGTTTTCGTTGTTATGTCACATTTAACGCCTTTCTTAGCTTCATCATCCTACCTTGAAGTACCTTCAAATAATCATATACTTTGGTGACACTTTTGAAATGCTTCATCTACAACAAGTTCGTCGCAAGGTTGCAAACAACTGGCTTTCATCCAATTGTTCAAAAATAACCTCTTTTGTACCAACTTTGCGTGTTTTGTTTTCTTTCTAGATAACGTCTGAAATCTCAGGATCATCAAAATGACGAGACATTTATGTCTCAACATATTACCTTTCCTTTAATTTTAGTTTCAAACAAATAATCATGTTTCAAAAGAAAGGGGGTCAACGATCGAGTTATTTTCTTTAAAAAAAATACTTCGGTATCTGATCTTAGATCACTCGGGTTAAATTGCCCGCTCGTAAATTTCACATTAAAAAACAAATTAGACAAAATATTAGACGAAAGAAAAAACTTGTGCTTATCAACATTTACTTGTATGTTTTACGAAACTTTTGTAAATATTGGTGAACATATCTAGACAGTGACTGAAACTTAAAATGAATATAATGAAATGTGATATGTGAGAAAAAGAACGAATTCGGTTCAGATAAAAAATGTAATAAAAATATTTGTATGCGATTGCATTGTTGATTTTAAATGGTTATTAAAACTGATTGAGTTCTGTGCAAGTTGTCACAACTTGGTAAGTTGTCAGTCTGACTTACATGGTGGCTTTTTTGGAACGCTTTTGTGCGTCATGTTGTCGCTAGCGAAAGCATGACAAAGCCCCAAACAGCGCGTTGTTGGACTTTCGTTATGTCGTCCTGTCGCTAACGATGCACGCCGAATGGCGCGTTGTCGTGCGGCGTGTTGTCGCGATATCACATTGTCGCTTGGCTCAAATCGAAGGATTGGCGGTAGAGCCACAAAGTGTACCAAATCAGCCATCGTAGACTTACTTGCTATCTCTTGTTCTCCTCCATCAAAAAAGGATAAGACTGGTGACGTAACGTGAGTTTTCTCCCAGAGAGTGTCGTAAACCGTTCTTTACTTTTTTTCTAAACGAAGACTAGATCTATCTTACATGTTTATTATATCAGTATGTAAAGTTGATGAAATATTTATATTTCTATCACAGGTAACAAGAATCTGTGGAGAAATGGGGCAATCATGGGATTAAGGATGCACCTTAATTTTCATTATTTTCAGACCATACGCAACTTTTCATGGAATGTTACATTAGAGATTCAATGGAAAATGCCGTGTAAACACATCTATGGATTAAACTTAACGTATATTTAACTTATTTCGTAGTTATATTTTGAATTCTACTTGAGCCGATGAAGGAGGAGGGAAGAGGGACAGGGGGTTGGGACGGCCGCCTGCATTTACCACAGTTCTTGAACATGATAAATCAAAGTGAAGCTTCAATGTTCCAATTTTGCTGACGTTAAGCGACCTTTAAGGTCATTTTCATCTATTTTAATTAATTGTATGCTAATTAAAGACACAAAAAGTACATTTCATTTTATGTTTTTAAATTTATAAACCCTGTACCAGTCAACCTCTAATTCTGAACAAACTTACAACATAATGTTTTGTTGTTTTTTTTCTTAATTTCATTTTGCAGCTTCATAAATAAGCGATACTTGTAAACAATAAATTGCCTTTAAAGGTACTCCACTGAAGTTCTCTAGACATGACGAGACTGGAAATTATTTTCCGAGATCATAATATATTTATTATGTTAATATATTTATTCAACATGATAAAATGCCACATATTTTCACTCGCCGTCCCGGCTCGTGAAAATATGTAGCATTTTATCACATTTCGTGAAAATATATTCCATTTTTCATTCAAACGAAAAAATATCCTCTTAATATTTAAGGTAGGGAAGTTGTAAATGTGGAAATTTAATAACTAATGTGAACATGTCTTTAGTAGTTTTGCGCATGACACCATTAATAAACAAGGACACTTTAACTTCACTGGTACCTATGAAAAAGTAGTCTTTTGTAGGTTAATACAGAGTATAAACAGATTACAATTTCAATGTTATTTCATGTTTTATTTAATACAGATACACGATATACGATGTCAAAGAAACAACCGTTCAACATGCTCGTTTCACAACCGACTGCACACCTACATGGTCACTCATTTGCAGTTTTCCGTCCTTAGGAATATATAATCTCTGTGAAAAATATAAGAGTCTGGTAATAACATTTTGTCTTTTTCTTATAAAAAATCATCTCGTTATAATATTAACAATTTTAAATACAACTTGACTGGAGTTCTTCAGAAATGTGCACCATGTAACAAAGGAAAATGTTTAACTCAACCGAAACTCAAAAACTTGTTTAATTTCATTCCATAACAAGTAAAAAAAAGTTTAATTAACAACTAATATTTTATATCATTTCTAAATTAAAGATCAGTATAACAATTGACACGATAATTATGTCATTCATAAAATGTATATCTTTTCCATCTTAACCCATTACCATATATACACGCTTCTTATACGCTTCTTATCCCCTATCAAAAAGATACATCGGGGGTGCAGAGGGGGGATGTGCCCCCTTCTGCTTAGGGCAGCACCCCCCCCCCCATCTCCAAGAGAGTTTGAGAGGCCAAGAGGCCAAAAATGGCTTCGTGTTGATCTTGACGTAATAAGTAACCAACGCTGAAAAGCCTTTGACACTATCTAAATCCATTGAGAAGTTGCAGTCCTTTGAAATCAGTTTTGTTGGAAAAAAATCAGCGCAAAATACAAAAAAAAAAATAGTGAGCTATTGACACTTTTAATGTATTTCTTTAATAAATTTGATTAAGTAAGAGTCGAATTCATTTTTATCTTCTTTTTTTTTATAAATGTCAGTATTTCAATGAAAATGTTAATTACCTTGGTTTTACGTATGATAAGGTCTCTAACAAACACGTGATCAGTAATGGATTTATTAGATTCATCTGTCCAATCTTTATACGTGTATCTATTCGCTGGTCTTGTTGTAAACTGCTTTAGTAATGCAATATAATTTTCTGAAAAAGAATACGATGTTGAAATACGTGAAACATTCTTGTTATAACTTTAGAACAATAGGACTGAACAGAGCCACAATACTGTTAGTCATAACAACTCCGTCAGCCAAAATTACAATATGACCGGCCATGTTCGAGAACAATGATGTAGACATTATCTGAATTTCATAAGTCATAATCGTATTATTATGGGACTTAAATAATCGCAATTGTAATATTTTCTTACTTTAAACAGCCACAACATGGTATTATTAACTATAAAAGCCGTATGTTCAGCAATAGTCGACATATTACCAGCCATAATCGCAATACAAATATACATTATGGAAATTTAATACTCCAAAATTGGGGTGTAATTCGCAATAATCTGATATATCGTCAGTCACTATCGCAATACAATAAACAATAACAGCAGAGTCATAATTCATTATTGCCATATTATTTGCCAACATCGCAAATATATTTTATAAAATTGCCATATAAACGCCGACGTCAGCTTTCCATTTCTCTGCCGTCTAAATAAGTAAACCCAACCAAAAATGAGCCAATCAGTGGGCATGCTCTGGAGTGCAGGTAACTAATACCCGCACTCCAGTTAACACAATGTTCATGCATATGTATACGATTTATACACATTTTCAACAGAAAGGTCCCCAAACTATGATACAATGGTAGCATATTTGATATGCGTGATGCGGGCTGAGAAATCTAAGATTGCGTCCAAGATTTGTTAACAGTAGGAAACTTCAAAAATCATATGTAGTTATTTGGTTTATAGTGATGTAAATAAATGATTGCGAATATAACCTCTATGACAATGTTTTTGAAACAATCAAATAAAAGACAGGGTATGTAATTTCAAACTCACTGTCATAAAATCTCGACAAACAGACTTTTTAAGAAGTTATCTTTTTAGATAAAGTAGAAAATGATTCACAACACAAACGTAAGTAGATGTCAAAGTGTTTTTCTAGAATTCAACAATACCAACACTATATATAAAAAAGTGATGAAGATACAGAAATTTAACATGGCAGTGATGGTGTCTTCCTACAATACGCATAAATGTACAAAAGAAGAAGCCAACTGTTTCAGACAACCGATTGAGTTCGAAATAAAAGTTATTAAAATCGAATAAAATTGATACTGTTATAAAGTCGGCATGCTCTGATATGATAGAGTTCAAAATAATTTATGTTCGGGGCATTCTTATGTAATGACCACGTTTCTAATAAAGAAACAAAAAGAAAATGACCGTATATGACGTTGCAAAATTGTGATGAATTTTTTCAAGAAATTTCATCTAATATATTATCTGAGGGAGACAGGAATTTGAGTGCATTTAACTGCTTTAAATATACCTAACAACATTTATACAAGCACTTGGACATATTGCTTCTGTTTTTTTTTTGTTTATGTGTGTATGTTTCATTTTTCACAAGATGAATACTATAATTTATTTTATGCTTTTCAGTGGATTACTGATTTATCCGTGAAAATTATATTTGATAATTTCACAGTGAAAATTATCAAAATATAATTTCACACTTTTCAATGACGAAACTACTTTTTTAAGATTTTCCCCATGTGGCACCTCAATTTTATTTTTGCTGACTATTCCGACAATGTCAGGCTGTTTAAAGAAAAGCAAAGCTGAAATTGATAAATAACTTATATGTCACAAGTAATAAAAAGAAGAAAACTTACAGTAAGTTACTTCTATTCATTCAAGTTACCAATCACCAAATATCGTCTCTTTAATTTTTTGTTTCATTTTTACAGTCTGAAAAATACATTCCTTCCACATGCAAAACTGCTCTTGATGACATTTGGGAATATTTAAGTATCCTACGAGCAATAACTGCCGTATGCTTTATGAAAACTTGAAAAGCATTGGCAGCTTTCAGTCGAAGAATATGTAAACAACCCAGCGTTCGTAAGGCTTCCGAGTTCTCCAATTTCCTATCCACTTTTTTGAATGTTTACACATCTGTCAACACTTATTTATTGTCTGTTACAATCCTCAAATAAGTTTTCTTTCTTTTAAAAAGGTGTATGACTAACAAATCCAAATGATATCCCTCTGAATCAAACACAATTATTTTCATCCAGTGAAATACACAACTTTAAAAATGGCGGCCGCTTACATTTAACATAGCCAGGTCTAATATAAATTCGCAGTCAGTAACAGAAATATGGATGGATGGTTGGACTTTTTCTCCTACTAGAATTGTTTGTTTTTATTATTTAAACAAGCGATCAGACATATTTTTTTAATAAAATGAATACTATCGCCACCATTTAAAGTTGATTGTGGAACTTATTTTTCAGCCCATGACTACTTGTATTTAATGAGAAATTCGACTTTTTTGAGGCTCTAAATGGGGAAAACAGATTTTAATATTAACGTAAATATTAAGGAAATTTCGTTTTAACTTGTTTTTAAGCATAAAATAAAAAGAAAATTTGTTTGTTTGTTGTGTAAGATGTAATTTTATTTCACCTCGTGAACTTTAAAAACAGTATTCTCACTCGTGGCTACGCCACTCGTGAGAATACTGTTTTTAAAGCCCACTCGATGAAATAAAATTTCATCTTACACACAAACAAACAAATATCCTCTATTTAATTGTAACGCGCACACTTCTGTAATGTGAAGTGATAAATGATAAAGAAACCAAGTCTGTGTTTTAAAGAAAGTCCTAAGTAAATCCTATATGACCTGGGACTTAAGATCGGCTTTAGGACCAATTTAAGACCGTTCCAAGAAACATTATTATCTTAGGTCAGTGACGTTAGTCTTTTAATTAAATTCATTCTACTTAGAAAAGAAACTAAATACACTAGCATGCGCTTTAATCTGTTATTTATCAAAGTTCATCTCCATTGCTAATTTGCTATCAAGCACTCTTACCTGGGATTCGGGCCATGAGTTTAGGTTTAAATGCAAGACCAGTGTTGATATCACCCAATATTATTGCTGGTCGTTTTTTCTTCAAACTTTTTATCAACGCTTTTGTTTGATGAGTATGTACCTCTTCTAATGAGTTGAACCCTATTGCTTGCAGTTCAGCTGAAATAACAATAAACATATTAATTGGCCCAAACTTTTTTTTTTGTAAAAATGTGCAGTTACTTGAGTCAAACAATATTAAACATGTGACAATAAATCATTTAAATAATGTAATAGGTTCAGTCCGCTTAATTTTAAGTACATGTAAATTATGAATTGATATTAATAATCAGCATCGGAAGAGAGTTAACCGTCCTGGCACTTTGGAAATAATAATGAACGGTCTGTGGTAAAGTCCACCCAACCCTTCATTGATAAAATAGAACATTTTAACCTCCAAATAAAGACCACTAAAGATCACGTTTGGTATCTTATTTAGGTAGACTTTGTTTACAGGTTTGACTGTATTTCTTATATGTTACATTTCTGTCAATTAAAATACTAAATCCCCGATTATAGACAATTAATCCTTTATACAGAGGAAATGTAGGTACTGTAGAAAAGTGTGAAATATAAATAATATATTTCACTGAGATTAATTTTTTTCAATATGATAAAAACGACCTTGAGAACATCGCAATCTGCTAGGCTTTATACACATGCTAAATTGGACAGGTCAACGTACATGTATATGCGCAATTATTCTATAAAAGATTTTTTTTAAAAGTGGTCTCCAGGCTGAAACAATATGAAATACATTTTCCTGCCACCATGGAACAAATTATTCCGCTGCTATTTTGAATAGGTTTGGTTACGATTTCATGCATGTACCACTGTCATTAATCACAATATTAACAATATTTTTTTTCAATTCACTGGCAGTAAAAATATATAGCTTCATACCCTTTAAATAAAGATACTGAACGTTTTGTCTCCAATTGCTCACATTTTGGTCAGAATATTGGAACAAAAGGGACAATGACACCAAATCGCTAAGGATCTGTTAAATAAAACTAGGTCATGCAAACTTTCAAAGTTTACAGGACCTCTAGTCCCGTGTATAAAATTTGCAACGAATGTTCATTTACCACAAATGCAACAGTAAAGAACATTATATATTTTTAAACTCGATTTAAAAAAAAAGTTCTCACAACTAGTATATTTAGAAGTCAATTTAGCATATATGGATTGGCCCTAAGGGCTGTGCGAATATTTACACAAAGAGCTTAATTTGAACAACGCAGGTAGATAAATGGCCTTTAGATGATGTAACATACAAATAATGATGATTCTTTTTACAAAAAAGAGTCACAGAGCAAAAGCCAATTTTAACGCCGCATAATATGAAAATGTCCACCAGACACTGTTTCATGCCAAGTATCTAAGCTCTAGTACTTAATACTAAGAGAACGTTATTTTTTTTTTACTATATAAGTGTACAGTAGTCCCGAGATGCGACCGACTTTAACCACACAACGATAATTTAGATCTTGGTAGAGGTCCACTGGACTATTTTTAATGCCTAACATCTAAGCTCTAGCTCTTGTGGTTTCAGTTAAGAAATTTTGTATATCTATACATGTACATACTTTTATAAGGCAAAATTCATCACCCAGATGGCAGGGCCAATATTAACCCGAGTGGCATAATTCTAACAACTTTGGTAGAGAACCCCTAGATGATGCTTTTTGTATTCCCAGACTTGAGAGGATACATTCATATTTGTAAAGTTCTGGATAAGATTTATCCAGTAATCGGTTTCAAAGAAAATGTTTGCTAAAAGTTTTTAAATTGAGCCGTGTCATGACAAATCAGGATCCATGCTGTTCGCTATCAGTTTCTCTATTTGTAAAAGGGTTGGTAAGCGAACAGCATGGATCCTGCTGGTCGCAAACCCATTACGTTGGTTTTGTCGTGACGCGGCTCAATTGTAGACGACGAACGGCACACGAAGCATTACCATAGTTCACAGTGAGCAAGTTTTAGAAAAAAATATATATTCCCTGTACAAAGAAACATGCATATGATAATTCTTGGAAAAATCTACATACATGCACATATGTTTATTTTTTAAGAAATAGTAACTTACGTTCGAAGAAATATGGAAAATTGGTAGACTTAAGATGTGTGCAGCGCACGTCGGCAAAATTTCTTATCTAGAAAATGGTACCAAATATACAACTATACACAAAGCAACACTATATTTTATGTGACCATTTAATATAAACAAAGTTACGTTTCGGGTTGGTTTCTGTCTTTTTATATTTGTTCTTTTCTTAAATACACTGCTCCAAATTTTGTGTGGACATTAAAATAAAACGATATCAAAATAAGTTTATGGTGACAGCAAGTTCATTCTACGGTAAAAGGAAGGATAAAAATGTCAACTAAGAATTTCTCATGCATCATATGAGCCGCGTCACGACAAAACCAACATAATGGGTTTGCGATCAGCATTGATCCAGACCAGCCTGCGCATCCGCGCAGTCTGATCAGGATCCACGTTGTTCGCTTACAAACCAACCCTATTACAAGTAGAGAAACTGATAGCGAACAGCATGGATCCTGAAAAGACTGTGCGGATGCGCAGGCTGGTCTGGATCCATGCTGGTCGCAAACGCCCTATGTTGGTTTTGTCGTGATGCGGCTCATATTTTCTCTTTCATAGAATCTTATATGAATCATATTACGGTCTCCTCGGATATCAAATCGCTGTTCTATAGCGCTATTTGGTTTACACAGAATTTATTTTAGTTCGATTGTGAAGGAAGCTATAAGCTTATTGACACACTTTTGAATCTGTTCCTGGAACCAACCAGTACTGAGCAATGAGTGTAAAGTTTCTTGCTCCTGACATGGTTCGAGCCCATGTAGCTAGCGATCATTAGATTACCAATCCGATATAGCGTGTGAATCTTTTCGAGTGTACATGCCTGCGTGCGCGGGCATATATTTGTGTCTTTTTAAGTATATAGACGTAACTCCCAATAATTATGACTTTATACTGTCATAGTAACTTAATAAACATCGATGCATGTAGAAACCCTGATAAACGTGGAATAAGGCAAGTTTACCTTAGTTTTGATATAGCCTCTGAAATAGGACTCTCTAGTTGTCGGATGGTAGTCTTTAAATGATGTACGATACAGTTTTTTCTTCGATAACAGAATAAGACCTCCGTTATTCACCTGCCTACCTCCAATGATAGGTTTTTCCGCTCCGCATCTAAAATATGATAAACATAAATGTACCTGTACCTGTATTTGTATACTTTCAGTTTATTGCTCATTTACGATTTTTTTTCAACTTTATGTGATTTATCACAAAATATGACATTTATTAATTAGTTCAATAAGACACTAACAAAGTCCAATATATTTACATATCATCAGAGTTATATATATATGATATATACAATAAAGGTTATATGGGATACAGTTCGCCGATATATTGAACAAATTTCAAATATTTCCTGAACTGATTGTAACTGCTAAAAAAAGCTACAAACTTCTATAAACTATTTCATACAAAATATCTGAGCTGAAGGCATTGAGTTGAGAAGATTGTTTAAGGTTTTCCTATATGAAACCATGTAAGATCTGGTGGCCAGCAGAGTTTTTCCCGAGAGACATGATTTGAGCACAACTTTGTAGGTATCAACCAATGCTACATATACGAAAAGCAATATGTCGTGCTATATGTCGCACGGTTAGATGTAAAACGGTTCTATGTAAAACCAAAACGGTTCCAGAGTGGATCTTATTTGTACCCTTATCAAACTTGGAAATTGCTCATGATACAATGCTACACATAAACTTTGGTTGAAGAATTATTTTAAAGGTTTTCCTTTATGACTCTACAAAAAATCAAGCGCTCCGAGGGCCCTGATTTTTATTATATTTTGGTACAGATCCACATGCTAGTTATGCGCAGCAAATACATGTATTGTATGATATTTGAAAAGAAAATTTCAAAAAAGTGTCTGTCTATTTCCTCCTATGACCGACATAGGTAATGGACAGATGCAAGAGGTGAAGATGTCATAAAAAACAATTGTGTACGACGGACAGTCCGGAAAGCTTTAACTATGTGTGGAGGATTAACGTTAACCTTTATCATTAATTTTGATTAAGCATAGCATGTTTATATTTAAAATGTATATTACCAAAACTCGAAAGCTGGTTTGGAGAATGTATTAAAGGTTCAATCACGCATAATTCAACAGTTTGTTTAATAATAAATTAATACTCACGCTTCAACATTCCACATTGATTCAGCTATACAAGTAAAACACCCTTGATCTTCAAACCGAAAAAGGTTTTCTACCTCAGGCGTGCACGTGGTCGTTATGCACGAGATATTCAATGGATAGCAAGTGCTGTTTTTCACACACGCAATATACGCGCTCAAATTTGCATAATCACAAGGTGGCGCTGAAATGAGAAGAAATCAGACAGATAACCACACTCAGCTGGATCAATACAATACTGTTAAATTATCGCATGGTTTGGAACTTTTCCTTTGTTTTTATTAACCCATTATACTCAATACACTTCAATGAGCATTTGAAAACTGTATTGATATATAGCAGTACAGTTTTTTCAGTGATTCATAAAGGAAAAAACTCAACACTGCTATATAGAGGTTGAGTTTTTTTGCACCTGTAGTTTTTTTCACAGAGGCTCCAATGGGGCAGTGGCAACGAACATTCCAAGTAGCAACAAAAATGGAATCAATAAAATAAAATAAATAAATAAATACAATGAAAAATATAAACAAAGATAATTAATGAAATGAAATTTTCTGGTGAAAGGTATATCTGCTGAATGAATTATTTCCACTGAAAAACAGCCCTTTAATCTTGAATCAATATTGGTAACAGTTTACAATCCGCCTCTAACATTGGATATCATTTGTACAGTATATCTTTTTTTCCGGCAGCGAAAACAACTTGAAAAAAAACTCTGACTTATCATAAATAACTGTATGTAGCTAATGATTTATTTATTTATTTATTTATTTATTCACTCATTCATTCATTCATTCATTCATTCATTCATTCATTCATTCATTCATTTATTTCTATTACAAAAAAGAAAACATGCCATTGCGATAAAACAGTTATTGTATACATGTATATGAAACTCGTTGTTTACGAGGATTTAACACTGGCTGGGTGACATCTTGGGATGTTTCTGCAAAACATTGTCTCGGCCTAACGGCCTTGCCAATTTTTGATGTCGCCCCAGCCAGTGTTATATCCTCGTAACTAACTCGTTTCATATACTATAACTATTAGATACAAATGTAGTTCGTTAAAGCAAATGCAGGGACATCATTGCATATCTCATTATTCATCTGACAAGGTCTCAATAAGTAGGTCAACGGGTCAGGGTCAATGCCCTCCATGATACAATGTAAGTACGTCACATCATGGAGTTTAAACTGAGCTTAGACTCATCCTTAACGGTAAGGGCCAAAACTGAAACTCAATGACGCCTAAAATTACAAATTATTCAGCACTAAAATCTAGCCAGACCCCTAATTCACTGATTTATAGTTTTATTTTATAACTTTTATGGAGGTGAAATAAGCAATACTACATCCAGTAAGCCTCAGCTTTGAGCGTGACGATTTCTTCAGTATTAAATTCAAGATACCGCTCTGTACAATAAATGAAATTGGGACATCAGCATTTTTATTAAATTGCATAAACTTTTTGATGTGTATAAGACGGAAGATAATTTGAAAATTATTTATGATGGAGGTATGGTCCTTTTGCAGTGCACTTCCTCTCACTGTTGCTAATCAAGATTTAAAGTTAAACTGAAATCCCTGATACTTGTAGAGTTATTCTCCGCACAAGAAAAAGGACCATGTCAAGCTTTGACCTGTAAATGTGAATCTGACGTGAGTGATAATGGTATGGGTGTTGCGCATGATATATCTCTGTATTTAGTCGCCGGTAGAAACCGGCGACTATATTTGTAACAGTTTAATATTATACCTATGGTAGGAGAAGGCATTAATTTCTGTAAATAAAAGCATAATAATTACTGAGCAATTAAAGACTACAAATGTTTTCAGTAATCTCAAAAATTCAAACATACAATAACGTTGCTAAATGAAATGAAATATTCAAATATTGACATCGTAAAAAGCAACATTACAATTTTTATAAAATGAATTAACGACGTATCCCTATGGACCAGTCATTGAATTTAGGGATGCTTTTACTTTTTTAAAATGTCAAGCGTTGCTATTTTATGATAAATAAATCATGCATGATATTTGAAATGACACTTTTAAATTATCTGGTTGTTTGTATCTTATGAGACATATTCTATTTTTTATCTTATTTATTATAAACAGTTTCTCCCAGAATCACGTGACTACACGTTGTATGTTATTGTTATAAAATCTATTAATAGTAACAAATGGCTGATAAGACAGACATACAGGTAACTTGTGAATGGTTGGCAGCTGATAAAGTGCAAATCAAAGTAATTTTGTATGAAAAATCTCGGTATGACAGTAGGGGCCGGAATCGTATTGGATACAAAGAGAAAACTAATAAACCATCTTTGTGTTGATAGTTTATCGCACTGAAAGGCAATTAAACGTTAACTATATCGTATGTAACGACAGGAATATTGATTTCAGCCAAATAATATATTTTTTCGATAGTGCATAAGAATAATTTTTTTTAATGCAGACACCACTTTTACAGTAGAATTGCATTGTTTTATGCAATAATTAAGCATATATATTTTCATAGTCACTTTGCAAATATTCGATGATCGGTAATAATTTGTCGGTAATTATCGGATGCTGAAGAAAACCATACGGAGTTAATATCCAGTAAAGTAAACCCCGATTTGTTTTTATTTTACATCTAAAAATATAACATGTTTTTAGCATTTTTTTTCCTATCCGTGTATATACAAATAAATCAAATTTGAAACTATAAATATCAATTTAACCGACTTACAGGTTTTCTTCTTTGCCTGTGGTGGCAATTTATTTACAGCAGTATGCATTTCACTATAGGAATATGGAAACTGTTCTTTCAGGTTATTAACAATAGCTTCTACATCCTCACCAATAAACACCTACAATCAGATAATTGTGTAATATATGTTCATACTCGTATACAATCCGAACACCAAAACTCTATACTGTTGGCTGAATAACTTTAAAATGGAAACTGGACAAGTCCATTTAAGAATTCGACAGGTTAATAGTTAAACGTTCCAGTCTAAGGTTGTAGGTCAGAATCTCTGTATATCAGCGTTTTTATTTGTCAGCCAACAGTTGTATCCAAAAACATTTTTAAACTGTTTCTCTATTTTAATGATCTATGTTTTGTTGTTTTTTCGTTTGAAATTTCTAAATATTAAACGGCTTTACCACGAATATCAGTAATATAAGGACAATTCAATGAAATAACAGTAAGATTAATGAACATTTCAGCCATTTTCATGTAATTTTGTGTGGAATTATATAACAATAGTTAATATAATATTACCTCCTGGAGACAAATGAGATCAGCATCTGATTTTTTCAGGGCGCGGATTATTTTCCTTTTGCGAGGCTCTCTCGTTCCTATTGCAAACTGTTCGGACTCGTGAAGGGCAACGTTAAATGTAAGAACCTTACCAAAGAAATAACATAAAATGAGCCGCGTCACGACAAAACCAACGTAATGCGTTTGCGACCAGCAGTCTGATCAGGACCCATGCTGTTCGCTATCAGTTTCTCTATTTGTAATAGAGTTTGTTAGCGAACAGCATGGATCCTGATCAGACTGCGCGGACGCGCAGGCTGGTCTGGATCCATGCTGGTCGCAAACGCATTATGTTGGTTTTGTCGTGACGCGGCTCAAATATAATCGGCACAATCTATGTGAGTGCATGTACGTGATACAAATGAGTGCATGTACATGGTACATTCAAATATTGTCAATGTCAGATATGAAATGTATGATCATCATTTTAGGAGAAATCTGAAAAAATACTTTTAGATACTTAAATGAGAAATAATATGTAATAATATGTAAGAAAACAAAATGTAAGCAAAGTGGTACTTTTTGGCTTCCATACAAATTATTTCCAAATCACTATGACTGTACTAATTGCCACAAGGGGTGGCCAGTCTATATGGCCAATGAGTCAATTTTTGAAATCTGTAACAGGAGATTAAAATGTAAAGCTTTAAAGGTATAAATATTTGCATTCTCGAGACTTCATGTACTTTTAATCTAATTATTAATATTTTAGCATCAATCATGTAACTAGTGTCCCATAACTAAAGATAGTAACTACAAACCCTTCCCCATACTTAGTAACTCAGCAGAGGTGATGAACGTAACAACACGTTTCCTCTATAATATAGCAAAATAAGCGCCATCAAAGGTACTCGAACCCGCAACCTAAAGATGGATTATCTGTCTAACCAAGTACTGTTTTTATTGTTTCGAAAGCGAATTTCTCACTACATTCCTTAACTATAAGCATTTTCTTTATTGTTTCAGTGTTATTATACATTTTACATGTATTTATTTCTATTAAATGTAATTATTGATACCTACATTCAAAGTTGCTGGTTTTTTCTTCCCCTCACTACTGTGGATCGCTTGGAAACAAACAAATAATAAAACAACCAGCTTTATGTTGAAGTCCATCTGAATTATGTAGGCTGCAATAAACAGTAATATACGATTTCTAACTGAATATGGTTCTAAATTTTATTGATATCTCATACTCCGATTCCAAATTGCATTTGTATTATTTCTATTATTTTCATTTTATTTGCTTAACTACATATTTCATAGCATTACCACGCACGCCACGGTTGCATTTAACTATGTGTCACTTTACTTTGTTTCGTAATGTTTTGTTATATTGTTGTTTTCTCACATGCCCAATTGGGCCTTAAAGGCTTCAGAAATGGAAAAAAAATATGGGAGAGCATGTAAGACGCTTTTCACAAGTCCTCTAGACAGTAGCGCTGAACTTGAAATGATAGGAAATGTTAACAAAGTGGTATTTTGACTAACATACAACATTCTGTATCACTATTTGTACTAATTACCAAAAACCAAAAGGCAAGAAAGGTCAGCAAGAAATGGATCAGGTAATTGGCCAAGTAGTTTTTGGAGAATTTAACATACTGTAAAACAACACTTTTGAGAAATAAAGATAAAAGCGTTTTTTTGTTGTTGTTGTTTTTTTTAGGGGTGGGGGTGGGGGCGTAATGGGCTTTTAAGATATCAATACAACTTGGAAACTTGATACTTTCTTCCAATACGAAATCAAAGAAAATTACGTAAGAAACATGCTTTATTTATGTAAATAGGGTATAATAGTAAACTCTCTTATGTATATAATTATTTTTATGCTAATAAATATTTTGACTTTGACTTTTCTTATTTAAACGTTTTACAGTAATTACTCACTGCGGTAGCAAGATAAAATCAAAGCACTGAAGGCGCTGTATTTGTTTGGGTCTCAGAATGTCAGAAAGGTGAAGGTTGTGAGATTATAAACCAATTTGTTTGTGTAGTGTCACCAATGCTGTTTCCAGTGTTTATAGCTATAGTAAATTGACTAAAAGACTAATTGCAACACTGATATTCAATTCAATGTTTATTTGGCTTAAACAATTATAAAATAATAAAATTAAAAAAAAACAAAAAAAAAACAACAACAACAACAACAACATGAGTTGCCTGAACTGGGGTTTGAACTCCAGACCTCTTGCTTCCAAAACGAGCGTGTAAGCCCCTCGACCATGGGTAGTTATAAGATATTAGCTTGAAGAATATCATATTATTCTAAATTAGAGTTTGTAACCCTTATTTATTTCGATATATTTTGTTCACGGTAAACCTGTTGTTTAACACTGAAGTAAATAATCATGGAGCTGAATATAAGCATGTATATCTATAAGAATAACACAATATTAGAAATATTTGACCAATCGGGAACTATTTTTCGTTACGAAAATTAATGCGCCTGTCATTTGACAATCTTTATGCAGTGATCTCCCCTTAATTTTTCGGCGTTAATATGGAGTTATATAGTATATATGGAGGGAAGTAACCGCTTCGAGGAATTTGGACTACTTTCGGCATTTGCAAATAAGAACATTAGGGTCTGAAATTTCGCTCCCATTATATTGTTTGGTCTGACGACCCAAACAAATATTAAGCCGCGTCATGACAAAACCAACGTAATGCGTTTAAGACCAGCATGGATCCAGACAAGCCTGCGCATCCGTACAGTCTGATCAGGATCCATGCTGTTCGCTTACAAACCCTATAACAAGTAGAATAAAATATGTACTTTATGAAATGTCTTCTGTAAAATATGTGTCTTTGTTTATATATCATATCATTGTTTTATTTGTTTAATTCATTCATAGTACCAGAATAAATATTCAGAATATACAGAACTTCCAACATTAACATATTAACCCCACCACTTCATGAATTCGTTTATTAAAACAAAAGAAGATATTATCTTATATCACTTCCAAAGTGATTTGTATCAACATAGGTCATTCTTTATGGAGGGCGTTCGTTGCCAAAATTCCAGACATGTAAAGTGTTCCTTTTTAAAATGACTTTTGGAAATGCGAACTTGTATGCCTACCATTTTTATTGTATGCCTCTTAATTCAATCTTTTAATTGAAGGTTACCGCCTTTATATAACAAGTTTACATATATATCGTAACAACTGACCTAACATCTAAAACGACAACAAATTTACAAGTTCGTATCTTCCATTGCTACAATACATACGCATGTTTGTACACTTATAGATCTGTAATATACAAATGAAATGTAAAACTCGAATACGGAAAATAGAGTTTAAGAAAACGTGTTACCAGTTGTAGAACTAAAAGAGTACGTTAACACAGTAACATGTTTAAAATGACAAAAGTAGATTCACAAAGTTAAACGATTTTAAGTCAAGCATAACGTCCCGCCCCTCTCGAGTATTTACGAACTTCTATTGTGGACAAGTATAAAACGGCGCCTCTCCCATATTTTTAAATAAAACTGAAGGACAACATACGGCATTTTTCATAACATATATATGTTACATTCGTTACAAAAGTTTTGTCACTAGCAACATCACTTGAAAATTGCTGATTTTACCATTTATGATGAAGATAACTTGTGCATTACCTTATTATTTAACATCGTGCTCTTATCAGTTACAAATTATTTATCGTTTTAGTGATTAGCCTGTCCGTGCTATGCCTAGTGCCCTGTCCTGTGTTTTGTTTGGGGTCCGCCTGGGCTTCTTACCACTTGTTCTTGTTGTGGGTCATGTAGGGTTGCGTTCATTGAGCGCCGCCTTTCCTTGTTGATCTTGTTTATCATATATTCCTGAGAAACATCGGCGATTTGGAAATTTTTAGGGGAAACAATGACCAACTTCAAGGGAGTAATTTTATTGGTAATGTAAAAACCATCCAATATTCTTGGTATCATTGAAAAATGTATTGGCACAAATTTCATTTTCAACAAAAACTATGCAAGTATTTGCAAAAATAGGATTTTAAAGCGGCCACCGAGATTTCCTTTCCGAAATCAAGAAAATACTTATCCGTAGCACATATGTACAATCTTTAATAAGGTATTTTCAGTATGAATAAAAACTTTTTGCACTTGTTCATTATCTCTCATGTACAGACACAATCAAACCGAGTCTGCAATTCTTATGTAATTTTGTAGTGATTAATGCTTCCGAGGGATCACTTTGCTTCCAGATTTTAATACTACACAACAACAGGTGTCAAGTGCCGTGTGGCAGCTGTAAAAAGTTGCCCCGTACTTCACTTCAGTGTTTTTCTGGTCCTTCGGGATCATTGATGCCAGCGCTTTTAAGTGTTGAGAATTGAGTACCGTTCAAGCCGGTGCTAGGGGCGTGAGGAATGTTGCACTTGTTCATTATCCCTCATGTGCAGACTCAATCAAACCGAATCTGCAATTCTTATGTAATTTTGTTGTGATTAATGCTTCCGAGGGATCACTTTGTTTCCAGATTTTTAATATACTTGTTCAAAGCTTATGGTCTTAAATTTCATTCAATATTCAATTTCCTTTTTGAATAAAGTATCTAAAGGAAGCGACGTTATTTTTTTCCGAATATATGAGTGTGGATTTAAGAGAAAAATAATAAACAACGATAAATTAGAAACAATTTTTTTTAATACTTCTACATAATTAATTTTCATTTTTAAGGCATCACTAGAAAGTTCATAAAGGATTCTTTTACTTGAGTCTAAAATTATCAACGCCGCCTTTCCTTGATGATCTTGTTTATTATCAAAATTGACCAAGAAATAAAAAAAGTAAGTAGGGGGCGCCATGTTTTTCTTACTGAATTTCAGAGTGTGTTTTTTTTTTTACTTGGGGATCATATGCCGTTTTTCATGGTATGGCACTTACGTGTCACATTGAAGGTTCCATGATAATCGCCATATTAACACATCTGCGGATGTTTCAAAATTGTACCAGTTCATGTTGAATTTTGCTTAAGCCGTTGCTAGGGGGCGTGGACGATAACTTGCTCTTTCCATTACCGTCCATGAGCAGGCTCAATCAAACCGGGTCTGCAACATTCTCAATTTTGTCGTTTTGAGCGTTCTTTAGGGATTCTTATTTTCTCTATTTTACAGAAAGTAACATGATAAACTTTTTAACGAAAAGTTAATTCAGTTTGATTTAATTTATTTTTATTTTTAGGCATTATATAATTATATATCATAAATCGTATGAAGCACACTTTTAATTCAATCCAAAATTATCAAAATATATTACGAACTTAAAAAAAAGTTTGGAGGGAACGCCGTGTTTTTCTTACCAATTCGAGAGTGTTATTTTCAGAGTAAAAAAAATCTAAAAATTCAATACATCTATTTAATTCATTTTTATTTCCGAGGCACTCATAGAAAGCTTATGGAGTAATCTTTCATTTGATACCAAAAATATTGGACTTTTTATAGAAATAAAAAAAGTAAGAATGGACGCCGTGTTTTCCTTCACTTTATTGAGAAATAGGAGAGAGGCGACGGGTATTATACCTGTCCGTACATTTCCATGATAGAAGATCGTAAATACTCAGAGAGAGGCGGGGCGTCATGCATGACTTAGAATCGTTTAACTTTGTGAATCTACTTTTGTCATTTTAAACATGTAACTGTGTAAACGTACTGTTGTAGTTCTACGACTGGAACACGTTTTATTAAATTATATTTTCTGCATTCGAGTTTTACATTTCATTTGTGTTTTTCAGGTACAGATATATATCTACAAGTGTGTAAACATGCTTATGTATTATATGCAATGGTAGATACGAACTTGTAAATGTGTTGTTCACTCCATGTTAGGTCAGTTGTTAAGATTTACATGTAAACTTGTTATTTAAAAGCGGGTGCCTTCAATTAAAAGATTGGATTAAGAGGCGTATCATTTGCTGTGCACGAATGCAATAAAAAATTCTAGACATACATGTTCGCATTTTCAAAAGTAGTTTTCAAAAGGAACACATTACATGTCTGGAATTTTGGCAACGATCGCCCTCCATAATTCTTTGCTTTCTTGATATCGAGTAAATTTCTTTTTATGAAATAAATTAAATAAAGTAGCACATTTCATTTTCTGCGTTCCTTGATAATGTCGGACACAAAAGCAATGCGGTCAAGTATACGCTACAAAATAACTCTCAGTCCACAAGGCCTTATCTTGAATGATATTCATGACTTAAAGAGGACACCTTTTGATTTTTAATCATAGGTGAGTTTCCTCTGTCATAGGTTTGTAAAACCCATAAGTTCTAAAACATACATTAATTAAAGTTCTACGTACATATATTCCACTTTATGACAGCAAATGAAAGAAAGATCGAATGCCGCTTAATTAAGACGGTGCTTAGGGGGATCTCTCTTGAACAGACTCAATTAAGCCGAATCTGCAATTTTCATATTTTCCATATCTGTCTACTAAATCAATTAATTAAGTGTTTCAATATTCAAAATTACATGTACTCACCAATACTTTGCAAGCTCGCCGCAACTTCTTAGCTATAAGCACGAAACTGTAATCTTCAATCAAATGTGATGCGTTCAAGATTCGAATTCAACAAAGACACACATATCTAAATTTATTTTACCTGATAAAAAACACTCTTTCTGATGCAAATTGTAAATTTTATCTTAATTATATCAATAAAATAATGGCACGTAACGGTGGATACTTAGATAAACGTAATATAGGATAGTTGGCAAATAAAGTAAATTAAAAGACGTACGTAGTATTGGAGATTTTATCTGATTATGTTTACAGTTTTGTAGCCTAAAGCATACGATAATTGATTATCAAAACAGGAAAGTTAAAAAATATTTTAAGGGTTTGTTGATAAGTGAATTTTAATTGCCTATTACCATTTACGATTCTAATGTCGTCCCGTTCACTGTCCGATAGAATCGATACCCATATGGGTACAGTGAGTCACAATGTTCTATTAATGTGTGTGGATGTAGAGCTTCATGCTTTCTTATTTATCTTTACTCTCAGAGTCAATAAATCAATTAATTAATATAATTTATTAATTAATTTTAGTTAATTATGTCAATTAATTACAACAGACACAATTTCTTTTAGTTGACCATTACACAGTTTCATGCAAAATATCTACTTAAGATCTAGCCTTTATGGTTTGAAAGGAGATATTTTTAATAAGAATTCACTATAAACATATATTAATGAAGACCCATGAGTTGCAAGGGCAGGGCTAATATTTTAAGAAGCTCGGCAGCTCTAGGGCCAACAATATACATGTATCTTAGCTCACCTTTATAGAGTTTCAGAAGAGATGATATGATAAAGATTTGCCTTTCTGTTGCAATGACAACCAGTGTTCTGAATGATATTTAGCAATTTTGCAATAAGATTAATATCCCAAGATCATTCCTTAAAAACTTTGTGTTATTATTGACCTTGTGGTTGAGGAGGAGATGTTGTTAGATAGACAGATTTTTTAGCTCATCTGACCACGAAGTGGTCAAGGTGCCGTCGTCGTGCTCGTCAACATTTGGGTTGTTAACACTTTAGCAGTCACAGTTTTGATTGGATGATAATGAAACTTTGTTAAAATGTTTGCCTCAATGAAATACAGGTCAAGTTCGAATATGGGCCACCTCAGATCAAAAACTAAGTCACGGGAGCTAAAAATAGAAAAATCTTGTAAACATTCTAGTGCCTGCAGTTTAATCCAAATACCCTGAAAATTAGTGAGATGATTTCTAGGTCAGCTTCGAATATGGGTCATCTCCGGTCATAAACTATGTCACAGGAGCTAAAAATAGAAAAATCTTGTTAATACTCTAGTGGCTGCAGTTCTTTGATCCAGATATTCTTGATATTGGTAAGGAAGATTGTTTTGATGATTTTTAGATCAAGTTCGAATATGGGTCGTCTCTGGTCAAAAACTAGGTCACATGAGGTGAAAATAGAAAAATATTGTTAACACTCTAGTGGCTGCTGTTTTGATCCACATATCCTGGAAATTAATCTGGAAGATTGTTTTGATGATTTCTATGTCAAGTTCGAATATGGGTCATCTCCGGTCAAAACTAGGTCACAGGAGCTAAAAATAGAAAAATCTTGTCTGTGCAGTTTTGATCCAAATTTTCCGGAAATTGATCAGGAAGATCGTTTTGATGATTTCTAGGTCAAGTTCAAATATGGGTCACCTAGGGTCAAAAACTACGCCACAACGCCTAAATGTGGAAAAACCTTGTTAACACTCTAATGGTCACATTTTTACCCAATTGTCATCAAACTTGGTCAGGACGGTTGTCTAGGTAATTGTTTAGATGAGTTCAAACATGGGTCAGGTGAGCGATCTAGGGCCATCTTGGCCCACTTGTTTTAGTATTTATAATGTAATTGTAGCATGAATTTGAATTGTAAAAGAATACATTAGTACTTTTAATTTTATTTAAGCATTTTCTTTCACAGTAACAGAAACAAAGTATTAAGAAAACTAGGTAAATTATACAATCACTAATTAAAGTGGAGCGAATGGGGCGAGTCAATCAGGGGCGAATCGTAAGTGAGGCGAGGATCAAAGTTCACAAAGTAGATCGAGGCATAGGATCAGCGATTGATTGGATCATCCTACAGGTATCTGCCCAAACTTAACCTACAATGCACCTGTGCAATGAATTCCTACATTTTGTATTCATTTATATATATTGTTTCCCCTTAAACACCAAACCCGCCCACAGATATATCCAGCTTTAAAGATTCGCCCCCTAAATACTCGTTCCACTACAGACGATTCGCCTCACTTTATATTAAACATATTTAATTTTGTATTATTTGGGTGGGAAAATATGATTTTTTTTGGATATTGTTACAACTTTGCAATTTAACTAAACAATAACAAGCCCGTAACGTCTAATATATTGCCCATTTTTGACTAAAAATTAACAAGTCAAGTAAATTTTATTTACAAAACAAAACAGAGCTATTCATTGCCAATGTGATTTCTAGATTCCATGTGTTTTTTTTTTAATTATTTATCTTGCGCTTCAGTGTTGTATCTTCAGTAGTCTATAGTTAAAACTTTGATTTTCAGTGACAATTGTGTTGACATATATTATAACAACATGTATACGTAGATGGGATCAAAACTCACCCTGTCCAGGCCCGGTCACTTAGTTTATATAGACTTATAATGTATCGGAAAAAACATTTAATTCTTCTTCTGAAAAAGGAGCTTGAATGCATGTAGCTTTGCCTAGTGGATATCTACATGTGTACTACTAAAGTTATTCAAGTCATGCCCCAAGTAAAAATGGCCCTGCCTGACGCGGGTCACTTACTTTTGTAGTTCACATAGATTTCTATATCTGTAAAAATGTGTTAAAAATCTTCTTCTTTGAAAGTACCATGCCCAGAGTTTAGATATTTGACACATTTACACATGTAATCACCTTGTGAACCTTTACAAAAGTTGTATGAAATTGGCCCTCCATGGAAGTCACTTAGTTTATATAGTCTTGTATTGGAAAAAATAAATTTAAATCTTCTTTTGTGAAACTACAATTACAAGAGCTTAAATACTTAGCATGCAGCAGTTCTTAGTGGACCTTTACAAAAGTAATATAAGTGTTACCCCTGGGGTTAAAAGTAGCAAGGCACGTAGGGTCACTTTAACTTAAATTACTGTAAAAAATAGTCTTGTAAGGTAAAACTGTCTTAAAAATCTTCATTTCTGAAGCACAATGCCCAGAATTTAGATATATTGCTTACACTAGTAACATTACATTGAACATCACTTTGTGTTCCTCTACAAAAGTTTAAATTATAAATCATGTCCCTGTGGTCAAAATTGGTTTAGGAACAAACAATCAACACAAGTTTTGTTAATGATGATAATCCTGATTTATATAAAACACTGCAACTGTGAAAATATGCAAATACCACTATCATCAAGTGCTATTGTTTGATGAAGACTAATGAGTGTTATAAACCTTTCAAACATTTTAGGTCGACCCTACAAAGTACAAATGTATATGTATAGAAACCAGTGACTTCCCAAAGCAACCGTAGCAACTATCGACTTTTCTTAGCAACACATGTCTTCCCATAGCAACCAGTGACTTCCATATCAACCAGTGACTTTCCACAGCAACCATTGCCTTCCATAACAACTGCTGACTTTACATAGCAACCATAGACCTCCATAGCAACCAGTGACTTTCCATATCAAAAATATACTTTCATTGCAACCAGTGATTTTTAACAACAACCAGTGACTCACTAAGCAACCAGTGACTTTTCATAGCAACCATAGACTTATAAGGGAAACAGTGACTTTCCATAGCAACCAGGGACTTTCCATAGCAACCATTGACTCTCCATAGCAACCATTGACTTCCATAGCAAACACTGTCTTTCTATAGCAACTTTTGACTGCCATAGCAACCAATAACTTTCTGCAGCAAATATTAATTTCTTAAAGCAGTTAGTGACTCCCATAACAACCATTGATTTTCCATTGCAACAAATCAATACCAATAGCAACTGTTTGCTTTCCATAACAACCATTGACTTCCATAATTACCAGTGACTTCAGAGCAGCCACTGACTTTCTATAGCAAACTGTAAATTTCCACAGCAACCAGTGACTTCCATAGCAAACATGTACTTTTCATAGCAACAAGTGAATCTACTATTGAATTTCATAGCAGCCACTGACTTCCAAGGATTCCATTAATTTTGTACAGAAACCAGTGACTTCTTTAGAAACTATTGTATTACTTGAGAAATAGCAACCAGTAATGATTTTACATGTGCACTATTTCATATACAAATATGAAATTTGTGATATAAGTTTAAGATTTAGATTTTATATCTGCTTTTCATTAATAGTTTACTATATTACTTGGTCCTTGTCATTAAGAGACTTTATATTCAGGTGATAGATATTGGGGCCATTATGGCCCTCTTGTTTTTTCATAGATTTGTCTTTTCTGCGTCCAGTATTTAATTAGTCAAGCATCACTGTCTCCTCTGACAGCTCTTGTTTAAATGATTGTGTTATTAACCCTTAACATAATATATTTGTTTAATTTACTGAAACAGTAAAATTTGCTTTCTTTTCAAAAATTGAACTACACCAGTACCAGTTTGTCCTAATGTCCTCATGTGACAAACATACATTTATTGATTGATATTCTTGCTAGATACATGTACATGTATATATTTTGAGTTTTGGTACTTGCCAAGCACCTCTATTCTTTGGCAGGGATTAAATATTTATTGTGTTTACTATGCAAAGATAGCCAAGGCCAAACATTGAAATTCTTTTTTTCCCTCATCAACAAAGCAAAGTGATAAATTTACCAAAACAGCAACTTTGGCATGATCAGTCAATATTTCCTATCTTTTTGTTTTGAAAAATGATTCAAAAAACCTTTTTTTTATAACAGATTGACTTATGTTAAAGAAATGGATCTTCTGGATTAACACAGTAGTCAAGGATTTAGTTATAAAACCAGCAAGTATGAAGAAAGCCAATAATTTGACAGTGAACGGATTTACAGCTCCTGGATTTGAAAAAGTTGCGGAAACTTTCAGGTACAAATGTGTCTATTGCGGTATAATTACTGTTATATTTCAGTTGCCCTTATTTGGGATGCCGCAGAATAATTAATTGGTTATTTTTGGGTTGCACATGCACAAGTTCTTTGAATGCCTGGACATCAGTTGTTAAGGTTTCGTCCAAAAGACCCTTGGTATTGTTAGTGATGGATCAAGGAATCAAACCAGCAACTCCTGTATTGCTGGTCCATCACTTAACCACTAGACCTCAGATTGACTGCTGTATAAATGTAAAAAAAAACATACATAATTATTATATATCTGTGTATAGGAAATATTCTGTTGGCTGTGAACAGCTGAGAATGTTACAGTGGTAATTAAATCATTATTCATGTGAAAACTGTCACTAGGCTGATATGTAATGTACAAAATAAGGTCTGTACTAGATATGCCATCATATGAGTAAGTTTCTTCAGAAATATTTTCAAAAAAATTATGATTTGTACCAATAAATTTGCATTTCAGTGAAGATTTATTTTCTCTGTACGTATTTTGATCACATTTCTACAAAAGAATTTTTAATAAAAAAATGGAATATGAAGTAAAATGAAATTTAATGACACACATGATGTACAACCTTCTGAGGTAATGAATATGCCTTAATGAATATGCCTTAATGGTAGTTATTACAACATAAATATTTTAGAAAACAAACTTTTTTCAGGTGTTTTATTTACATCACATATTGATAATAATATATTACTACAGTATTTACTGATAGAAACATTTGAATAATGTAAATATGTTTATTTTTTTAGGGCAAATCTGAAATCGGGTCTGGATAAAGGATCAAGTTTTGCCGTATATTATCGTGGTGTTCCGGTAGTGAATTTATGGGGAGGCTACTCTGATATAAGCTGTAGACGACTCTGGAAGGAAGACACATTATCTACGTTCTTCTCATCAACAAAGGCTGTAGCAGCTCTTGTTATAGCTCATTTAGTTGACAGGTCAATATCATAATATTATTATTTACTGTTAATTCAGGCATGAAATTTCGTGGTTTTGTCACAAAGAACATTTTTGTGGGTTCTTAAAGTTGTGAACTGACTATTTTTTCTAAGAAGGTGAAATGGAAATATTTAATGCGATGCATAATAATCTTATTGAAGATGAAATGTGCCTTCCCATAGCCTTACTAGGGAAGTAATGTCATTGTCAGCTGTCTTAACCTTTAAGCCACCGAGATTCTAACATTTATTATAATATACTGAAAATATAAAACAAGTTTTTATAAACAGTGCCTTATCAATGTCTACTTACTGGTTAAACAAATCTTTCTGAATGATAAACTTATTTGCTACATGCAAAAGCCATGATACTAAGTCACACTGCTTTCATAAAATTTCTAGCTTGATTTAAGAGACATATGGTACCAGTAAAGCAAGTGTAATGAATGAAGAGACAATTATCCTATTCTTACACTTTTGCTTGTGTATGATGTAAGGTGATAAGAAAAAAATATATTTGTACTTGAAAATTCACAGAAAAAAGGTCATTGATTTTTTAATTTTTCTACCTTATATACATTGTACTTATGTTAAGGGCATTTGTTGGCAAGTACTGGTAGTTTAGCAGTTACTGTAATTTTCTGTTATGTTCTTAATTGTATTACAATGGGTATAAGTAACTATGGAAAATGAATGTTTTACAGAGGATTGTTGGATTATAAGAAACCAGTATGCACTTATTGGCCAGATTTTGCACAGAATGGGAAAAAGGATGTAACCTTAGAGCAGCTGATCTCAAACCAGGTGAGATTTCTTTATGCATGGATTAGTTAAACTCTTTGTACAGACCTATTTTACTATTATAAAGGTAGACCAGTCTGCCACCATGCTGCCTTATTAGCTAAGACAATTCCAAAAATGAAAGTTAGTAGAAAACACAGTTTAGTCTCAGAACTACATATTAACAAACCAGTCTGTTGTAATGTGTAGCCTGTTTTCTCTCTTCCCCTAAAGCTTAGTGTGTACATGTAGGACCAGAAAAAAAGTCAGTGAAAGCAATGGTAAATCAATTCTATAGTTATTCAGATAAAACACAACTAATTTCCTGCACTATAACCCCTTCTCACCTCATTCACACACATCTCTTTTTGAGCTTTGGGTAGGGTTGAGGGGTAGGGCTTGATGACTGGAGTATAATTGTTAAAAGTAGTTAGGTAGTATGTAAAGAAAGGGTTAATACTCTGTAAGCATATAAGATATACAATGTAACTGTATTGTAATTAACCATTTAATAATTCCATTTATACAATTTATAAACATTTGACCATAAACCTAGCATATATTTTTAATGGACTTTAATTATTTTGAAAAGGTAAACAGTGGTCTATTTGTTAGGGTATCTGCCTCTCAACCCAGAGATTGTTGGTTTGAGTCCTACTTGGATCTCAACCCAGAGATTGTGGGTTTGAGTCCTACTTGGATCTCAACCCAGAGATTGTGGGTTTGAGTCCTACTTGGATCTCAACCCAGAGATTGTGGGTTTGAGTCCTACTTGGATCTCTACTTGGATCAAGATCGTGATTCCTCATATGACACCAGTACTGGTTAGTTCCAGAAAGAAAGAGATTAATATAAGTTGCAAGAACTTGTTTTACAATCAGTTAAATAATTTGTTTAAACTAAACAAATTACATGAATTTCAGACTAGTCCCTTTGTAGGTTAAGGAATATTACAATATTAGAATAATTTTCAGTAGGCAACAAATATCAATTTTATCTGCCATAAAGTATAAGAATTCAGCTGCTATTACATATTTAATTTCATGTGCCATAAACAGCTGCCATTGTAGGTAAGTCAGTATTAACACTAGCTCTATTTATAGATTGCCAACACTACCAGCTCACTGGACTTGACAATTGAAAATTGAACTAACATTACAAATCCATTGTAAAAATTTGTTACATAGTATTTTATTTATTCATAGGCAGGACTTATAACTTTAGAGGAACCATTCTGGCTTGCTGATATAAACAATCCCGTCAAACTTGGTAAAAAGCTTGCAGCTCAAAAACCATTCTGGACTCCAGGTAAAATGTTTGCTGCATGGTTTTCTTTTGACAAAGACCTTTGTGTCCCTCAGTATTTGAAACCTTGTGTCTTTAAGCCATGAATTTGTGAGTTTTAGTCTTTGGAACATGTGTTGGTTGCCAATTGGGCTAACAATTATATATCTAATGACATTCCCCTTGTGGCTAAGGGTTGCCTTTAAGAGTTTTAAGGCACCAGAATTGCAGCCACCCTTTTCCGTAAAGGCAACTAAATGGGTTAGCATTACTGAAGTCTTTGTATCTCTTAGCTCCAGCAGGTGAGGTGGTTTTGACCTCTGATATTACTGTAAGTTAGTAACACGCCAGGCTAGCCAAAATCATCTTTCCTCTTTTGGCACCATATAACTTTAATTGTGATAGTGCTCAAAACATACAAACATACTGATATTTATCACTGTTGTTACAACTGAATGATATGGAAAATTTTAATCAGACTGAAACACTGATACCTGAAATAAGGTAACCACTTAAATTATACATGGACATATTGTTCCCAATTAAATTATTAAAAGAAAATGAGTTTAATATATCACTCAAAGTACATTTTATCATTATAGTGAAAACTTGCTATTTATGAAGAAAATAATCAATATACTTAACAATTAATTTTACCATTAAATGAGTGTGAAATCATTCAAAATTTCTCTCTTTGAAATGAAATATTTTCTCAATTGTATTAGGAGCAAACTTAATGATATATGCACATAAAGATGATATTTTTGTTGCACACTGGTCTCCTGCTTATATCATGCATATGATTTCAACTCCGGTAAATATCTTTGTTTAAACATATACCATGCTCATCTTTGAGTAAAATATTTTTATTGCAGAAATTTATTGAAAACAAAATATAACTAATTTGAATATAAGAATGTACTGTACAAGCTATGTATGGGAAGGAGCATTTCCTATTAAGAGTCAGGTAAAGTTGGTCCTTTTTCAGAAAAAAACTAACAGGTTTTTTTAATGGCATCAACTATTCATATTGTGACCACCTATAATGTATTTGTTAATTTATTTTATATTAACAAAGAGACTGTTTTGCAATTATCAGTATTTTCAATTATCAAATTTGAGCATAGTATATGTATGTATAAGCAGTATACAGTATGAAATAAGAATATGTCAGCACTTTTTTTTCATACAGGCGAGAAACATGGCTACCATCCGTTGACCTTTGGGTTATATCTGGACCAGATTGTACGTCATGCCGACCCAAAACAAAGGAGTTTATCAGACTATTTTAAAGAGGAAATTGCTCAGCCATTTGGTATGTAATACAATTTGTTTGTATGTAAAATTTTGTAAAGTTTGTATGTAATACAATTTGTTTGTAAAATTTTGTAAAGTTTGTATGTTAAACAATTTGTTTGTATGTAAAATTTGTATGTAATACAATTTGTTTGTATGTAAAATTTTGTTAAGTTTGTATGTAATATAATTTGTTTGTATGTAAAATTTGTATGTAATACAATTTGTTTGTATGTAAAATTTTGTACAATTTGTATGTAATACAATTTGTTTGTATGTAAAATTTTGTAAAGTTTGTATGTAAAATAGTTTGTTTGAATGTTATATTTTTGGGGGTTTAATAAACAAACTCTTACTTGCAATGAAGTTTTACATCAAATTTCAAACTTATACTCAGGTTGAAATTTTTAAAACAGAGACATAATTTAAAAAAAAATTCAATCCCTACTTATGTGTTGTAAACAATATCTGTAGAAATTTTGTGTTTCTTATGGATTGATATAAACATATTGAAAATATTATCAAGAAGTTAGTTGTTCAGTCAACATTTCCTATGATAGGTAGTCAAAGTTATTAAGATATGTAATTCTAGGGTACTAGCTTAAAGCCTGTCTGATATTGAGTAGTTAATAACATAGACAACAAACAACTGTACTTAACACTACTTATTTTCATAAACTAAAAGATCAATATTAATCATGTATTTTGATTAGATTTGGATCTTTATATGATAAAGAACAACTTTAGTGTCATTCCATAAATGTCAGGAATATTAAGTTTATTATTTTCATATCTGATTCATAACAACAAGACAATTATTTTTTCTGAAAGAATCATTTCATAATGAAAAAACTATTACATTGAGTATTCTAACTGACATTTAAATAAATGTACTCATACTGACATTTTTATGAAAGTATCATTTTAACTTTGCAAAGCAGTAATGATATACAAACTTGCTGTAATTACTCTAAAAAGTAGCTAATTTTTCCTGTTACCCAGATATTGAGATTTACATTGGTCTCCCCAAATCTCTGAGCCATAGAGCCACACGAGTTTTATTGACTCAGACCTATGACAAGACACAGTATGCCCAGGAACAACAGAAGTTTTTAAAAGGAGATCCTGATCTACAGAAAATTAGAGATACAAATACTGCTCTTGACTTCAAATCTGTGAGTGTGGCCTTTAAAAAGAAACCCACCCGAATAGAGATTTTGAAATATAGCTTGCTTGTACATTATGCTTATTTGCATGTCAATAGTGTTAAAGCTATAATTTATCAATTGTTTCTTAAGTGTCTCATCACAAAATGTGTTTTTGAGAATAAAAAGTGATACATTAAGCAGAAAAACAAAGAACTAAATATTATTTTATTGTTTGTAGAAATAGAGAGAAAAACATCGATTTTCAATATTTTTTTTAAAGATTTGGAACACTATTTTTTTTCATTAAAAAAAAATAAAAAAATCTAGAACCTTTAAAATATTGGCTTTTTAAAACTTTCAATAACCATTTAAAAGTAGTAAAATATCATCAGTTTTTAAGATGACAGTATATTTCATTTCTCAAGTATGGAAGAGTAGCTTAATACAATGTTTACTCAGACAGTTATACTCATGAATGGTTGTTATATATATTAACAATTACCTTTATAACTTCCTGAACTTTGATTTTAATATAAAACTTGGGTCAATTGGTCATGTTTCTTCATATGACACCAGTACTGCTTCTAAGTTCCAGGAAGCGGACTCTAAAGTGATTATTATGAGTTGCAAGAACTTGTTTCGCAATCAAGCCTAAATAGATATAGGAACATTTTTGCTAATCTTAAATATTTATAAATATATAAATAGACTTTCTGGCAGTTGAGCTAATGATAAATGTATGTGAAATATCTTGTGTTAAAAGCGATTTTGTGAAAGTGTCATAATGCTCATTTCTTGGTTGTCAACTGAAGTTGAATAAGTAACATTTCAAAAGATTTGCTATTATAATGGTCAATGATCAATAACTGATATTTATCAATTTCAATTAAGTCCCTGAGAAAATACTAAATAATTGTTTTCATTAAAATAAATTTTAAAAAATCAATCTTTTGCCATGATCAAATAATGGTTAATGTAATACTATCGCATAATAATTCATTCAGCAATATTTTTTCTGTGGTCATCTAACAAAATGAGAACATCTTTCATATTTCTGATTGGCTCTCAGGTTTTAGGGTTTTATCAAGTTATTTTAATTTTTACATATTCGCTGACAATTTACTCTTGGTTGGACAGAATAGTTCACTTTAAAGAAATAAAAGAAAGAGAAAAAAAATGAAATTAACATGAAATGGTTCTAGAGTCCAGTCCAATGTCTGTATCAAAATGCAAATTTATTCTGTGGGTGTGAATCTTAATAACAATGCTCACTCAGCTCACTCATGGGACTTCCACTTACCAGAAGTTTACAGTTCAGTTTTATTTTACTATTTTTAATTTAATTAATTGTAGATGCTTGTAATGATTTAGATATTGTAACGTAAATAATATATACAATGTACAAACAAATTGTTTTTGTTTTTTTTACTTTAAGATAAATCAATTATTTACTAAATCTAATTTTCTGCCTTCAGCTGAATATAAAGATGCAAAATAACTGCCGTCGCATGAACTTTGTCGAATCTGTTAGCAATGTCTTGCATGAAATAATTCTGATCAAACAAAGCAGGATCTTACAGTGGAACATTCACATGACGTTTTTAGTTTTAGCGGGATTTTTAATCCAACTGGTAAAATAGAAGAAAAATTTGATAATTAAGCATAGTTTCAGTGTTTTATATATTTCAGATATAGAGTTATATATAGGATTACCTAAACATTTGTACCACAGAGCCACAAGAGTGAACATGGCCCGACCCCCTGACCAAGCTGAAATGCTGAAGAAATTCAAGGGAGATATAAGTTTACTCATGCAAACAGCAAATAATCCCCAAGATTTCAAAACAGTGAGTGTAATATATAAAAGCACACATTTGTGACCAAAGGTCACCAGCTGGGCCTCTGCTTTGGGGTTGTGGGGGGAATTAATTTCACTAGTGTAGTGTGTGCCTGTCACACTGGTAGTCTACTAGTGTAGGAGTTTATCAATAGCATGTGGTATCCTCTTTGTTGATGATCTGCTAAACACATAAGTCTGATGTTGATCTTTTTCCTTTAATTATTAGTGTAATTGAGTTTGATTATCAAATCTAAAATAATATTGTCCATGTGTATTGTTTCACAGCTGGCACCTGAATTTGCTTAAGATGAAGTATTTAGAGGTATTTTTCAAGATAATAATTTAACTTGGTGTTGCTAAGTCCAAAGTTCATAATGATACATGATATTGCCTCTTTGAAGTAAGTTGGAAGACTCGTTTTAAAATATGACATACAAGAAAAAAAAAATAGGAATATTTTTCCATAACAGTTATACTGAAAGAAGTGTCATAAATTGAATGATGATTGCTTGATAAAAAGACTTGAAAATTGTTTGTCTGTCTTAATCAAGCCATAAAGTATTAAAATCAATAGGTGATAATATTTTCTTTAGACAACTTTGTTATATTTATTTAATCATTTGAAAATCTAAAAGTTATAAATATCGAAATAGTTATTTAACATTACATTCTTCTAAAATTGTTAAAAATGTAAAATTTTCACCATAGCTGTCACAGTGATGCAAATTTATGAAATTTAGATAAATTTTTAAGAACATTCTTTAAAATAATAAAAACCTCCATTCACCCACATACATTTATAATTACATTTGTATGTTAACCAGTTGTTAAACTTGATTTAAAGCTACTCTTAGATACCATAGTTGAAGTGAAATATTTTGTCATCTTGATTTGTGTGATTATATAGGAGATAAAAAAACAACATTATTGTTGCATAATAAAGACTTTGATATGCTTATACCTGTGCAGATATACACATTGTCTTTCCTTAAAAATCAAAGCATTTTCTACATGTTTGAGTTGTTATAACCTAGCTAGCAGAGTTGTTAACCCTGTTACCCTGCTGGCGGCAGCAACCAGCACTCCAAGGTCAGTCTGCACCGTCATAGTCAGCACTATTTGCTATTTAGTCAGTAGAAACTTTTTAATTTATCCTATAAAATGATGAATGGTTTTGTCCAGATTGAATGATGGACAAGATATTTAGTAAATAAATGGGTAATGTACCTAATACCTTATTATTTGCTCTCCGCTTTTATTGGTTCAAAACCTTGGAAATTAAGTTAAACTCTTCAAAACTAGGAAGCTATTTCAAGATAGTTCGAAGAATGTCAGGGATTCTGTCTAAGTTTTAGTCAATGCCTTAAAAATGCATGATATGCTCCATGGCGAGGGAACCCTAGACAGCCAGCATGTGACTTGACTTATATTAGTATGCTGTAAAACATTGGGTGTATTCAGATTAAATCCATTGGTAAACCAAGTTTACTTACCGTTGGCAAAGCAATGATAACAATGTTTGTGGACAAAATTTGCAATAGGTATATCAAATTGTAGACAAACTAGGGCTATGGTAGTGTTGGCAAGTCGTACCGTTGACTTTCCACCAGTAGTACCAATGTTATTTTAGTATTGGTAGCACTGGTAGCCGCGTCACAACAAAACCAACATAATGGGTTTGCGATCCGGGCAGTCTGATCAGGATCCATGCTGTTCGCTTAGAAACCTTATTACAAGTAGAGAAACTGATAACGAACAGCATTGATCCTGATCAGACTGCGCGAATGCGCAGGCTGGTCTGGATCCATGCTGGTCGCAAACGCATTAGTTGGTTTTTGTCGTGATGCGGCTCATATATAGTCTGAATGCACTCATTACCTGCTATACTGTATTGTACTGTTCAGCTAGTTTAATTGTTTGTTAAGCTATTGTTTCCTGCCTGCACTTGAAATACATTCATCATTGCATAAATAAGCAGTTGAAGCTTACAGTAGTCATGTTGTTATTTTACATAATATCTAAAAAGTAAGAGTTTTCTGAACTTACACTTCGTAAGAATTATAATTCAGTGCATGGTAGCTTTTCAAAATGTTGTTTTACTGAGGTACATTTATGAAATAATTTCATTTATTTGGTATTCAAATACCATAAGAGCAAGAAAAGTAGCTAGTTTTTTTTTTTTTTTTAATAATGTATGATGGTTTAAATAGATAAGTCAAATTGAGAGGCGAAAATTGAATATTTTTCCAAATTGTGGTAATTAACTTTTGTATAAAATACGAACTTTCACAAGTTTCTAACTGTTCACCTTTTTAATTAATAAATTAAGGGCATTGGCTTAAATGAATGTATTTGCTTTGTTTTTAAATGTACAATAATCATACTTTATTTTTATATACAGATGTTTATTTTCTCTTACTTAGACATTGAAAATAAATGACCCTGATAATAGAGAACTCCCTATACCGTCAACACATGGGCACGCTACAGCAGCAAACATGGCAAAATTGTTCGGAATTGTGGGTAATGGAGGTGTGCACAATGGGAGGAGCTTATTGTCACAGGCAGCTATAAATAGATTTACTAATCCTCTGGTTGCTGGGATAGATGTTAGTTTTGGAATAGATGCTGCCTGGAGTGTTGGTACCCATCTTATTACAATGGTTACAGGGAACCAGAGTGTAAGTATTGTTTTTGTTTGATATACATGAAGTAATTAATACAATGTTTTAAGCATGCATATTGAAATGAAATTGACTTTTAAATTATTGAGATATTGTCACTTTGATAAATTTGTCATCTGCAGCATATTTATTGTTTCCAAAATGAATGAAAATATTGACAGAAATAAATGACAGCTTGTTAAAATTTTATAAAATGAAATAAGTATGTACTTGAACTGACTTTAGTTTTTTTCACCTGTCAAAAACATTGATAAAGGTAGAAAAGTGAAAGAATGGTAATAATTTCAAGCTAAATATTTATTTCTCAATCCATGAATTTTTAGTGATGTTATGTTCAATTTTTTTTTGTAGTCAAGTGGAGTTAAATTAGGTATACAGTATATTGCAAGAGATTGATCTTTTATAATGGTGATTGACCAATAATTAATAATGAAAAATATTTAAGATAAAATTTAAAAAGTACCTAACTTATAAATACACTGCCCAACTCTTTTAAAAATTGAATGTAACTGATACATTCCAAACAATATCTATAGAAATTTCTGTGGGTCACATTGACTATTGATTAGTTTTGCATATGAAAGCATAAATTGCAAAGTGTATTTAAGTTCTACTGACACTCACACCATTTACACTTGGATGGGCATGACGTCACTTTAAATGGTATTAAGATAGTTTAATTGCAAATTTCTTTCGAACCCTTACCCTGCCGGCACTACTGATTTAACCCATGTGAGCATTGATCAACTGACACCACTTCAGCCTGATCATAGTCCGTACTGTTGGCTATTCAGTCTGTACATACTTAAAAATTTCCCTAAAAATTATGAATGGTTCAGCCCAAATAAAAGTCTAGTTAAGATATTTAGCATGGTTACAATCTGTGGCTATAATGTTATACAATTCTATTATTACTTTTAGAATGACTTTGAATATCTATCAGTATCCTTTCCTCACTAAGTTGAAAGTTTTCTTGTGATAAGAAAAGTTTTAAATGTTGTTGGATATCGTTAGCAGTAGTATAATTATATATATAAACATTGTATATTTACTCATACTTCTGAACCCTTTTCCCCGCAAAATTTCTTAAATGGACTTGTCCATCATTAAATATTGAGAAAAATTATTTACCAGTTTTAGGGAAAGTTTCAAAATACTTGAAAATACAATGTATATGTACTGACTGAATATTGAACAGTGCAGACCATGAATAGAGGGCACAGATGTGCAGCCTTGATCTTGATCTGCGCTGGTCACATGGCTAGATTCTGTAGCAGTAGCAGTCAAAGTTTTAATGTTACAGTATTTGTTTTGTCTATTTCAGCCTAATCATATATTTGGACATGGGGGATATGGCGGACAGTATGCGGCTGCAGATATCAAACACAAGATTGGTTTTGCTTACACGACCCCGTTCCTTGACCCATTTTCTTCATATAGTGACAATGGTGATGAAAGAATGTATTCTTTAATTCATGCCCTATATGACTGTGTATTCCAGATAGAAAATATCAAAGAAGAAAGAATTATATTCCAGCAACATTCACAGTATCAGAAATATTTGGACAAAAATCAGCCGCCTAGTAAATTATAATGTACATGATGTATGTAACGAGTGTAATTGTAACTTTCATATGGTGCTTCGATGACTTTTAAATTAAAAAAAACAGCATTATTTATGTGCATATAGCTTGAATGTGATTGTAAGGAATGTATTAAAAAAACTCACACATCAAAACCCCACACCTTAAAAGTATTCTAAGGATTCCTTGATGTGTGGGTTAAAACCCTGTCAGGGGCTAGCCATTGTTTCTGTGAGAAAGAAACTTTGCATTGCTTAGTACTGGTTGGTTCCAGGAATGGATTCGAGAGTGTTCCAGTAAGCTTATAGCTTCCAACACAAACTTAAAACTAATGTGATTCTCATTGTATTTACTAATGTAATTCTCATTGTATTTACTAATGTGATTCTCATTGTATTTATTCCATTTGATATTTAAAAACTTTTATGGCTTTTATGATTTTATTAGATAATGTTAGCACTGTGGTGCCTTTTTTTTTGCTACAGATTATGTTGCATCATTGTGATTTCGCTTTAAGTTAACACAGTCATAAACTGCTGAAATTGTATGATGGATTTGCCATGCTATTAACCCTTCACCTGATGAAATAGGGTAGTCCATGTTCCAGTTTTGGAGCTGTCCATTATGAAATAAAGGGATATCAAAATGAATACATTGTATCAAAGTCAGCTAATAGATTAGAGCCTAGTAAACCTTAACGGACATACAAACTGGCCTGACTATATACTAGTAGCAAAGACTTATCACTTTAAGTTCTGGCATCACTTTAAGTTCCGGCATGTTAAAGGGTATTTAGGAATTGTTAAGTCATAATAGATTATTAAAACATCATCGTATCTAAACTGAACAGTCAACAGCATAGAGCCTGACTTGAATGTAGCACTGGCTTGTGACTATAATCTGTTATACTCAAATGGTTGCTTAAAAGGTCAGATCAAAATTTAATGCATGTATGTCAAATACTTTAGACAAATGATTTTTTTTTTCCATTCAATGATTGCATTATGTTTATAGTCACAACAAACTTTCAAATAATTGTTTTACAGGCGTAAATGCTAACTTCAGCAGTAAACTTTTTTGTATTTCTTGTTAAAATTAGTAAAAATCTACTATTCTAAACGTGGATAGGTGCATTGGGTTGCTGACATTTGTACCTTTTTAAGGAGACTGTTCAGTTACATTTTTTCTAGTCATTTGTTCATTCCCATCATGCATTGTGCCAGCCTGTTAACACAAGATAACTGTTTACTGTGACTGTGGTAGAATGTAATAACTATTATCTCCCATTGACAGATACCCACTGTTGATTTACATGTAAATGTTAATGGTTTGACTGTGGGAATCCAACAATTATCTCTATTCTGCAGTATTCTAGCACAGCATTTTCTTCTGTTAAAAAACGAACATGTGACCGGAAATTATCATAAAACTTGATTTTATGTTACAAATGTAGAAAAGAAATAATGGTCTATGATTTTGCCCCCCCCCCCCCCTAAAAAAAATGACAAAGTCACAAAGTTTTGTGAAAGATTGGTTGAAATCCATTGAGAAATGTAGGATGAGTTGTGTGCAGAAGATATTGTTTAAGCCAACTTGGCTACCAACTTTCACCAAACAAATAACCTTTGGAGAACTTAGTATAAAATACAGATTTATTTTTGTATACATGGCACTTGCCATAGGGCTTAAGTATGTAGTTCAAGTGACTGTTTGACTTATGAGTATAATTAAAACATTGTTCTGATCATTGTTACAGTTTTAAGATAAAAATGCAATTATTTAAATGTATGTAAATAATTTTATCAGGTATATTTTATTATGTATTGAAAGAACCTTCATAGTTTTACCTGAAAGTCAGAAATTTGTGTTTCATTTTCATGTAGTTTTATGAAAAATGCCATTTTGTACGATTTATTTTGTTTATTCAAGCATCATTTTCCTATGTGAAATAATTCATTTGTGTTAGTTTTAAAGGGTTAAAAGCTATGTGTAATGAAATATTTTTATATCATTTATAAACAGTAAAATTATGTTGCTTCTATAATCTTGTAATAGATTCTTGCAACAGTTGCAACATAGAATGTCTCTTTTAAATAACAGACATGAATATTGTACATAAACAGAATAAAATGTTCAAATACAAAGTTTTAAGTTTTAAAGTTTGTGCTATTTTAAGTAGGATTTTAACCATTTAGCGTAAGTATCGGAGTGATTCACTTTCAAGGCAAGCACAATTGGCTCTCAAGCAAATATGCAAACATATTTTATTTCATGTATGTAATTTGGGTTTGTTCTTTTTCAAAATTAAAAAAAAAAAAAAAATTATTTTAGCTTCAGGCATCTAATAACTTTATACACCTTTACTTATATAAAGTTCAGTATTAAATATTCATTGTAGTTGTAAATATCCAGTCAATTAATTTATACAGACAATAGAAATTTTAATGATTTTTTTGTTCGAGTTTATTTTTTAAACAAATAAACTATCTTTCTTCCATTAATGTCAAACCCCTTGCGGGGATGTAGAAATGTAAACAGATGATCATTGTTAGGAAATTACTGTTCACTTCAAATATACAATATCTGTGATGATTATTCCCGAAATTTACTTATGATTTTTTGTTGTTGTTGTTTATAAGTACATAATTATGTTATATGAATTAAAAATTGTTACAGGATATAATGAACTGTTTTTTCTTCCGCAGTTATTATACCAGTGAATTGATGAAAAGCATAGTGGTTTTTAAGAACCTGTCTCTCAAGAATTACAAGTTTAAGCCCTTCTGTTATCATGTTAGTGCTTCTTTAAATGACAATTATATTAGATAATCTAGGAAGAAGACTTGATATTATTTGATTTTACACTTCCATTGCTAGGATGATATGGCTTGTTCCTTAAATTTGTCCCTGTCCTAGAGTCAATACTACCTGTGTATGACACAAAGTATCAACAAATGTTTGTTAAGAAATGTTTGTTAAGAAATGTTTGTTAAGAAAGAAAACAGTTGAAATTTTAAACATCAAAATAAATTGAATATATCTGCTAAATTTTCTTCTACATAGAAAGCTTGGATCATTAAAAAATTAAGTGTACCAAACTAGCAGGATTACGAATCGTGGCCATCGGTGGATTTTGTACATAATACATGCCCTGTGTCTGGTGATTAAATTCTAAGCTGAAAGGCAAAATTCATCAGAATTATTTGAAAATAATCATAGAAATCAGGATCCATTCTATATCAAACATATAATAGCATAAACAGTTATCAAGTGAGGCTATCCTACACACCACAACATTGCTTTTGGGGCAACACTTGAGATTTCTATACAACTTCATACTTGTGCTTCATTATCTTACATGAACATAAAGCATGTATTTGAGGTTCATTATAGGATCTTTGACCAGAAGTAAGACTTGTAACTCTTTACCTACATTTGCACTCAATTATTTGTGTGGAAAATTCCTGATTATGGCTATGCAGTTCTATCGATTAGAAGTGCTAGAAGCACTAATTCAGAACTTTACATGTCTTAGCTTTATAATTATAATTCACAGATCAAGACCCAAGACAAGACTCAAATCTCCTTGCACTATGTATTACTGTAAGAAGCGCTTTGATATGATAGGTGAATGAAACAAGCTACATTAAGATATTGTTATAAGACCTTCCTATTATTTTAAAATGAATTGGGCAAGTTGTGGTACTGAGATACGTACAACCTTTATGAAATATGAGCTGCGTCGTGACAAAACCAACGTAATGCGTTTGCAACCAGCATGGATCCAGACCAGCCTGCGCATCCGCACAGTCTGATCAGGATCCATAATGTTCGCTATTGGTTTCTCTACTTGTTATAGTGTTTGTAAGCGAACAGCATGGATCCTGATCAGACTGCGAGGATGCGCAGGCTGGTCTGGATCCATGCTGGTCGCAAACCCATTGTTGGTTTTGTCGTGATGCGGCTCAAATATATTGATACTGGAAACCATCAGATAAAATTAATTCTTCAAGGAGTTTATAGTCTGGTGGAAACTAGCCTCAAGATAATGGTAAGTAAACATATTTCTTGCATGGAGTTTAGTGTATGATTCTTTATATTGTGAACCTATGAAGCCAGCTAGCTTATAGGTCAGTAGTTCTGTTAAAATGGTAGCTTTTTTTTATCTACTTGGAGAAGGTTCAAGCAGAAAAACAGACATGTAAATTTACTCAACATCCTTTTACCAAGAATCAAACTCCTTGCAGTGAAGGGCGGTGACCAAACATTTACCCCTCGACACCTTGTTTATATCTTAGGACATGAAAAATATAAACAAATTTCTATATACTTAAGAGAATTTATTAGTTAATCAGCCACAAATACACTTACAGGCAAAAACCAACAACCATTTTTTTTTTTGTTATTTTAAATGATCAAATTTCGCCATTTAGAAGAACAGTTCTAAAAGCACTTTAAATGACTGATCATCTATAAAATGATTTGTAGCATACATGTAATAAGAATGTTACATAAAATTATAACTGTAAGCTAACAAATTAATTTCAATATTTAAGTATCTTCTTTTATATAATGAACAAAAGGTAAATTAGTTATCAAGCATAGAACAGTAGTCTACTATTTAGCGCCACGATGACTTAGCCCGTAACCTACTGAATTTATGTGATGTACTTGCCAAGATTTGAAATTGGAATAGTCCATTCAAAGTCTGAGGGACTCCATTATCAAAATAACCAAAGTATAGAGCCTTGGTCAGACTGTACAGATTTGCAGGCTAGCCTGGCTCTATACTAGTGGCAAAGGCTAATCACTAACGGTTCCAGCAAGTTAAGGATTCAAAATAATCTTGCAAAGTAAATCCAAACATAGGTGTGATGACAATACCTATATATTTGATACAACTGAAACATAGCATTGATGATGTGTAAGCAATAAAAATCTCACCCATTCAATAATCTCCTATCTCATACACAAGCACTTACAAAGTTAAATATTTTATTGCACAGAAAGATAAGTTGAGCCATGCCACCACAAAATTGGCCATGAGGAATTGAAAGAAACTGTTAACAAATGTATATCAATAATAGTGAAGAGGAAAACTTGGATTACAGAATATTATAATGATAAGAAGCACATTTTCATTTCAACATCTTGAATATAGGTTAGTTTTTTCAGGTGGAGGAAGACTAGGGTGCCCCTACATGTATCATTTCAAAGCATGAGCAGGCAATGTATTTCAATTGAATCTGTTTGAGATGAGAAATGATTATTGGTATGTAAATCAATGCTCAGCAGACGGACACATTTTGTTATGGCATGGTGCAAATTAATACAGTTAATATTTCATTAAGTTGAACCATTTCACGATCAATTTATAGATAAAACACTTAGTGGTATTGGACACAAAAGTAAATTTGAATAAATAAATTTTGAATAAACAAATTTTTGTTAGATAATTATGTCTATAAACATGTTAGAATATATTTTGATATTACAAAACACTTAATATAATTACCGAAGGCCTATTAATTAATACTAAACTTCCAAAAATAACCCATCAGAATTTTCATTACTTTTTTTTTTATCTTTGTGTCAAAGTACGTAGACCACATGTTTTAAGAATAAACAAGAATAGTTTTTTTATACATCAAGTTTCGGTGGTAATATGTCACACTTATCCTTTTACACATCACTCACACAACATATACCACTACACGTGTACAAATTACAACATTTAGTATCATTTTTTGTTTAATTGATAAAATTTTGCGACAGACATTACATCTTAAAATGATACATGGCAGAACATTTCTCATGTGCATTTTTTAATGTTATTTCAAAGAAGAAGTGATATTTTTATGTGTTTTGACAAAAGAGTGTGATATTTTATAGTACAAGTTATGTAACCATTGAGTATATGATGATTCGAATTTTCGAAATTACATAATCACATCAAATTATTTGACAATATTTGTACCACATCAATACTATATCTGAAGAATCAAATTCAATCAAACCACAAAAATATGTAGATATTTGTTCATCATGTTCACTTTGATCTCATAACTTGTTATCATTGAATGAAAAAAAATCCTTGAAAATTTCACAGAGAAACTAATTACTTATATCAAGCAAATCTTGCCATACACGCATTTTTACACGAGTATATACTCAACAAAACCTTGTTTTTTCACAAACAAGGCTTTCAAATGCCACTTTTACAATGTTTCACTGTGCCCTAGCAGACTAGCTCTTTTTTTCTTGTAGCACTTTTTATTGGAATAGAACTATATAAAGAACCTTGTAAAAAACTGTCATATCCGTGTCCGTATAAGTTAAATGTTCTGGGAAAAAAAACCCAGATTTTAGAATAATTACTGAAGTTAGAAACAAACGTGTTGCGACTTTAAGAACATTACAGTTTGACATCAGGAAAAAAAGTTATATCCTGAATGCTTCAATACATTACAAAATAACCAACACGAGTGCATACACATATCGAAAAGAAACATTATGTGGCACTGAACGAGTAATTTCATCATTCCTGACATGTTACTTTATAACAATACATCACCATCGCCAACTATAGATGTGATATGACAGTTTTACAAGAAGCTCTTCCAACTATTGATCCCATTATCAAATTAATTAATTAACTAATACACCATAAATAAAATACATATAATGTATAACGATTACTAACAATGAAGAAATAAAAGCAGTCAAGTCTTTCATTACACCGATTTTTCTGAGTCTTGGAAAAAAAAAATCTAGTGACTTTCTTGTTGCTCTTCTTCTTGCGAAAAATTCACTTTATCAAAGTCAAACTTCTCTCCCATGATTTTTTCATACAAATCTAAGATATCATCACATGTACTCTCAAAGTGTGACGTTGCGTCGTACGACTTGGAAATAAACACCTGAAGAAAACAAAACGTAAATTCATAAAATAAATAATGATTAAAATAAAGACTACCATTATCATTATAAATTATGGAAAGTTAACATATAATTATTTCAAAAGAACATGAAAATATGTTTGTTAAGGTCAAATTTTCATGGGGTATCTTTATTGCTCTTGGTTGACTTATATCCCAGCTTAACTTTTTCAGGACTCTAAGAACATCATATTTTAATTACTTCTGTTCAGCCTTTATCACCTCTTCATATATTTCCTTCATTATATCATAAAGTACTATAAAAATGTGAAATATTATCATGTTTATTCCTTATCAAAAATACATGTACCACTTAAAATTGTTCGACATTATGCCCATCCAAAGGAGTAAAGTGAGTGTCAAAATAAATTAACCTTTTGCCAAAATTTCTTTTAATTTTATAATTTACTTGGCATGGGTGATAAAAAAAACTCTCATGGCCGAAGGAAAATTTCTACAAATATAAGAGTTTACCTGTAAGGTTCAATTTATAAAAAGAGTGGGACAGTCTTTTTATATTTTAGGCAGATTTATATTTTATCCAAAACATTTTTCAATATCAACTGTTGGTCAATCACCATTATAACAGTCAATATTTTGAAATATATAGTAAATTCAGTTCAACTTGACAACAAAAATATGAGCATAACATCCCTTTCAATAAATAAAGAGAATAATGATAACGTACATTAGATTTTTCTGATCCTTCAACTGGCTCATAAAGATCACTGATGGTGACAAATCTGAAAATAAACAATAACACAATTATCATTTCTTGAAGTACACTGTTCATTTTCTGCTTATGTGAATTTTCCATTATATGCACACAGGAAAGTATTTTTCTTTTTGTTACTATTATATCAATGTAAATTTTGTTATTTACGGCAGACTACAAGATGCTACTTATTGCATTACTTGGGCAATCATTACTGGGATTACACATTCCATTCAAATTGCTCTCTCACAATAAAGAAATGAAGTCACAGCTGTTAGGAACAAAAAGTTCAAAATCAGTGACTAAAACAACTAACAGCAACAACCCTTTTTGGCTTCTAGTACTACATTAGATAAATGAAACAAATAGCATGAGGGCCATGATTGGCCCTGGGTTGCTCCCTAAGAAAAGGGCAAAATTCTTCAATATAGAAGTAAGTGAATAGGTCACATTAGAGATGTCCTTTTTCAACCAAGCTGCATAATTTATAAAATACTGAGAATGTCTGCTGGGAAAAGTAAAAGTAAAATGTGATAAACAAAACACTTAGATAGCACAGCACCACTTATCAGAACATTTTTCATGAGTTCCATTCAAGAAGTTGTTCTAAGTTTATTTTTTTTTATTTTCAGCCTCCATTGCCTTTAAATAAGTTAAAAATAAATGAAAAACAAAAGAAGAATATTTTTATCATGTTTGATGTTTAATCCTCAGCCTCAATTGGCCAAGCAACTTTGGCAACTTATCAATGCCACCTGTTCATCTGTACTGATTGTTGGTCAATTGGTATTTTTTTTTAATTTTCCTTATAAACAATGATTGTTTGATTTAGATTAAAATGTTGATTGTCTCCTGATATCCCTATCAGGAGTCAAGCAAATATGATCACAAGTTTCATTCAAGTTTGAAGTGATTTCAGGAAACATGTTGGACTGCCGACAATAGGTAGCTTATTTTTATCTTTTTATATCTTAAAAGTCAACCCTGAATCTTAAGTTCTGATATTACTGGTCACTTGCTGTTAACAGTTATATTATTAGTTATAAAGATTGTTGACAGGTTATATGGCCTTATATAAATGGCTATTATTACGGCTCTGGTTATATTTCAAACAGCTGTTTATATACAGCCATAATTATAACCTGTCAACAATCTTTATAACAAATTTATAATACAGCAAGCATTATTTTTAGAGAAAAAAGTAAGATTTCTTCAGCCGTGGAAAAAACTATATAAACGTCACGATTATCCAATGAAAAATAAAGTTACAAACATGCAGTATTATAATTGTTCATATACATTTTTATATAAATAAATGTCGCTAAAAAGACTAAGGTAATTACTTTTGTAGAGGATTGCCGAGTAAATTTATCCCAAGAGTTAGTTCTGCCTCAGGATTATCCGTTTCTACCGTGGTACTGACTATGCCCAAGAAAAATCCCTTTGGAGCAATACTGTGTGCTGAAGAGACCACACTCACATAGATGTCTGAAAATAAATATTAAGGGTGAAATATGTTGTGTTGTCAATATATATAACTTACCATGTATGTCATATTTAATCCAACTATGAAATTATTTCAATAGCATTTTACCACCAGGTTACACAAATGAAAAAAATAAAATAATAGTAAACCACTTTTTAAAGTGAGGGGACTGGGAAAACAAACTTTTAAGTCACATGAAAACTTTACAGTCTTTACTGCCTATGAAGACACCATGAAGTAAAGAGGGGTACAATTATATTATAAACCATATTAACTTTCCAATACAATTGAAAGAACTCAAAGTTCAATAAAAAGCAGTGTACATAATCATGAACAAGGTACAGTGGTAAATTTTGTCATTTCTTTATTATGTGTTAAGTGTTTAAAGGGAAAAAGTAACCTACCATGTTTTCTTTGAACTTGATTCTGGGGTATGATAATTTGAGTGGAACAGGCATCCTTTGTGTTAGGTACTGGTTTATCTAGAATGCATATAGCTCTTACTACCTACAATATACAATTGTCCTTGGTAAATGACAATATGAACATTAATCTTGGTCAACAGAGCTCATATATCCATTTTGTGTCCTAGACAAGATATTTACTTCCCTGGCATGTCATTTAGCTGATGACAATATTCAGATAACGATAGGATGGAGAAAGATGATTACTGATACAGAGTGCATTAACTAGCACTTGGCAAGACCCCATCACCATATATCTTTTCTCCAATAAAGAATTCAATGCCTATTCCTAACATTTCCCACAACACTTAGAAATGCAATTAATTCCCACTATGGGTGTGGATCGTCGGATAAGTGACGATCCGATCCAAACCACGATTCAGCACTTACGATTCACAAATCGAACCACAAATCTTTTGTTATCAAGGCACACATAAAAATATGTACATTAGTTATAAAAACATGTTTATTTAAAACAAAAAACAATACTAAACATTAAACATGAAATATAAACAAGGTTTATGTTTTTATTCTTTGGATGAGTATTTTTGTTTTGTTTTTGAAACCAATTACTTCCTAGCTCAGCATCATGGTACACCAGCAAATTGTATTTAGGTAAACTTCATATAATTTATACTCAAATCGTATTTTTCTCGATTTTTTTATAGTGTGTGAAAAACAGTGAATGTATAAAAGAAAATTAGATCGCGATCTAAGATCTCTGGGCTTACGAATATTCAAACTCGATTTTTCACTTTGATTCGTGATTATCCGAGTACTCAGATACTCGCCCCAGCCCTAATTCCCACTTTACTAATTGAATCTACCATAGTTAAAATGAGTACATGTATTTGTTTGTTTTAGACTTATATGTTATGAACTAAAATACTATATACAAATGTTAACATACCTTATCTGTCTTTTTTACTTTATCCATTGCATATAAAGGATCACATATGACCATTTTACATCTTGCTGTTTCTCCAGCAGACTTCACACCAATTACCTTTCCATCATCTCCATAAACTATTTCACACCCCTCTTTGTCCAACATGTATGTTCCTCCATATATTGCACTCAATCTGTGATAAAGAAAATAACAATTTATATTTCTTTAACTTTTTGTTGAAAGTCTGGAATGAAAGTGGGTCCAGAACAACATCAGACCAAGTGGTCCTGCATTATACCGTATTTGAATCCCTAAAATGTTGTTTCCTAAGACAAAGTTTCCTTTAAAGAAAAGCAAAATTTTGATTAAATTCATTTAAGAAATGCCCTCACATTGTTTAAGACAGTCAGCTCTAGTCAATTTGGAAAAATGATCTTTCAGCACAAAAAAAATGAAACTTCCAGCAAAACATTTTACCTATTGTATTGTGGCAATCAAATCTGATCCACAAATGTCAGATTCTGATTCACATTATCACATATTTAACTTACAAATCTTACACAAATCTTGTACATATCAAAGGTAAACAAAAAGCTGTTTTTAAAACAGAGAAGCACACCATGACAGTCAGTACGTAAAAAGTGTGAAATATGCACATATAAAACCTACCTTGCAAATCCTTGTGGAAGCTCACCAAGACCATAAAGTGGGTAAAGGTACGGGGACTTTCCACCTTCATACCGGGTCAATGAAGAATAGTACAGCTGAACTCTTTCAACAAATTCTCTCATTGGAGCATCTTTATAACTGAAATATGCAACCTTTATACATAAAATATTTGTTTGATTGTCACTATGATTTACTGAATATTAAATTTAGGCTATCTTTTAAGCTTCCACACAGTATTTGTGATATCAACATATGTTGGTAAAACCCTTGTTAGCGATCAGAAAAATATAGAGTGTCTATACTATGACAATGACCATGACCTCAAATTTCTTTATTTGTGTGTGTGTGTTGGGGGGGGGGGGGGGGGGGTGGTAGGGGAGGCATAATCATGGGCAGAGAAACATTTAGAACACCACTATACCAGAACTTCCATAACTGCTATGGAAACGACAGCATACTCAACTATTCTTAGTGCTTGACTGTAAGGAAGGGGTAATAACTTTGTAAAAAGTAAATCAGGAGTTATGGGACCTAAGCCAATCAATGTATGATTCAATCATGGTTAGATTATCACAGCGAACAAGTGTGTCAAGTTTTCAACCCACCCCTTCATTAGCTTTTTGAAGATACCAACTTGAATCAAAAAATGCAACTAGAGTGATTGTTTTAGTCAACTTGAGCATAATAGTTCTCCTTATTTTTTCTTAAATAATCTAATGTCGCATGTGTGAAACATTTATTTAGCATTTTTGCTATCTGTGAAAAATATCAATCATTTTGTTGTTTGATAATGATTTACTAAATTAAAGGGTAATCAAGAAGAAACAAAACAGTTTTACAGCCTCTTAATATTTATGGTCACACACTTCCAGTGACTTCCTATCTACATGTTGGGTACTAAAACTAATACTTATATTTAAACTTACGCTTCACTTCTATATAGAGCAAGAGCATTTCCCCCACACATCCCCGTTGTTATTTATCAACATTATTTCTTCCTAAAATATCTTTTTTGTTTAAAATTTTTGGGGGGCAAGGTCATTCCCCTGTTTTTTGGGGCTTTTTTAAAGTTGAATTGTTTTGGGTGTACCCTGGGGGAAGGGGTTTCGAAAATTTTTTTCTTTTTCAAAAATTTCCCCTTTAAAGCTACAATTTAAAATACCTAAATAATAAACAAAATTAAATTTAAATTTAATTATAAATGCAAAAAGTTTTGAAAAGGTTTAAAAAATCAATGCTTACGATACTGGTTGGTTAAGGTGTATTAAAGGTCAAGGTCAAATATGGATACTTTAAGTCTTTGTGCTTAATATTGTTTTTCCAAGCATCCAACAAAAAAATAAAGCAAGGTCATACATGAATTTCTTCTCCAGAAGATTTTGGACATGAAGACTTACATATTTATAAACAGCCAACTTCAGCAAAAAAAACCCTAGCCAAGTGTATAAATTAGGTGATTTGGAATTTACTATCCAACAGTAATGCTAATCACATTCTCAATTACTAATAAAAAATCTGACAGAATTTGAATACATTCAGTTCAATATAAGATTGTAAATATCCATAAATGTTAACTATAATTATTTTTCCTTAACTTTTTTTAATGATATTATTAAATCACCTTTAGACATGACACTTTAAATTCTTTCAAAATTGCTTCCTAGTCTGCTGCTATTTTTAAACACTTACATGTTGAGAGAGCTTCCTTCTCATTTGCTGGGACTTTGAAAATCTTTTTGTTGTTACCTCCTTTGTACACATAACTTCCCTCAATACATTTAAACTCAAGGTATCGAGTTACACCAGTATGTATTAAAAGTTTCACCAATTTTCCTTAAACAAAAATATTATCTTCATTTAATATAGGTATCAATCTAACTGTACATGTATTCCATGTGATTATCATAATTACAACATAATGGTGTTTTCAATTATATGAAGATTCTACATATATAACATTAAAGATGTTTAAAAAGACTTATGAGAACAACAACAACATGCCCCCAAAGTCAAAACCTATTTCTATGGTACTTTTCCATGTGTTTAAAGTTTACAAATAAATGGTGACATTTTAGATTACATATAAACAATGATATAATAATATGAATTTTATGAAACAGTGTCATTTCAAATTCAACTTACCACTTCCCATAATAAATTTAGGGATCAAATCCACATTCCAGTCACGGCCTCTACCCAAATCTTCTGGGGCTGTGCCCATGCCAAAATGCTTGTAGACCTATATACATAAAAATCAAGAATTATAATTTATATCTTAAATATTTCATGACAAAAGCAGTTTGTGCCATGAGGCAATTCTGCAGTGATAAAGAATGTCTAAGATATTGGTCATGTTTATCCTGCCATGATTTTCCATATTAAAGACATCATCTTAAATGTGATATTCAGCTTGCCAAATTTGCTGTATGCTCAAGGGTGAAGTTCAAATTTTTTGTCTCTTTGTGTAAATGATTATCTTAGTATCATTTCTGTAAAGTTTGCTCAAATGGGAAAATTAAATATTATAGAAATCATGAGAAACAATGGCTTAAGGCATTCACAAAAAGCTATTAAAAAAAGTAAAACTTACAGCATCAAGTGGAGTAAGAGAAGTACTTTCACCTCCATAGTAGTTATTCCTGTCCATATGCAGGACTTTCTTTCCAGCAACAGACATCAATCCACTGAGAACACATTCCTGAAAATATAATTGAAGTAGTTTTGAATTAAAAAGTTAAAATTACTTTATTTAATTAGAATCTACATACAAGAAATAATGACAAAAAATTGTCTTGCAAATCTTGAAAATTAAGCGGACTAACAGATTTCACTAAAGTTAAAAAGAGTGTCAGACATTCGTTCTGACAAACCATGAAAATTTGTCAGACCGAAACCAAATCTGTCAGACTGAAATTATATAATTTTCTAAGACAGTTTTCGGTTTTAATTTTTTTCTCCTTAAAAATCAGCACAGTCTTTACAGTGCATTTTCAACTCCTCCCTGTCGTACACAAACGACTCATGGTCCTGTTTCCGTTTCAGCATGCCCATTCACGCACTTAAGTAATACATGCACAATATTCTAGATGCATTCATTAAATTTTGTCTTTCCATACTTTTACTGCTGTTCTGCGTGCTCCTCTGACGTAGTTTTTCATTTTTTGGCACCTTTAGTGAGGCCATTTTGTATACATGCTACTTGGATAAAAGCCGGACAGTCAGACTGATCCGAATAAAAAAATTGCTGGACCTAATCAAAATTTTATTTTTGCTTTTCACCTTTTTTTTTTCAATATTCTTTTTATTTATTTATTTATTCCACTCCGATCATTATTTATTCGATCCATATGTTCTTAATTAACAAAAATGATTTAATAATTCATCTTTCATACAAATAAAACAACAAATCATAAGCATGAAAATCAAGGACGTTACATGTATAACTTATAACATGCAATTTTGACACTTTTATCAAGATAGATTACACAATGCTTGTTAGTATTAATTTTTTTTACAAAATGGCACCTTTATTAAAGTGAACACACTAGGACAAATGCGGAGACTTAATTTAAATCCTCGTTTTAAGACACAAAATATCATACAGTATGCATTTTCGACTTCCATATAATTTTGAAAAGTGCCGTACGGCTAGACAATACAGTGCGTCCTGGCTAGTCGTACGTGACTCACGTACGGCTAGAACTTTTGGCTAGCCGTACATGCCCGTACGGCTAACCACTTCCTTTTTTTTTACTTATTTTATAGCCGATATTCGGTCATTATTCCCAATTGAAAATAGTATATCATTTTCCAAATCCACAGAAAAAAATCCCAATTGATTATCGACAGTTAAAAAATAAAATTATTGAATAACATATTCTAAAATCTTCGCAAATAAGGGCATCTTCACCGTTATGGTGCTTAAATGTTTGAAGATGCCATTCTAGACAGTGATTCTTTGCATTCATTTAATCAGTGCAAAATTTCAAGTTATGCATTTTTTCCAATTTTTAAAAATTCCCAATTCCATTATGGGTCATTTTTTGCAAAATCCTGAAAAAAACCTGGGTTTAACATCTTACTGATTTTGGCGTGAGGGGTGAAATGTCTTCAAAATTCGAGGGGTGAAGTGTCATCAGTCATCTTATCTTTTGTCCATATCCTAGATTAGACCCCAGGGTCTACGCCAAGAGTGTACATATATATTACAGTAGGCTCATTAATTATTACTAGCAAATGGGACTCGGCACTGTGCCGATTCCCTGTGATTTCTAGTATATATGATGATTATATCTGTATACTAAACATTATAAAGGTCTATATTCCAGAAGATTGCCCAAATTATCTAAAATTCCTAGGGAAAACCCTATAAAATACATCAAATAAATGATATCAGGATTGCAATCTAACTAAATACCAACATATACTTGCTTATTTGAAATGCTTTAAACGAATAAACGATTAAGAATCAGCAACCATTAGTCTTTATTGATTTTTATCAACAGACTGAAAGGGGTGGGGTGTTCCGGGGATTATTTTTGACACTTAATCCAGTATATTCAATGAACATTTTACTTATTTCTTTCAGTTTAATTTAAGCTTACCGTAAGACCTGTTCCCAGAATGATGACATCATATTCTTCATCCATGGCGACACTGTAATCTTGAAATAATTCTGTCAAAGATTACACACCGGCGAAACCAAGATGGATGAATTAACGGCGGATGAATAAAAATGACGTAGTTCATATTATTCAAAATGTCCTGAATACCTATAAAGATATTTTGAATATACCTGAAGAATCATATTAATTAAATGTACAGTATTATGGTAGCATTTTTTAAGAATAATCGGAAAGATTGCAAATAATACGGCATAACATTAAGGACTCATTTTACGCGGAAATTACTAAGACATGCTGGTTGTTGTTAGGCACTTCCGGTGATAATGTCAGTCTCTAGCCATTTCCATACAAAGATGTAGAAATGCTAAGGTTTAACGTTATTTTCATACGTTTTTGAATCATATACATATGTTTAACTAAGAATTATCACCATTGCAATAGATACAGCTGAAAGTTTAAAAGGAATATATTCGCTATATCAAAGTAGCTCTGTTTCATTTCATTTTTCTTCAGACAATTTTTATAGTTGTTACTATAAATGCACCCGTCTGCATAAGCAACTCTGAAAAACTGAAATAAGGCCAATATATTATTTTGAGAGATTTTAGAATTAATATCAATGTTGCGTTCATTCAGAAATTCCATTTAATCTTTACACATTGATAATTAAGTTAGTTTTTATCAACTTTTTTTGGAAACTCAAAAACATATGTATGTAACAATGTAGGTGTTAATTAAGGTAAAGCATAGAGATCAGATAAAGTAGACTGAAGCAACATGTGCTCATTTCCATTTAGAACATTTATGCAAGATACAAGTAAACAAATTCATGAACATTTGATCAAGTAAATTTAATTTTAATAGAATTAATTCTAAGTGTTACCAATACCTTTTTTTCTATCTTACTAGAATTTTGTGAAATTAAGCCATTTTTTCTTCACAAAATTTTTTCTTCATGTTATTGTTCGAGTATTGACAAATTAGTTAAATTCTAAAAAATATGTTACTGTTTTAAATATAATTTCACATTCAGTATCCAGAGGTTTTTTTCCCCGGGAATCCCCCACAAATTTGGTGGAAAATAACCTTTATACAAAAGTGGAAGAACAAACTTGATGTGAATTGAATTATATAGAAAAAACGCCTGAGGGAACATAAGGCACATGTGAATGCTTCTTGCCCAGAAAGAAATTAAATTCTGATTAAACTTTCCACCATTTTATATTCTTATGTTTTAGTGAGAAACTCCTGCATTAACACCTAAAGTAATACTTGAGGACTGGTATTACCATGTATTTGCAAAATAATTTTATTATTTCTAAACAAGTTTTGTAAAATTTATGGTTAATAAAAAAGAAATAACCACAACAAAAAAGTACTATCATGATTTAAATTTTTTTTATTTCTGCTAAAACTTATTAGAAATTAGTGATTAAATTAAAAAAATATATAATATAATTATGTGCCTGACCAAATATATTTCCTTTAGAATGTATTTAGAATATTAAAAAAGGGGCAACAATCATTTTATTGTTCAAGTCAGAGTTATCTCATATTTTATGATTTTTGCTTAAATATATATTTCTATTTTTTACAGGTTTTATATAACATGACAGGATTGTAAAGGTACCATGTCAAAAACTGCATCACAGGCATCTAGGCCTTGTAGTAAAGCTGAACATGTTCAGTTACTGTCGGTCTCAAAAACATCTGGTAAGCAGTGTATATAAGTACCTATATATAACTTGTTTATATGACAGATTTTTATAATGCAAATAAATTTCCCAAATTTTAATTGGTTGACATGTTCTTGTCTACCGTATATTGTCAAAGCAATATTATTAATGACAAGAAATTTAGCCCATGAATACCCTGCTTGACTTTGTGGGTATGAACAGTATTTTTACTTAGCATCAAAATAACAGTATTTTTACTTAGCATCAAAATAGTGAACATCCTTCAATTAAATTTACTTATCAAGCATGTACATTTAATGATTTTCAATTAAATTCATTAGTTATTCAAGTGCTTAATTTGCATGTTGAATACTTGTTAATTTACAAATCAATTTATAAATTATAATGTCAGTGTTTCTTGTTCACTGAAAAGAAATTTGAATAACCTTTTAAAGTCATCTTCAATAGTCTTTTGACTTTTGTAATGGCAAGTTATTCTAAACTTATAATACTGGTGCAAGCTGATGAGGTAATTTGACATTATTTGCTTATAAGCCTTAAAGGAAAAATAAAGTTTACAATTTTGTTTCAAAAAATGTACACATGTTTTAATTTATAATTTACATGTAATGCAGACTCATTTGCGGCAGATGTTATTTCAAAGGTATTTCCATCAGCAGAATTGGCATCAGAAGCGAGTGCGGATGCTGGGAGGTAAACCTTTCATCACAATTTGTCATATAACATATAATCAATAAAAGTTTCTAGCATAACTTGTTAGCTTGGTAGGAAAAGTTAGGTCTGTTTGTTGCTGTTTAATAATTCAAATTTTGTACATGTTTTTCTTTGCAAATTTTTAAAGGACCTCCCCTAAGTTTTTTTTTTTTTTTTTTAACATGATGGGCTTTTTTCAAGATTTGTATGCCAGTACCATTTGATGTACGGCTGAACCAAAAACTTGCAATTTTTCAGATCTCCTCCCCCTCTTATTTTCCAGAACTAACATTAATTTTATATTGAGCAAGAGTGCTTTTCACACAAATCAGGCTAAAAATCGCACACAAAATCGAATTTTATTTTAATTCTGAGTACATTGTGTGTATATTCCTTTCTTTTCTTATGCAAATTTTTCCTTTTTAAGTACTTCATTCAATTTATGTAAGAATTTCAAATTTTATGTTTAGGCTTTTTTACCTAACTGATGCTCCTTTGAAAGAATACATACATGTATAATATCATTCATCCTGCACATATATTGAAATTGATTTATTTGAAGACACTAGTACATGTATGTACCTAAAAGCAGGTATGATATAGTAAAGAATTAAGGAGCTTTCTCCATCTTATTGTATGTAAAGCGATCACTGAAATATTGTTAAAAATATTGAATTAACTTTAATTTTATGTGTCTGAAATTTCATGTATTTATGTATGTGTGTTTTTTTTGTGTTTTTTTTTTTTTTTTCAAAAGGACATTTTCCTAAGTTTGTGAATTTGCTTTTGCAAAAAGTTAAAATGCAAATAATTTTAGATAAATCGTACAGCAGACTAAATAGAATTTTACTGGATCTTAAATTTGTGGGTTGACCTGTCCAAGAAACCACAAAAAAAAATGCCTCATGAATAATAATGACTTTGTGAATACTTTTCCAATAAAATTTCAAGTTTCTAGTTTTATAAGAAAATCAGTGCTTTCTTTATTAGTAAAATGTTGACAATTGTGGGTCTGATGAAGTTGCAAATGTTTGCCTTAATCAATCAAGTTTGATTAATTGATATCAATAAAATGTAATTTGTAACGTTTTGTTAGTGAAAAAATGTATTCATTTGTTGTTACAGTAAAGTTGTAACTGTTAGCAACCTTGGCAGTCATCTTGAAAAATGGACTGAAGATGCAGTTAAAGGCCAGCAAATAACAGGTATTTTTCCCAACTATATTCGTAAAACTGTTAAAGTATACCTTCAAAACCTAGTACATGTACTAGTTAATTTATAGATCTGTAGCTTTAGTTTTTGGCTATTGTTTTGACCCAGTTATACACTTGAGTGATATTGATTTTCATTAATGGTCATCAGTATCATAGCTTTAACATAAAAGCATGCAGTGTTTCAAGTTCTACCTGCTTCAACGTCTTTAAGGACAAAGGTGAAGGTCGCTTTGACCTGTAATAATACAACATAAACTGGCCATCAGATCAAAGTGCATTGACCAAGGAACTTCAGACTTAAGATGTAAATGTACTTTGATGAGTTCTACCTGCCAAAGTTATTTTCAGGTCAAAAGGTGGAGGGTCAAGGTCACTTGGACTTAAACATACAAAACTTAAAACTGGCCATTTACTAGTACCGTATATTTAGTGCATTTACATGGGAACTTCAACTTTTGTACATAATGAAATATTTTGAAACAAATCAGTACATAATAAAACCAGAGACAGACTGTAGGGTATTTTTATTATTTTTTCAGACACCTCAGAACCGGTTGAAGGTCGGCTTGGTCCAGTTGATGTCACTTTCCAGTTTGACATTCACACCAATGTTGGAACATTAATTGTTGATCAAGACAGATTGGGGGTATTTTCATTTTTTAATTTTTTTTATTGTTTCTGGGAAAGTTCAGTTAAAGTTTTTTAGATTTAGTTCAATAATTTTCACTTAAGATTTATTTGTGTAAAGGGAAATGAGTTTTGTATGACTTGTGAACTGAGAGAAAATTTGATAATAAATTGAAGTAACATTGGCTTAAAATTTATCTTTTGAATAAGAAATGCCTCTAAGTAGTTTAGCTTCAGATATATCAGGTAGTGATGTGTGAAATAGCTAAGAAAATCAACATTTGTACAATAAGCATTACACCCAGAGGCAAATTCGTGTTAAGTGTCTTTTAAAGTTAAACTTACTGCCTTTTGGGACCTGTCCAAGCCAGTTTCTATCTAATTCACTGGTGCGGCTATGCAGATTATCATAATTTTGGTAAAAATATATGGCTTAATCAGGTCCGCTTTTTTTCTCCCTCCATGATAACAAAATTTTACTTACTTTTTATGATGATATTCATATATACATTAAAATAATTAAGTAAAAAATTAAGAAAAAAATAAAATAAAGGCTTATTTTATACTTAGTAGAAAAGTTGCCCTTTATCTCATCTGCACATTCATTTAAATTCTCCAATGGCCCAAGACCCTTTTTTCCCCCCCAAGGTGAAAAAAAACATTGGTACATGTATCATCTTCACCAGTCATATTTTTAGCTGTTAAATTTATTAAAAAATACTGGTACATGTATTGTTTAAAAAATAGATTTTTCTGCTATGATTGACAGGTAGATTTTTCATCACGTTTTTCTCTTACATGAAATAAAAAAAAAAATAGAAATTTATTTTATTTTAGTGTATAATGATATTTTGTTTGTAGTATAGAATAAACAAATCATTCAATAAATGTTACTCATTTTCTATCTTTAGTTGTCAAGCCAGAGTAATTTTAGCAGTATGAAGGCAAACTGTTGTGTATATAGAGGTAAGTACAAAGCTATCTCAAATATTTTCATTTAGAAGGGGAGCTGTCTAATTGATAAAGTGTGTCAGTCGCTTGATGTCCAGGGATGTGGGCTTTTTTTGTGTCATACTGGGGTCAGGACCATGTTTCTCATCTGACTTTATGTTTCACTCCGATTGTACCTACCTCTGACAACTGCATCAAGAAATTGATTCTTTGGCATTATTGTATTGAATATAGTGTTACCTTCTTCAGGTTGAAAACAACTTCAGACAAATGCAGCAACTATGTCTTTGTAACTAACAATAAAAGAAGTTTTAAATGGAAATTCTTGAAGTCTCTGTTTTTATGTTTAGCTTTTTCAATATGAATTAATCTTTACCTATAGACTTTGAAGTAGTTTAAAATTCTTAAATTTTACTTTTTTCTTTCAATAGGAAAATGGGCGTATGAAGTAATGCTTGGATCAAAGGGTGTAATGCAGATAGGCTGGTGTACCATAAAATGCAAGTTCTCACAAGAAGTAAGTAAAGTGTCAGAAATACTTCTAAATTCTCTAGTTCAAATAAGGAAGCAATAAGTGGTTCTTCTCAGGTGCTGGTGAGTGACGGAAGTAATACACCAAGGGGCACCAAAGGTTTCAGTCTTCCAGGAAATTCAAAAAAGTTACCAAATAACCTTTACAATATTGGTGTGACATGAAACCAAACTAAAAAGTTTCTAGTAATTTGATGTATTTAGTAAAAGTTAAGTTTCAAGATCCATATGAGTCATGTCTTCTCCCTCAAAAGTTTGTAATGCACTTACTTTTGTGATGTAATTTTGGTAATGTATATTACATTGCATTAGTCACATAGTGTTTGTATAGTCCCCTGTTACAGTATATTTGTATCTATTGAACAAAAACAACAACAACACAAATTGGATTAAATGGATTTATTTACTTTGGACTACTTTTGTATAGGAAGGTGTTGGAGATACTGAGGATTCCTACGCCTATGATGGTAGCAGGCAGAGAAAATGGAACAAAACAACACAGAAATATGGAGAGGCAAGTGCAGTAAATAAACCCTATATGTTTGTTACATTGAACCAGCAACTGACCCATGTTGGTTGAAGGAATTTTTATATTAGATTTGTAAAAATAATCAGCTAAGACAGTGCATGATCTCACTAGAATGTTCAATGAAATAGCTTATCTAATTGGTTCTATAATGGTGGAGCCTTTGGGGAGCATAGAATTGTTTTATTCAACAAGTTCAATAAATTCAGTATTGAATCTTATAAGAATCTTACACTGACTGCCGGAAAAGACTGGAATATCTAGCTCGAGGGTAACTGTTTACGGTGCAAAAGAGGCTCTGCCGAGTTTCCACTAAACAGTTACCTGAGAGCTAGATATTCATGTCTGTACTGACAGCCAGTGTTTGATTTTTTTTTCTTGCATATTAAATATCAATTATTTTCAGAACAGAAATTATGAAAACTGATATTTTTATTACATACTTTTATCTTATACAAACTTCATTCATAACGGTAAAATGACGTCATCCTTAGAACCCAATTCAATTATAAAAGACGCTCCGCAATGACATCATTTAAAGCACGAGACTTGTCTTACATTGGGGGTGTAAGACAGGGTTTTCTAGCACCGGTGATAACAGGAGATAGTCCTGTCTGATATGCGAGATCACAAATATATATATAAGAAATAATATATCCCAAACAGTGAACTGTGATTATAACGCTCAATAACATCACTGTTTGGAGTTTGGATGTGAGGAATTATATTACGAGGACGTAGCCGGAGTGATAATTATTATGATGAGCATCTGAACGACAAACAGTGATGTTATCAAGCGATAAATCACGGATTTGGATATATTATTTCGATTCTAACATGACATCAACAAATAATTGCTGCCATACCTGATGTAAAGCAAAACTGGGGCTGATTTGTTTCCATACTTATTTTCAGCACATCGCATTTTTAGTGGTTGCGTCACATGTATAATGATTACGTCACATATCTAAATATAAAACATCAACAGTGATTTTATTGCATAATAACACACACTTTCGGTTCTTCTATATTCAAAAGTGAAAAATGTGGGTCGTGTTCAAATATTCTATTTATAACATATATGACATAAGAATGGTAAACTGTTAAAAAAGAGTCATTTTTCGTTGACGCGCATGTAGTGTAACGCTTACATTAGTGCACTTTAATGCTATGTTTATATATAAAGCAAATGACATCATGTGAAAGTGTTATTACACTAGTGTAAAATCGTTTTTATTAAATGGCTTTATTACACTTCTGTGCCACGGTTTATGTGATAATTTCTTTTTGTTGTTGTCATCTTTCAAGGATTTTTAAGAAAGAAATAGGCTTTGTACATGTTTCAACTTTATTAAAATCAAGTAAAGTGTTTGTATGATATGTTGTTTTATTCAGGCATGGTGTACGGGAGATGTGATAACGTGTACAATTGACTGTGATACAGGTTCTATATGCTTTTACAGGTATTTCATCAGTGAAATATAATCCATATCACTAGTATTCTACTACTCATAAAAAGATATTGTTTTTCATTCATATGCATTTATTGTAGAGTTCTTTATTTCATTTTTATAATAGAATAGGTGTTTGTGTAAACTTGTAGAAAAATAAATTTTACAATATGAAATATACTTCTATTTTACTTTAAAATATATTCAGTTTAATTTTCACTTGCGTAATACATCCATGACATTGCTAAAACTTTCTAAGTCTGTTTATTTTAAATCATTACCATTTCACTGATGGGAGTTTGAAATTCAATGGAGGTATTTGTTAAATTTGTTAATTTGAAAAAGTAATAAAATTGATTGTTCCACTATGGAGCCTGTTTGTTTCTGAAATTACATAAAGTATCATGTGCAATCTTCTACACGGCCAATAGACTCTACATGATCGCTTACCATGCTAAATATGTTAAATGGATCAGTCCAATTTTCAATCTGGACAAAAACCATAAATAATTTTTTTTTAAATATATTTTTTCAAAATATGTTATAACTGAAAAAGCAGACAGTGCAGACCATGATAAGACAATCACAAACGGTATGGTTGATCTTGGTCTGTACTAGTCACATAGGTAGAATCATTTTCCTCTAGGAGGCTAAGTGTTCAAGAGTGTAAGTATTGAAATTTCATGTGTTACTTGCCATATGTTTCAGAAATGGTAAGAGTTTAGGGGAAGCATTTTCGTGTGTAAGACTTGGACCAGGATATGCCTACTTCCCAGCTGTTAGTTTATCACTGGGAGAAAGTCTTAGAGCCAATTTTGGTGCTACACCTTTGAGATATCCTTTTATATTATTGTAGGAATGAAAAGTTTTATTGTCATCATTCATTCTGTAAGTTACGTGTATTTATTTCATTAAATTTTTATTATGCATTATAACTTTTTTCTATTAATCTATTTTCTGTGTATAATTTGCGTGTTCGTGGCCGAGGGGATAAGGTCAAACCACTTACTCCTCACCTCTGTGGGTTTGAAACCCGACAGGGACTTTGGATTCTTAAATGTAAGAAAGCTATCAAGCTAGCTTACTCTACTCAGGTGCACGTTCTTGCCTGACATAATGCAGAAGGGCACCTTCCTGCACCAGTAAAGCTGCAAGTCGCCATATGACCTACACTGTGTTGGTGCAATGTAAAACCTAACCAAAAAAAAGAAGTCTGTGTAAAAATGGATTTGAGTATAAGTTTTATCTAAAATTACACTGTCTTTACAAACAGTTTACAGGAAACGGTATGAACATGTCTAGCTAAGTTATCATTTACATTATTCTTAAAGTTAGTAAAGCTTTATATTTGCCGCAAAATTAAAAAAACCAAAACATTTGTTTCAATTTTCTTAATAGAATAATTCCAAAATACCTGTATAAAAGAAATACTTAAGAGGGAATGGTGAATGCATGAAATCATTGCTAAAATTTTAAATCCCTACTGGTATGTATATTTGAAAATGTTCTGGAACATTTTATTTTGTTCAGGTACAATATTCATAACATTCTGTGTTGAATAATAGAGACATTCTATGTTACAACTCTTTTGAGAATCAGTCATGAGATGATAGAAGCAACATTATTTTATTACTAATAAATTTAACAAAAAAATATTTCAGCGTAATATAAAGCTTTATACCCTTTAGATTTATTTGTAATTTGATTCTGTTGCTGAAAAGTTTGATTTGTACGATACATGTGTATGATATTTTCACTAAACTTTTCACTATTTACCCTAAAACTGCATGCTCTCTATTGATTTTAGATTAGTGTAGTGTCAAAGTTTAAGCATATTTATTCCAGATGCTTAGAAAAGGTGAATTTAAAGGCAATAAGGTATTGATAATATATCTGATATATGAGTAGGCAAGTGTGTGTGTTTTTTTTTTTTGGAAAGATTTTTTAAAGATTGATCTTGCAATTTGTCATGTATGATGCCCCTTGACTTCAGACAGATATCCAGTGCCAGGCTACTCTCCCCTTCAAAGCTCACCTGTTACTGATGTTGTGAAAACCAACATATTACTATCCTACATAGAGAAACTGCTGAAAATTCACATGGAAGTGGTTGAGGTGAGTTTTTTTATGGTCCTGAAAATTTTCTTATTGGAGTACTAGTTGCCAGTTTACTCTAAATTTCACAATGCTTACATGTAAGCAACAAAATTTCAACTCCAGTTTAAATTTAAATTTGTATTGTTTATATGACAATGCTAACATATTTAATCTTACAGCACAATCTTCTGGCGCATATTTAAGGTATCTGTTGCGTTATTTGTTCCTTATATAGACCTCCTCTGTTGAATTGGGTTGTAGATAGGGTCATTTTCTGGGATTATGGTCACTGAGACAAAAAAACAAAACTGAATTGTTCATGGCTTTCTTGTCAAAAATATTAATGATAGATAATTTATGTAATATATATTCGTCAAGCTTTGAATTTGAATCAGTACATTTGAAGTTAAAAGGCATTTAGTGTCAAAAACACAAAAAAATTAGCTACCTGCAGTTTATAGTCGGTCAGACCTGCATGGATGTGCAGGCTGGCCTGACTCTATACTGGTAGCAAAGACTTTTTACTTTTGAATCCAGCACATTAGGGGCTAAAAATCATTACTTTCTAGTGATTAATTTGGTAATGAAAGATCATTTTATTTATTGTAAAATGTATGTAAATGATTTGTCTGGTTATCGTAACTTCTCTCTGTGACAGGTTCCTAAATCACCTGACAAGGAAATGTTATCAAAGGAGAAAAAGCCCGCCCCACTTACAGAAACAAGAAGTAAAGAAAGTTCCGTACTGCTGATTGTTGCCCAAGTCTTTGATAAACTTGCACCTTACTTGGTAAGTATTTATTTCTTCTTTCAAAGATTTTTTTTTTCATGGCATGATTAATTTAAATGATTTTGTATTATATATTGGTTCAGTAGATTATTTCCAGATCAAATTTATCTCCATTCTGATTCAAAAAGAATATTAACATATTTTGTTCCAAAACTGGTGAAATAGTAAAATAATTTGAACTGATAAAATTAAGAAGTTAACAATTCAGAACCTGGTCATACTATATGAATGTACATGCTGGTCAGACTGTATGCTGCAGGCATAGGAAAATATCATTTTAACATCAACAGAGTCAATACTACTTATAAATGTGCTGTATAGATATTTGAGTATTAAATGCTGTTCGATTATTGTACATGATGAGACTGATAAAGCTAATATGCCAATAGTTAGGAATAGGTAGCCTACTGCATGAGGTCAACCTTGGGTAAGAACCATGTTTTCTCATATGACACAAGCACTGGTTAGTTCCAGTCTGCTTATGATTGTGACGACATTTTTTCCCTTGTCTGTTTCAGGAGAAAAAAGTTAAGCAGTTATGATTGCGTTGGTGTTGTGTTGTCATGCAAAAACTTAAATATAGCCTGTTATTCAAATATTTTAATCGTTATCAACATGCAACTTGGTAAACTTGCATGATGCAGTTGACGGATAAGGGTCATAATTCTGAAAGTAATATTTTTAATAGTTATGCCCCTTTTTAACTATGACTTTTTAACAGATAAGTTTTAACACCACATGCTGTGCTCTTGTTTCATATGACACCAGTACTGGTTTTTTCTAGTCTACTTGAGGTTTTAACCACATTTTCTCATAATTATGACATTAGTACTGGTTAGTTTCAGTTTGTCTATGGTGTTGACCATGTTTTCTTATTTGACTCTAGAGCTTGTTTGTTTCAGTCTGCCATGGTTTGACCACATTTTCTCATAATTATGATACTAACACTGTTCCAGTTCCAGGAAACTCAAAATGTCATCAACATATCATCCAGTATTTAAAAAGTTCTTAAATAAATTACTTTTAGAGACTAGTCATTTATTGTTAAATAATGATTTATTGTAGAGAAATACATACGTTACAGAAGCTTGCTTGTTAAAGCTTGTACTTAGACTGAATGATGTCACCATGGCAACAAGTCATCAGCCAATCATATCCAAGCTTCTAGACTACATGTGGGCTTTCATGCAGGTTTGTGTTATAAATTCACTTTCCTTGTGATTGATCATGAAATCCTAACTAAGGTAATTCACACTGTACCTCTGCTCTGGCATATATAAAAGTGATATCAGTTCCTTGCAAAAGTTTTAGAGAGAGGAGAAAAATCCATCTCAGAGATTAGTACAAGCCTTCTCCAAGTAGACTTATTCTTTGATATAAGATTTTAACATCATTTTTGTCTTTATTTAATATCACTGTTCCTGTTTGTAACCTGTTGAGACATGTGTGATTGTGTGACATTTTGGTGCATGTTTTTCAGGGATTTGAGGTCCGAGGTTGTGTGGAGAACTTAATGGTATCACTCCTGTCTTCATACAGATATACCCCAACAACTACAGACTTTAGAAACAATGTAAGTGTCATATATGTAAGTGTGTTTACTCTATACTCAATAAGGGTCCATCTTCCCAGGGACCACTGTACTGCATTACATGATGTTATGTAGAGTACAGGCCAGGGACATGTTGCCATCATGCTCTCAAGAGTTCATTTTAAGGCACCATCATGACAAATTTGTCCCTTTACAAATTTCAGAGAGATTGTTATCCAAAAAGATGACTTATGAGCCAATGTTAAGACTTGTTTATTATACAGTTATTATAAATTGTTGACAGTTATGATAAATTGTTGAGTACAATACTGAATTATAGTCTGATATAGGTTTTGCAGCTGTGCACTAGTCTAATTGAATCAGTTTTGTTCTCTACAGTGGGAATGGGGTATATAATGACATTTTTATTATGCCCCCACAATGTGGGAGCATATAGCGTTGCACTTGTCCGTCCGTCCGTCCAACCCAAAATCTTGTGAATGCAACTCCTCTTAAACCAGATGGCAGATTTGCTTAAACTTACAGGGATTAACAACCTTAATGTGTAGATGGTAGTAAAGGAAGGAATTTTTGCTGCGACCAAATTTAACAGAATTATGGCCCTTTGTTATCCCCCGCCGATGGAATCGGGAGGGGGATATAGTTTTGGCGTTGTCCGTCCGTCCGAGCAAACATTTGATTATTATGAGCTTCATTCCGTAGTTAAATAAAGAACAAAAACTCATAAAATTCAAATTAAGAGCTTTTTTTTTTGTTTTTATGAGCTTATTTTGCTTATGGACGTTGGTCCAGGTGGTGTTTATGAGCTGATTTGCCTCATAAACATCAAGAGTTGGTATGTCCGTCCTTCAGTCCGTCCATCCGTCTATCCGAATTTCGTTTCCGGAGTAGTTCTCTGCAACTACTGGCTGGAATTCAACGAAACTTTATGGAAATCATCAATATCAAGAGGAGATGCGCATATCGTCGGCTTGTTCCAGTCTGACCCTTTAACTCAGAGTTATGGCCCTTGATTAGTTATGTAGTATGCATATAGAGTAAAATCGTTTCCGGAGTAGTTCTCTGCAACTACTGGCTGGAATTCAACAAAACTTTATGGGAATCATCAATATCAAGAGGAGATGCGCATATCGTCGGCTTGTTCCGGTCAGACACTTTAACTCAGAGTTATGGCCCTTGATTAGTTATGCAGTAGGCATATGGAGTGAAAATCGTTTCCGGGAGTAGTTCTCTGCAACGAAACTTTATGGGAACCTTCAATACCAAGAGGAGATGCGCATATCATCGGCTTGTTCCGGTCAGACACTTTAATTCAGAGTTATGGCCCTTGATTAGTTATGCAATATGCATATGAAGTAAAAATCGTTTCCGGAGTAGTTCTCTGCAACTACTGGCTGGAATTCAAAGAAACTTTATGGGAATCATCAATATCAAGAGGAGATGTGCATATCATCGACTTGTTCCGGTCAGACTCTTTAACTCAGAGTTATGGCCCTTGATTAGTTATGTAGTATGCATATAGAGTAAAAATCGTTTCCGCACTACTTCTCTGCAACTACTGGCTGGAATTCAACGAAACTTTATGGGAACCTTCAATACCAAGAGGAGATGTGCATATAGTCGGCTTGTTGGGGTCAGACACTTTAACTCAGAGTTATGGCCCTTGATTAGTTATGCAGTATCCATATAGAAAATTATTTGTTTCCTCGCTACTTCTCTGCTACTACTGGCTGGAATTCAATGAAACTTTATGGGATACTAAGAGGAGATGTGCATTATAGTCGCCTTGTTCCAGTCAGATACTTATAACTCAGAGTTATGGCCCTTGATTATTTATGTAGTATGCATACATCTCATTGGCATTTCCAGATTTTACTATTTAACACAAAGTTATGGCTCTGTTATTGCCCTGAATATTTATCAAGTTCAAAGAATATTACTGTTTATGCCATGATTAATATATAAATAAAGCCTTATGTCTTCAGTTGTTGTGTTAATAATAACCAGTACTCGGCGGGGGATATAAATTCAACGAATTTGCTTGTTGATTTTTAGTTTTTAACTTGTGGTACATATTTGACCTAGAGTCAAAAGATTGACAGAACAGTGGCGTGTGGGGGCATCCGTGTCCTTTGGACACATTTCTAGTTACATATTTTTTGACAGAACTTTGTTACTTCAAGTACAAGTGGAATTGATATGATTTTTTTTACCCTGAAAATTGAAATTAGGCTGATGTAGTATTGATATGCATTTGATAATGATAATTTGGACACTGAAGATGAAAACTAGGCTTTTTCGGGGTATGATACACATTTTATATAGATAATTTAGGCTCTGAAAATGATAACACGGCTACATGGGGTAGTATATGCATTTTTAGCTTGACTATTCGCTAAGAATAAGTAGTCACCCGAGCGTTGGCGTCGGTGTCGGCATAACCACTTATGTTAAAGTTTTTGTAACACCTCAAATATTTTCAAAGTCCATTGACATATGGCTTTGAAACTTTGCACACTTGTTCACCATCATGACCCAATTCTGTAGACAGGAGGAGGTAACTGTATCAAGTTCTTTGACAGAATTATGCCCCTTTTTTAATTTGAATTTATGTTAAAGTTTTTGTAACAGTTCAAATATTTTCAAAGTCCATTGACATATGGCTTTGAAACTTTGCACACATGTTAACCATTATAACCCCAACCTGTAGACAGGAGGAGGTAGCTGTATTAAGCATTTTGACAGAATTATGCCTCTTTTTCAACTTAGAATTTACATTTAGGTTTGCATACCACCTCAGATATTTTCATATTCTACTGAAACAAGTTGAAATTTTATACTCTTCTTTGAGAGTATAATAGGACTCTCTCCAAGGCCTATAACTATAACATGGATTTATAGAAAAAATTTGTCCTTTTGTTATTAACTCGGAAAATTTTACATTATCAAGGCTCTTTTACTATCAAGCACTAAGAATAGTCCAGCGTTGCTGTCCTACCGACAGCTCTTGTTATGGACTTTTTGGAATTTGAAACTGGAAACAAAGCTTATTGTTAAGATTGGAATGGATAATGATTTTATTGGGCATCACATAGTTCAAAGGTTATTGCATGAATAATATTAGGACTATATTAAATGTCATAATAAGCTTTGGATAATTTGTAGTGTTATGATTTTTAATCCTTTGTTTTATTCTTATTATCATACACACGATAATTTCTAGACTACTTTCCAGGACACTTTTCTTACTAAGATCAAGCAAGCAAATTTTTTCTTAAATTTACATAGAGGCATATAACCTAGATTACCAGTATTTATAACTTGCAAATATTATGATAATAAAACAAGACAAAATATCTATTATGATTGGCAGTTTATCATTTTTGTGTCGCCTCTACGGAGTAGTGGCAACATATAGGGATCACTTCTCCGTCGTCTGTCTGTCTGTCCGTCTGTCCGTCACAAAACTTGTCTGGACTACTCCTCATAAACTACTGGTGCAATTTCATCCAAACTTTACAGGAATGATCAGTACCAAGTCTAGTTGTGCATATTGTCAGCATTTTCCGGTTCAATGATTTTTGACAGAGTTATGGCCCTTTCATAATTTTTATTTTTAAAGTTTGTCCGGACTACTTCACTTATACCACTATAATGCAATTTCAATGAAACTTTACAGGATTGATCTGTAGCTCAAGTCCTTGCGCATATTGCACGGGTTTTCTGGTTGAATGATTTTTGGTCGAGTTATGGCCCTTTGATAAAAAGGTGTTTTTTTCTGTGTGTTGCCAGATACACAAAAGCTTGTCCGGACTACTCCTCATAAACTACTGGTGCAATTTTATCCAAACTTTACAGGAATGATCAGTACCAAATCTAGTTGTGCACTGTCTGTCTGTCTGTCCGTCTGTCACAAAACTTGTCCCAACATAAAATTGGCCATAATGAGGCGACACATGTGATTACTGATCGCTCTTGTTTAAGTAATAAGGCTTCGTAAATCCAATCAGTAACTAAGTAAATGTTTATGATAAGTTATTGTTGTTTTAAAATTATTATAGTACGAGGGGTGTCCCAGAATTACGTGGACTTTTGCTGTAACTCAAAAACTACTGAAAATAAAAACAAACAAAATTAACATGAACAAAATTCAACTTTATTGCATTAGTACAAAAAATTTCAAAGTTGTCCGGCAACTGAATCAGTGTCTGTGGGCAGGGTAATGAGACAAGGGGTAGCGGGTGCGGGGCAGTCCACTCCGACGTTACGACGTCATTCCGGTGGCGTCGCTAGTTGTTAATAAATGCGTGGCGTCGAATGTCAGTTTCCCTCAACATAGTCGCCGCCTAACTCAATACACCTATATTATTATTATTATTATTATTATTATTATTATTATTCTTTTTATTGTGCGTTAACAAGGGAAATAACCTATCATGCACCGCTTACTATAGCAGTTTGAGTTCACTTTCTTAAAAGTTGAAAGGGATAAATTGCATTTAAAATAATAAATTGTGATTAGCTTAATTTTTAAAAAACATTTTTTTTTAAACACAAAATTTACAGTGTAACGCCTGTCCCGATCTATGACGTCCTTGACTTCCTTAATTGACGCCGCAATCAACGTTGACTTTCTCCCACGACCCTTGTCGTCTTCAATGTCCTCCCGGCCGTCTCGAAAACGCTTATGCCACTTGAAAATGAGTGATCGACAAACAGGAGGTCTCACTTTTGCAGTCTCCAACATTTCCTGCGTCTGTGTTGGCGTCTTCCCAAGATTAACACAAAACTTGATGATAGTCCGATGTTCCGCGTAATAGCGTGGACGTCATTTTTTTGTTAAATATCCAAGAGCAACGGTTGTCAGTTGTCCGCTTGTAAACAATAACGGAAACAGCTATGACGTCAAAATTTCAAACGAACGTTCATATGACGTCACTGCATATTCTTACGACTTCGCGCCATTTATTACGTATAAATACGCAAGATATACCAAAGTAAAGACAACTTATTAATACAAAATATTGGACTGCCCCGCCCTGCGCATACTGCGTTACTATAGCGACGTAAAATATAGAGAAGCAATGTTAGAAATTTAAAAATAATGGACATATTCATTAAGGATATGTAAAAGGTATTGTGTACAAATTTGCTAAAAAATGCATTAAAAAATAAAAAAGTTATAGCAAAAGTCCACGTAATTCTGGGACATCCCTCGTATATATATATATTTTATAGAGGCAGTATTTGATATTAGTTCTGGCTGTATTGAGACATCAACAGACAAGAAGATATCTCCTAGAACATGAGTTATATCCTTTCAAAATTTTACTCATTTTATTGTCTATATTTTATGTGAGAGGATTTAGAATGATTGTTTATATGTAACATCTATATTTGAAATTAACAGTTTGATTTAAGTATTTTATTGTGTTTGTAGGCTTACCTTCCATGATGGTTATATATGTCATGTTTTTTATAATCAGCTTTTTCATCTGTGAATATCTATGAATATTAACAAACGAATACATTATTGACATTATTGACTGGAAAGTCTAGAATGGTTTAAATCTTTGTCCTGAAATAACTTGCACTTTTCCAATCAAGATTTCATTTGCATGTATACAAGGTCATAGATTTTAATTTATTTGTTTAGAAATTATCAGGAATGTATGCCCACTTAGCTAAATAGGGAGAGTATTATATATGAGCCGCGTCATGACAAAACCAACATAGTGGGTTTGCGACCAGCATGGATCCAGACCAGCCTGCGAATCCGCGCAGTCTGATCAGGATCCATGCTGTTTGCTATCAGTGTCTCTACTTGTTATAAGGTTTGTAAGCGATGCAGATCCATGCTGGTCGCAAACGCATTATGTTGGTTTTGTCATGACGCAGCTCATATTTGTAATCTATTGGTGGCTGGTTTGATCCTCAGACGTGGGAAATTTCTCAAGTAACAACTGATCTCTGACACTAAGTCTAATTGTCATTTGTTTGTCACCATTGATTCAAAAATCATTTAGCATTTGCAGAGTAACTACTGGATAGCCAATTAAATGAACCAATTGGCAAGATAAGACCAAAAATGTATTTCAGTTGTCTGAAAGAAAGAAGCTGGCTGAAAAGATTTGAAATTCAGACAAGGTTTCTATGCATACCTGATATTATTGAAATCAATTGGTGATCTTTCTCTGCCATGACAGGGCATTTCCACCCAATCATTAGGGGCTCTAATGAGGCCCCATTCCCAATCCGAAATTGCCACTTTTTTCCCAATTTCAAAAACAAATTCACATCAGCATCCCCAAAATCCAACTGATAAGCTTTTTTATGAAAATTTGGAAAGTTTGATGTTATAATAATATGATCATACACCTGTTAATGAAAGAAACGTCATGTATAAGGTAGATTTTCTAAAATATCTCATATTGTTCTGAATTTATGCCAGGGCCTTTCCCCAAAATGGCTCAAAAAAGGCTCTGAATGATAACTTGCAAAATGCTATTTAACTTGCCTTATTGTGTGCTTAAAACCAAACACCAAAAATAGGTAATTATTCTGTTTTGGTCATATGTTTGAAGTAGCTATATCAACTTGTCCTTAACATGGAGTTAACATTTGACAAGGTCAAGTTTCCAATGTTTCTACACATAAAACCTCTAGATGATGCAGGATTACAGCAACTTTCACCAACAGTTTGGTGGGACATGACCTCTCAGGTAACTTTACATTGCTTAGTTATATCTTTTCTAATTTTATTGTTCTACATTTTTTAATTTTGATCGGCAGTAAAACCTGACTCATTAGCCATTCATATTATAAAGTCAATTGAATTTTGTGAAGATAAAAGAAAATAAGCAGATACACTGTATTTTATAGGTTTATCAACATTTTACATATGTAAATTAATTGTTATTGCTAGTTTTAAAAATATTTAAAAGCTGAATGATTGGTAATTGATGTCAGGATAGGTGGAAAAAATTGTAAACTTGGAATATGTATTAATTTATTTTGTTGTGATATATAGAGGAAGTTACAACTAGTGAGTGGCTGTGGAATTTTTATGTCATAACTAGGTTACTACTTGATGTTGTTGATATTCAAATCCCATACCCCCTGAACATGTTGAAGTCCCATACCCTCTAATTATTTTAGGTCCCATACCCTTTGAACATGTTCAAACATCATGCTCGCTAAACAATTTCAAACCCCATTCCCACTGAACATGTTCAAACATCATACTAGCTGAACAATTTCAAACCCCATTCCCACTGAACATGTTCAAACATCATACTAGCTGAACAATTTCAAACCCCATTCCCACTGAACATGTTCAAACATCATACTAGCTGAACAATTTCAAACCCCATTCCCACTGAACATGTTCAAACATCATACTAGCTGAACAATTTCAAGACCCATTTCCACTGAACATGTTCAAACATCATACTGGCTGAGCAATTTCAAACCCCATTCCCACTGAACATGTTCAAATTTCATTCCCTCTGAACAATTTCAAACCCCATTCCCACTGAACATGTTCAAACATCATACTGGCTGAACAATTTCAAACCCCATTCCCACTGAACATGTTCAAACATCATACTAGCTGAACAATTTCAAACCCCATTCCCACTGAACATGTTCAAACATCATACTAGCTGAACAATTTCAAACCCCATTCCCACTGAACATGTTCAAACATCATACTAGCTGAACAATTTCAAACCCCATTCCCACTGAACATGTTCAAACATCATACTAGCTGAACAATTTCAAACCCCATTCCCACTGAACATGTTCAAACATCATACTAGCTGAACAATTTCAAACCCCATTCCCACTGAACATGATTAAACATCATACTAGCTGAACAATTTCAAACCCCATTCCCACTGAACATGTTCAAACATCATACTAGCTGAACAATTTCAAACCCCATTCCCACTGAACATGTTCAAACATCATACTAGCTGAACAATTTCAAACCCCATTCCCACTGAACATGTTCAAACATCATACTAGCTGAACAATTTCAAGACCCATTTCCACTGAACATGTTCAAACATCATACTGGCTGAGCAATTTCAAACCCCATTCCCACTGAACATGTTCAAATTTCATTCCCTCTGAACAATTTCAAACCCCATTCCCACTGAACATGTTCAAACATCATACTGGCTGAACAATTTCAAACCCCATTCCCACTGAACATGTTCAAACATCATACTAGCTGAACAATTTCAAACCCCATTCCCACTGAACATGTTCAAACATCATACTAGCTGAACAATTTCAAACCCCATTCCCACTGAACATGTTCAAACATCATACTAGCTGAACAATTTCAAACCCCATTCCCACTGAACATGTTCAAACATCATACTAGCTGAACAATTTCAAACCCCATTCCCACTGAACATGTTTAAACATCATACTAGCTGAACAATTTCAAACCCCATTCCCACTGAACATGTTCAAACATCATACTAGCTGAACAATTTCAAACCCATTCCCACTGAACATGTTCAAACATCATACTAGCTGAACAATTTCAAACCCCATTCCCACTGAACATGTTCAAACATCATACTAGCTGAACAATTTCAAACCCATTCCCACTGAACATGTTCAAACATCATACTAGCTGAACAATTTGAAACCCCATTCCCACTGAACATGTTCAAACATCATACTAGCTGAACAATTTCAAGACCCATTCCCACTGAACATGTTCAAACATCATACTAGCTGAACAATTTCAAACCCATTCCCACTGAACATGTTCAAACATCATACTAGCTGAACAATTTTAAACCCCATTCCCACTGAACATGTTCAAACATCATACTAGCTGAACAATTTCAAGACCCATTCCCACTGAACATGTTCAAACATCATACTAGCTGAACAATTTCAAGACCCATTCCCACTGAACATGTTCAAACATCATACTAGCTGAACAATTTCAAGACCCATTCCCACTGAACATGTTTAAACATCATACTAGCTGAACAATTTCAAACCCATTCCCACTGAACATGTTCAAACATCATACTAGCTGAACAATTTCAAACCCCATTCCCACTGAACATGTTCAAACATCATACTAGCTGAACAATTTCAAACCCCATTCCCACTGAACATGTTCAAACATCATACTAGCTGAACAATTTCAAACCCCATTCCCACTGAACATGTTCAAACATCATACTAGCTGAACAATTTCAAACCCCATTTCCACTGAACATGTTCAAATTTCATTCCCTCTGAACAATTTGAAACCCCATTTCCACTGAACATGTTTAAACATCATGCTCTGTAAACAATTTGAAACCCCATTTCCACTGAACATGTTCAAACATCATGCTCTGTAAACAATTTCAAACCTGATTCAAAACAGCTAAAAAATGTCCTGCACCTGTTGGGCACAAATATATAGTTTTATTGACTGTTTGAATGAATATGTAAAACATTATGAACCACCAACATAAGGATGTATATTTATCAGGATGATGAGCCAGATGAGACAGTATCTGAGGAAGAACAGAGAAATAAAGATCTTTACACACAATCTGTTGATGTTTTAAGAGAAAGGATTGAAGGTAGGGAAAAATGTTTTGTTTTGTTGAAACAGGTCATAGTAGATGGTGTGTTGAATTATAAAAAAGCATAAACTTATTTTGTCTTTATTTATTTTTACTTTTTTAGCCATTTATACACTTGTTTAAACAAAATTAAACAGTACAGTTAATATACTAATTTTTTATGATTTCATTACTTGAATTTGTTATTGTGTCTTAATTTGAGATTAACAGATAAAAGAATCAAGAAACCTAAAAATAAAGCCTTAAAAATTATTGAAGTATTGACAGAGAAAAAACTGTTTTATTTCAGAGATAGAACAAATTCAAGTAGAATTATTAAAAGTTCTTCTGAATCACAGAGATCTGGCTGATGTAAGTGTTACATGTATCTTCTCATTGTATTATTGGCCGGGTTGCACAGGTGCAAACTGAGTTATAGTACCCCCCCCCCCTAAAATTCCTAATAAACGCCCCTCCCCTAATAAAGGCCCCCAGGCTTTTTGATAGGGAAAACAATCTACTCATCAGTGCTGAACTCGTAATTAAAGCCATAATTTTATTCAAATCATTCAGAATCCATAGTATTTTATAGTAAACACAAAAATGTATAATATGAGCTTTAAAACCTTAACATTTTTTAATGTCATTACCAACACTTGCTAACACTAAATGTATTTACAGTGATTTTTTTATTTAGGAAAAACTGTGTTGTAATAATAGCCCCCCTTTTGGAAAATGTTTAGCCCCTGGGGGCGTTTATTAGCAATTTTACGGTATGGTGAATTTCTGGCTGCGGGTGGGCACGCGGGGGGGGCAGGTGTTGCTTATCTGATTACATGTTCACTGACTTAGTTAAATATTCGACATTAATGGTCAATGGGAGAAAATATTCTTATCTGCAGCCTCATGATATTTGGTGTACAAATGCAACCCAGCCATTTCTGTCTTTGACCCACTTTTGGTGCAATTAATATTATAATTGGCCATTGACCTTAATCTTGCCACTGTATAAATACAATGTACAAGTTGTTTTTTTTTTACCCACATTTGAAAATCATATTGTAATTTACATGTATATTATAACTGTATAAGTAACAAATAACAAGGAGAAAGATGGTTTAGTACTGAGTATCAAAGGTGTATGCCTGTCAAAACAGAGATTTTTTGTCCAAGCCCTACTGGGGACACCATATTTTATCATAGAAACGGTTATTCCTGGAATCAGATTTAAGTATGATTTAGCTTTCATTACAAAGTGGCTAAATTGATTCAACTAAACTGGAATGTTTTAAGGGAACCTGAGTTCAGATAATGATTTTCCCTATAGGAGAAGTACATAGATATCTTTTTAACAACATGTGATTGTTAAAGTATCAGTATTTCCTAAATTAGGGGGGATGTACAATGTATTGCCTAAAGGTATTTGTTAAGATATTTCTTCAATTTCAGGGTAAAACTTCAAGACAGTTATTCCTTGAAAAGTTTAGAAAGTTTATCAGGGAGAATAAGGTAAGGATTTTAAGTTACTGATGTCTAGTTAAACTGTAATTTGATCACATTAAAGTTACTGCATTATGTTACTGACAAAAAAAACAACAGTATATATGTAAATTTCATTGTTTAAAATGAGCATTTTCTTTAGGACTTATGTAGTTTCTATGACAACAGAAACGAATGAAATTGTATACAGTTAGTCAGACGGTTAAGGTTGCAATTTTAATTTTTTATGAAATGTTGCATCATAATGTATTTCTTTTGATCTTTCAAAAAATTTGTATATTTCAGCCGAATTCTCTGACACTTTGGCCAATGCCTGTAACGTTATGTTTCTTCCATCGTATGGTACAAGCACTAAGATATTACTGGGATGACTTCCAGAAAGAAGATCCAGCAAGATTTGTCTTCAGTTCTGGTAGGTGAATGAATTTATTCCGAATATGTATCTGTAGTAACAAAATTGAGAATACTTTGTGCTATGTTGCACTTTTTGCTTTGTGGTTTAGGGGATGCCTTTAAGAAGTTAGGCATCATAATTGCTTTCACTGTATATCCCTACATGATAGTAAGAGGCAATTTAATGGGATTTAGTTACTGGAGTCTATGCATCATTAACCTCCAGCAGGTGAGGTGGTTTTGACCCTTGGTGTTGCTTTAAGTTTGTTACACCAGAGGTTAGCCAAAAATCATCTTTTGTTGTGATTAATGCTTCTGAGCCATAACCTTATTTCTAGAGTTTCTATTTCGGCACTATATGACCTAAATTGTGTTGGTGTGCTGTAAAGACAGACAGACAAACAAACAATGTAGCACTTTATTTTGTTGACTTTAATATTCGTTTAAATCAACATTGACCACAAATTTTCATGTTGCCAATGTTTCAGTACATCTGTATGATGCTTTATAAAACAAGAACTGATGAGTCTAGAGATAAAAGTTTTGATTCTTATTGTATGTAAGATAAAATTATAAAAAAGTTCTGCATAAATGTTAGAAAAGATAAACTTTTGAACAGTGTAAAGATTAATCTTGACTGCAAAATATTTAATAATGTTTTAAAATATTTAAGAGGCATTTATGCCAATACAAGAGTTCTGGTCTGACAGTAGGGATTCCTATGATGTACAACGTTGTGGAGGATCAATGTCACACCTTAATAGAATGCTAGGATGTAAGTATTACATCTTAAAAACCGAAGCTGAGTATTACATCTTAAAAGTTGAATTAAGTATTACATCTTAAAAGTTTAAGCACCTCAAAAACAACCATAACTTAAATGAAACATTGATGTATTCTAACTAGGCTTACACTATCTGTATTGTTAGTTGTTTTGTTTGTTGTTGATCTTTTTATCATAAAATTTGTTATTTTACTTTAGTATGTTTTGTAGTGTAAGAACTTTGGTAGCTTATTATTACTTACATGCCTTATATTGCTGTATTTAGTTTCAATTTGAAAACAAGCAAATATCATAATGAATAGAAAAATCCTGTTAAGCAAGGCAACAGTTTGATAATTCTACAGTACTACACTCTAGTGCTTAAAATGATATATCTGACCCGAAAGTTATTTTGGGTAAGAACTATTTACTACTGGTAAAGAATGCGAGAATACTTATTCGGATATTACTTTAACTGCTTGTGTGTACATGTCTATATCACTGAAATAGTTTAAGATTTGAGTGCAACCAAACAAAACAAAAAATTTGTAGCAGAAAAGATTATAAACTAGTTAAGACTAGATTGTTACAAATTTGTTCTTAAATTAAACAAGTTGAAGTGAACAAAGCTCAGGGATTGCAGTTATGTCAAGATGGGGAGGTCAAACCTTTAGAAAAATCCAAATCAGGTAAGTTATTTTATTTAAGTTAGTTTGATATATACATTTTAAAGATTCATTGGAGAGCTGTGGTTTGTTTGTTATAAAGGTGGTTTTGTAACATCCGATAACTTTCTGTTATTTAAATCGGCATTTTCTGTACAAGTTCACTCAATGCTTTATAGATTGCTTGATTGATTGACTCAGGTTAAAAAAAATATTCAGAATAATTTCTTAAAGTAATACTCTTTCATAAAATGTCTACTTTTGTATAGGGTTTATATAACCTTTAAGGTGTATGATAAGTTGATAATATTATGACCAGGTTAAATTAATCTGATGAAGACATAATGAACACAAATAAGTAATTGAATATGTTTTAGAACATGGGTATGGTTAATCATAAGTTTCTTGTGTTTTTTCCATAAAATTGTTGATGTATTCTGCATGGGAGAAATGATGTAAGGTCAGCATTATATATCTACAGAATTGTTTGATCTGAGTTAATACCGGTGTGACGTAAAACCCAATCAAACAAACAAACAAATTAATCATAAGTTTCTGGTGTTTTTCCTCTAGTTTTCTAGAAAAGTGTTGATCTATTCTGCATGGGAGAAATAATGTACATCAAATAATGTAAAGTCAACATTATATACAATATTTACAGTTTTGTTAAATACGTTCTTTTGTAGCCAGCATTGAGTATCCTTCTACAGAAATGCCAAGTGGTAATACATTAATGGAATTACTAGATGGTGTAATGATGTTGTATCATATAGCAGCACATAAACAACTAGGCAAGGTGAGTACCACCATCCACTAAATAGTTACCAGTTACATTTAAATAGTTACCAGTTATATTAATATAGTTACCAGTTACATTAAAATAGTTACCAGTTACATTAAAATAGTTACCAGTTACATTAAAATAGTTACAAGTTACATTAAAATAGTTACAAGTTATATTAAAACAGTTACAAGTTACATTAAAATAGTTACCAGTTACATTAAAACAGTTACAAGTTACATTAAAACAGTTACAAGTTACATTAAAATAGTTACCAGTTACATTAAAACAGTTACCAGTTACATTAAAACAGTTACCAGTTACATTAAAACAGTTACCAGTTACATTAAAACAGTTACAAGTTACATTAAAATAGTTACCAGTTACATTAAAACAATTACCAGTTACATTAAAACAGTTACAAGTTACATTAAAACAGTTACAAGTTACATTAAAACAGTTACCAGTTACATTAAAACAGTTACAAGTTACATTAAAACAGTTACCAGTTACATTAAAACAGTTAAAAGTTACATTAAAATAGTTACCAGTTACATTAAAACAGTTACAAGTTACATTAAAACAGTTACAAGTTATATTAAAACAGTTACCAGTTACATTAAAATAGTTACCAGTTACATTAAAATAGTTACCAGTTACATTAAAATAGTTACCAGTTACATTAAAATAGTTACCAGTTACATTAAAATAGTTACCAGTTACATTAAAATAGTTACCAGTTACATTAAAATAGTTACCAGTTACATTAATATAGTTACCAGTTACATTAAAATAGTTACAAGTTACATTAAAATAGTTACCAGTTACATTAAAATAGTTACAAGTTACATGAAAATACCCACCAAATATAGACAGTAATAGGTTATCAATTTAGCTTATCACAAAAGGATTATTCAAGCCTCGATGAGTATATATGATGAGAATATATATATATACGATAGAAACGAAATACCCTACCATACCTTTCCTGCCATGTTAATGCCCTGTCTCTAAATCTTGCCTGTTCTGCCCAAGAATGTTTCCGTAACATACTGAAATAATGTTGAAAGATCTACGTTTTTCCATTTTGTTTACATCTGCAAAATGATGTTATTTATGTTATTGAGATTGGTTCCAATAAGAATAATTAAAAATTAATGAATGAAAAAACTGTTTGTGCCTTGTATCATTGTGCATTGAATAGAATTGTTCCTTTTTTGACAAGATTCTTGTCATTGAGTTTATAGTAGAGATGATATATGTGAGTTACAAATGTTAACACTGCTTGACACATTTAGATACAAATGTAGTTTGTTATATATATATTGAACAAAGTAAAATACAAATGTACATGTATATTTTAAAAGTGTATATATCAATATTTACAGATGAATGTGTTAAAAGAACATATACAGGAGTATATTCAGTCTTATAAAGATACTCTGAAAAAGTTGGATTGTTGTCCTATAGAGGTAAGAGTCAAATGTTTTAACTTCAGACAGTTATTTGTAGAACTAAACTTGTCAGCTTTGTTTATTCTAAACCTGAATGAACCATTTACTTCTCTAAGGTAGTATGTAACCTAGCACCTTAGATCTTGAATGCCTGATTGTTAAAGGTTCATTTGATGTAAGAAATATAAGGTGAATAAATAAACTAAAGTAATTAACTTTCATACAAAATTTATTGTAATTATACTTTCATACTTGACATTAGATTTTCCCAGTCTTTAAAGCTATTCATCTTAGATGTATTTAGTATTATTTTACATAGACTACCCTTATTCCTGCATGATCATAAGAGGTGAAGAAATGGGTTCAAATTACTTGTGTCTATGCTTCTCTTAACTCCAGATGGTTAATTGGTTTTGACCCTTGGTGTTTGGCTAAGTTTGTAACACCCGAGGTAAGCCAAAATCATCTTACCTGTTTCGGTGCCATATGACCTAGATTGTGTTGGTGCACCGTGAAACCAAACAAAACAAAAACAAATCTCAAGTGCCCTCTTTAAAGTAGGTCAGAAATTTGTATTTTAAGTTGCCGTAACCATATTGGTTGTTATAACAGACCTTTACCTAAAGTAAACAGCTAAATTGTCTTCTGTGAAGACTGACTCTAGTGCTAACTTTATATGTTTATGATTTAGATGGATGATGTAAGAGATGAGTTAATAAGAGCAAAGTCTGTGTTCCTAGAGAAGATAACTGAACAGGCGAGACAGATCTGCTGGGTGAGAGCTGTCATTTATTCCAAGGTTAGTAGATATATTGGTCTCAAAAATTAGGGGTCACCGATCTTCTTTTTGGGTTTTCTTCCCCTGAAAGTGTGTGTGTTTGTTTTACTCTTTTAGATGACAGTCACAAGCAGATAACTCAAAATCATGCATACCAAAATTTTTTCAATTTTTAGCTGGACTATTTGCAGAGTAATTGAGCTAATGAAGTCACCCATTTGTTGGCGTCAGCGTTTGTGTCCCTGTGGTTAAGTTTTTACATGTAAGCAAGTATCTCCATAACTAATGAAGGGAATGGATTGAAACTTCACACACTTGTTCTCTGTGATTATCTTATATGATTTGCACAAGTCCCATAACTTTTTTTGCATAATTATGCCCCTTTTTTCGGCTTAGAAATTCTTGGTAAAGTTTTGCTTGGAAGCTGGTATCTCCATAACTACTGAAGGGTTTGTGCCTTTTTTGGGACAATTTTATGCATTCATAATAAAAAAGCAGTAATTTACTCGATAAAACATCTTGATAACAAGCCTTTGTACCTTTTCAGACAATTTTATGTATTCATATAGGTAAGCATTATTATACTCAATGAAACACCCTTGCGATAACTTTTTTTCGATAAGTCGAGCATCGCTGTCCTTAGACAGTTATTGTTTTTTTTTGTTGTATTTTAAGTCATTCAAAGTTTAAAATAAGTGAATCAATATATATTTTGCTATGCTTCAGTTAGTAAACATGCTGAATTTTAACATAGCATATAACCCCTCAAGAATCTTTATAACTAATATATAATACAGTAAACTTTCTTATTGTGAGAAAAAAAGAAAAATGAAAATTACTTCATAAATGGACAGCAACTCTGTATCTATAGTTATACAAACATCACATTTATCCAATGAAAAGTGATGTTACAAACATGCAGTATTATAAATATATATTTATGCTTGCTAATGTAAAACAGAAAACATTAATATACCATGTTATGACAAGAACCACAAACCACTGTGTTCAAGTCATTTTCTGATATATAAAAAAACTGGCATTCTGTTATACATTATATATTTTATATGTTTTAGCAAAAGCAGTTAGATGTTGCCTGGTTACTGAAGTCTGCATTAAAGACTGTGAGTAAAGCATCGGAGTATAAACTACTGTTCCAGTATATGCCGGAATTCTACCTGGATATTGTCATATATTCCCATAATGCCTTGAAGAACTTCTTTCATCCCTACATGTTGTTTGAATCACTGCCAGGTAAATAGATAGTTCCTGATTTTTACAATATTTACCTCTCTTGCCAAATGTGGCAGCCTTTTTTGGGGTCAATATTCTATAGAATATAATTGACAATCTATGAAAGAATTAATATAAACAGCTGATTTATGTGAATTGTCAAATTCTTTTATACATATGTAACAAAATAGTGCTGTTATATACCAGTTACCCTGCAGGATACAAATTAACAATAGGGATGAGCCTTTGCCACCAGTATGATGCCTAGCCAGCCTTCATATTCCTGCAGCCTGACTAGTTTCTATACTGTTACTTGACCACCTTTGAATTTTCATCTTAATATTCCCAAAGTTGATAATGGAAAGTTCTGAAAATGAGAGTAGACAAGTCCATTTCAGAAATATAGCAGGTTAAGGGTTAAAGAGATTTATTTATTTAAGTGAATATTAAATGCATTTTGTTTATTGTCAGTCCTAACCAAGCATAATTATATTATTTTGAAAATATATTGTTTTTTAAGTGCAAATACATATTCAAACATTAGAAAGTATAAATATGTAGAGAGAAACATCTCCCCTGCCATAATCACTTACTTTTATGAGTAAATTTAGAATGTAGAGAAATTTTGCTTCTTAGATTCATCAAATTTTGCATTGAAAGAAAAAACAAACAAACAAAACAGTGTTATGATTTAAGTCCACATTGTCTGAACAACTGACACACCTGTTTTTTTTTTATCAAATTTTGCACACATTTAAGACAATTATATTGTTTATGCAGTCATTAAATTTAACACTGGCCTGGTGGACCATGTCCAGTGAAAATTAGTTCAGGCCAGTGTAAATTTTATGAAAATTTAGTAAAATATATACATGTAGTAGAATAAATTCAAAACTGGAATTCGGGCCAGTAAAAACAAAAATCTTAAATTCAATGACTGTATATGAATTGATAACGGTCATTTTCTTGTAATCACTTGCCATTAATGCAGTTAGTGTGAATCTCATTAGGAACATATATTACTTACATGTGAGTAAGTTGTGTAATTTGATTGTTCTGATGTAAAAAGGGTTTACCAAGGTAAAATGTTTGTGTTTATTAAACGGAAGTGATAAAATAAATGTATGAACACATATTGATATAATTACAGATTATGATGAGTTGATCAAAGGGTTTGCTACATTTCTAGTCAGTCATTTTGCCGACTCAAGGATTGTTGTAACTGGTATGTAATAACTTCCTATAAATTCATCATTTGCTTCAAAATGGTTGAAAAATTCTTTCTGTTTATGTTACATCTATTAATAAATTGATGGGAACACTATTTTAATACCTTGAATTTTTTTGAAATAATGCATCATATTGTTTTAGTAAAAAATATGTTGTTATGTTAGCAACTTTTTAGATATTACCAAATGGAAGGGAAAAATGTATTTAGATATATTACATTCTTAATCTTAAGAATTTATGTTATTTCTCTTCAAGGTAAAGGTCATAAGTTTGCCTTTTGTCTCAGGTCACAATGGAAACATACTGTCTATCCATATCTGCTTCCAGACTGCATAATAGTAAAATCATAGTATGTTTTTTTCTTCAAAAAGTAAATCATAATTGATTGTGATATTTTTTGTTTTAAACAGATACCAGGGATAACATAATACAAGCACTCGCATGTTTTACCTGTTATGAAAAATCACTGAAAGTGTTAGAAAGTTTACCAGTTGAAAAGTAAGTCCTATGTTTTATATATACTAGTGACATAAATAAAAGAAAAATGCAAAAAAAAAAAATGAAATTCGATTGTAACATTCACCATGAGGTGTGCACATTATGCATTGTCATGCAATTCAACTTAAACATACAGATGTTGTTTAAATTTTGCATATTTATATGAAGTGTTGCTGTGTAACTGTTAGAGATTTTCATTTAATATACTAAAATCCTTTAGATTTCACTTGCACTTCATTTAATTCAAATTTATGTAAGGTCATGTTTCCACCAATGTTATAACATAATCCATAGAAAAGCACAGTTGTGCTTAAATGTTTGCATATGATCAACTGTTTTTGTATGAACTCAATTTTTTTTTACAATTATGGATTCAGACTCAGAGTATAAAATAACAGAGCTAGGAAATCTGAAATGCCACATTGTTATACTCTTTGCCATTTTTTATAATGTAGTATATACATAGTCTGATTAAATACAGTCTCTAACATTAGGGCCCTTACTTCTAGTGCCTGAAAGGACTGATGGACATTTATTAAACTACACACAACAGTCTCTCAAATTAGCATGATTTGCATATACATGTTCATGTATTGTTATGAGTTATGTTATTGTTTTATCACCAGGTGTCAGCACATGTTGAAAGCCCTGATATCTCCATATGAAAACAGGTCATGGGCTCAAACCAACTGGATTCTAGTCCGTATTTGGAAGGTGGGTATAAGTTTCCTAATAAATTTTTCATCACCTCAGTGCAGTAACAGGTTAACTCCTATTGAATTATATAAGGAGTTTACCCATTACTGCACTAAGGTGACAATATACATGAATTGTATTTTCAAAATTCCACATATATTTGTAGGATTTATTTTGTAAATGAATATCAGATTTCATCATTATTATTATTATTATTATTAATATTAATTTCTCCATGCCAATTGACCTAGGATGTTGAGTCTAATACCATAAACTCAGCTTAAAACGAAGTCATTGGGACATTCAAAATCTTTTTATCCAGAGTTCCTTATAAGCATATAGCGAATTAGTTCCTTTGTATGAGGAGTTTTTATAGTGAACAGATTTACTAATAACAAACTGATTGTTTACCATCGTTCTCCATTTTGAAGAGCATTTGTTTCAGAAAATTTAGTCATTTATTTGTTTCAAACACAATACCCGAGAACGTACTTTTTGAGAATTTTAAAATCCCTTATGTGTCATATTTTGTTTCTGATTTTTGTTTTCTTTTTATGATTAAGTATAAACAAGATTTTCGATTTTTCCTTCCTTTTATATTGAATATCTTCTATTTTATTTTTATGGTGACTTTTACTTATGAAAGATATAGATTTCCTTTTTATTTCAATCAAGCTTACTTTATAGTTTTTATTGGAATAGCAAGGAATAGCATACATGATTATGTTAAAAACCGATTATAAATGATCATAATTATTTTACTTAAGTAAAACTATTAAAGAAAAGAAATCAAAGAATAAAAGGAGTATCGTTTTATCTTGTGACAAGAACTGCTGCTCAAACTATCCTAAATGGAAAACTATTACCTACTGCTTTACAAATTAATTTTAACAGCCATATTGAAGTATATAAAACAATAAACGGTACATTCGGTCGAGTTTTAATTTATGCCGATAAAACGATAGTTGTTGCGGGATCTATTTATGGATAGCAGATATTTTGGAGTTTGTTATAAAAGCATAATTTTCTGTACTTTTGTCTAAATTGGGACTTAAAAATGAGTTCCTTATAAGCGATAATTTCTTATAACCGTGTTGACTATAACGGTATATTTTTATAATAAATAAAGAAGGGCAAAATTGGGGCCAAATAAAAGTGTTCCTTATAACCGGAAGTTTGCTATAACCGTGTTTGCTATAAGTGAAGTTAACTATAGTCATTTTTCTCTCACTGCTGTTTAAAAATTTATGTGAGATTAGTAGTCCCTCACCTATGAAGAAATTGGTAATAACTGGTTAGTCATCAAGGAAAGCCGGAAAGGCAGATAAGGTGTTGAGATATGATCAAAAAACAATTTAAAATTGGCATAACACCAAAACCTGTAACAAATATATACTAGCATTCAGTTCACATTGTGTGCATCTGAACCACAATTACTGCATACAGAAGTAACTACATGTATTTTTATGAACTTTGTTTATTACGATATTTACAGGGGTGTGGGTTCGGTTTTCGATACACTCACTTGCCACATTTAGTCCCATCTAAAGTACAACTTACAGAATTTGGTTCAGCAAGTTTACAGAGTAAGTACCTTTTACCATTGTTGTTTCTGTGCTCTTTCTTTATATACATAGATGAATAATTACAATATAAGTCATTTCTTGATACAAAAAAGAACAAAACTTACTTGTAATTAATTTGTCTTGTTTTAAATTTTGAATTGTTTGATCTGAGTTAATATGGAAAAAATACCGGTAAAGCTGCCATCATGAGTGAGTCTGGTCAGACTGCATGAGTCATCCAGAATTGTAGGCCAGACTCGCTCAACACTGACATATTGTCACCTAAATGCTATTATGGGTTAACTCCTATTGAATTTTATAAGGAGTTAACAAGTTATTGCACTAAGGTGGCAATAACATGTCAATATTTCTGTGCTGTGTGAAAATTAGGATTGTGTTTTCTGAAAATAATATAACATTTTATAATAATACATGTAGTTACTTTTTAGATTTAGTTTGACAATTTTTTCTGAACAAAGTTGATTCTATTGCATGATAATTGTTATTACTGTGCACTTAAATTGAATATAACTTTTGAATAAGTTTTGAATATTAATTAAAAGCCTGTATTCATTAAAATACTGTCTCGTTTGAATTATATTAATATATATTATGCCATGGTGTTTTACTTTTTCCTTCATTCCTTCAATTATAGAGCCATGTCCATCACCGAAGTTCCAGAGTTTGTTAGGTGATATTTTACGTTCTGAGCCGGAGGCGGCTACAAGGTTTATAGATACACTTCTCAACCAATTAAACTGGTCGTTCTCAGAGTTTATTGGAATGATGCAAGAAGTACGTTTTTTTCATCAAAGCTTATTGCTCAAAGTTAAAATGACAGATGTTGTGTTCCCATCCATACAAATTCACTATTACTGTAAATTTTTTACCTCTTTGCAATTTACTTTTATTAAAACCAATATATGTTTTGTGTGAATGCAAATCTGTAGGATTTAACCTTGAATTTGTGATGCTTGCTTTAATTTTAAAAAAATTATTGCAGACCTTAACTGGGTGTGAAAAATCTAGCCATCCAATGTGTGGAATTTTGACTACATGCTTATCAGAAAATATGATTTTACATTTTTTTAAAGATATACACTATACAAATATACTCCTCTTTAGGTAAGATACTTTTATTGTAGAAATTTGTTGTAATCTAGAAAATTCTTGCTGAATATGTCCACTTCGAATAAGATAACGCAAAAACCATGTTTGGGAAGTGGTCAAGTTACTTTGGTCCTTCCTTGATGAGGACTGTAGTGGTACTGTGTTTACCTATAGTGTTTACTGTTTAAAAGGCAACATATTATTCCTTTGTATTTTAAAAGAGACTATATATCAATTATAATTGAGCCGCGTCATGACAAAACCAACATAATGGGTTTGCGACCTGCATGGATTCAGACCAACCTGCGCATCCGCGCAGTCTGATCAGGATCCATGCTGTCCACTTACAAACCCTATAACAAGTAGAGAAACTGACAGCAAACAGCATGGATCCTAATCAGACTGAGCAGATGCGTAGGCTGGTCTGGATCCATGCTGGTCGCAAACCCATTATGTTGTTTTGTCATGGTGCAGCAAAATTATTTTCAAATATTATATATCTATAAAATTTTAGCATAATTTATCCCCTAAAAGTTGATTATTTGCCTCATATAATTGTAAAGTATGTTCTGTTTTAGATACAGACAATTATATCAAGAACAGAAAGGAAGATATTTATAGAGAGCCGCCAGCTCAAGATCTGTGGGACTTGTTTTGAGATTTCTGTATGTCTGTTCAGGGTTGTTGAGATGGTGGTTGCCATAGCACCCACTCTCTTCACTGATTGGACAAAACCATCTGCTGAACTATTAATGCACAGGTTAATTCAGGTTGGTAAAATAAATAAATGATGTTAGAATTTATAAATAATGAGGGTGAATAGACTTAAAACATGTATTGAATTTGTAGGATTTTAATATTTTACAGAAAATGATGAATTTGTAAGAGAAATATTGAAAATTCCTTCTTAGTGAAAAGTATAGGAAGCAAAATGGCTTAATGGGACAAGGTTGTAAGTTCTATTTAGGCCAGTGCATTATTTAGAAAATAATGATTAGAGGGATATTTGCAGTAAAACTGGAATGTGAACACAAGTCCTAAATTTATATACATGTACATAATAATAAATTATTAAATAAAGAAAATTTGTAAGCCTTAAAAAATCACATTTTTTCTTTATTAACAATTATGATTTGTGAAGTCAGTGTTCTCAATCATGTTTGGAGAAACATGTTTGAAGTTGATACGTTTTGATATTTGGGAGGGCGTCTAAAGGTTGAAAGGACTGTCCTTCATTACCTGTCAAATTCGTTATACTAGAATCGAGTACTTCATCTAGCAGACTATCATCACTATCTGATGACTCTGAATCCAAATCACTTAAGTCTGATGGACGACTTCGGGTTGGGGACTGTGTCCTTTTCTTTTTACTTGTTCCGGTACGCCCTTGATGGGGAGAACAGTCATTAATGCTCGAGTCCAGGTTTACAGATACGGTTTCTTCCGGCGTCGAGTCTGAATCGTTATCTACTGTGTTAGTGTTAGCTACAGCTGGTTACTTGGACCGGCCTTTACGGGATCTTGTCTGAAGTACATATAAATAAATATACGATTTTAAGATAGTTTTGCTGTAATCCCAACTAAATTATGAAAATAGTGCCCTATAATGTATCAATGGGTAGAAACAAGTGTTAAATAGCTTATTAAATAACCACTGTGATAGTGTACTCGTCAAAAATTCATAAGTAGAAATAAATCTCGGACACAAGCCCGGAAATTTTAAACACAAATCAAAGTAACTGAAAATATCTACAATATTTATTTTGTAGCAAATAATCTCGGGGATAACAGCCCGGAAAATGAATAAGCAATGGAATGGTCAATGTAACGTAATAAGTTATACAACTTATCTCGAGAATAACCTCGGAAAATAAAAGGATTCAACCCTAAACAAAGTTGCAAATAATATTTGAAGTTATCCATATCTTTTCACCAAGACAACTTTGTATTGTATAATTACCATAATAGATGTATCTCTTTTATGTACATGAATCAGTTAGTCTGTTAGATATGGATAGACAAAAACTGAAGATATCGCCAATATTTAGTTTGTAGCAAATAATCTCGGGGATACAGCCCGGAAAGTGAATAAGCAATGGAATGGTCAATGTAAAGTAATAAGTTATACAACTTATCTCGAGCATAATCTCGGACAATATCGAAATACAACCCTATACAGTTGCGAATAATATTGGATGTATACAATATCTGTATAAATACCATCATAAATGTATCTCGTTTAAATACATGTATCACGTTACTCTGCTAGGTATGGATCAACAAATGCAAGATAACTCATTTTATATAATACTAATTTGGTCAAGTTGCAGGTTAACGTGAAACTGATATGCCGGCAAATAATTCATGTGTGACTAGAATTTCCCTGTATAATGATTTGACAAATTTATATCGTATTTCTAAATAATGGGAAATGGCCCGCATTTGTCCGCACTTAAAATGCCGTTAATGGCAAAGTAATTTATCAATAAATTTAATTTAATAATGCTGAACAAAAGAAAACAATACTCAACTGTCTTATTCAGACTGATCCAATCCCCAAATGTACGAGGTGCCTCTCAGAGTGGGAATATGAATACAACAACTGTACAATGAAACTTGATTTGTTTTTAGCTCACCTGTCACAAAGTGACAGGGTGAGCTTTTGTGATCGCTTTTCGTCCGGCGTCCGGCCGTCCGTCGTCCGTCCGTAAACTTTTACTTTAAATGACATCTCCTCATAAACCTTGTAAGCCAATTTCATCCAAACTTCACAGGAATGTTCCTTTGGTGGTCACCTTTAAAAATTGTTCAAAGAATTTAATTCCATGCAGAACTCTGGTTGCCATGGCAACCGAAAGAAAAAACTTTAAATATCTTCTTTTAAAAAACCATAAGAGCTAGAGCTTAGATATTTTGCATGAAACATCTTCTAGTGAGTGTCTACTAACTTTGTTCAAATAAAAGCCCTGGGGTCAAAATTGGCCCCGCCCCGGGGGGTCATTGATTTTCCCTATATGCATATAGTAAAAACTTAAAAAATCTTCTTTTAAAGAACCCAAAGAGCTAGAGCTAAGATATTTAGCATGAAACATGTTCTTATGGGTGTCTACCAAGTTTGTTTAAAAAAAAGCCCTGGGGTCAAAATTGGCCCCGCCCCGGGGGGTCATTGATTTTCCCTATATGCATATAGTAAAAACTTAAAAAATCTTCTTTTAAAGAACTCAAAGAGCTATGGCTAAGATATTGAGCATCAAACATGTTCTAATAGGTGTCTACCAAGTTTGTTCAAATAAAAGCCCTGGGGTCAAAATTGGCCCCGCCCCAGGGGGTCAGTGATTTTCCCTATATGCATATAGTAAAAACTTAAAAAATCTTCTTTTAAAGAACCAAAAGAGTTAGAGCTAAGATATTTAGCATGAAACATGTTCTAATAAGTGTCTACCAAGTTTGTTCAAATAAAAGCCCTGGGGTCAAAATTGGCCCAAACATGTTCTAAAAGGTGTCTACCAAGTTTGTTCAAATAAAAGCCCTGGGGTCAAAATTGGCACCGCCCCGGGGGTCATTGATTTTCCTTATATGTGTATAGCAAAAACTTAAAAAAATCTTCTTTGAAATAACCCAAATAGCTAGAGTTAAGATATTAAGCATGAAACATCTTTTAGTGAGTGTCTACAAAGTTTGTTCAAATAAAAGCCTGGGGGTCAAAATTGGCCCCGCCCCGGGGGTCATTGATTTTCTTTATATGTGTATAGCAAAAACTTAAAATCTTCTTTGAAAAAACCCAAATAGCTAGAGTTTAGATATTAAGCATGAAACATCTTCTAGTAAGTGTCTTCAAAGTTTGTTCAAATAAAAGCCCTGGGGTCAAAACTGGCCCGGCCCCAGGGGTGTCATTGTTTTTAACTATATGTGTATAGTAAAAACTTTAAAAAAATCTTCTTTTAAAAAGCCGAATGAGCTAGAGCTTAGATGTTTAGCATGAAACATCTTCTTATGGGTGTCTACCAAGTTTGTGCAAATAAAAGCCCTTGGGTTAAATTGGCCCTGCAACGTTGGGGGGTGGGGGTTGGGTGGGCCTATATACAGGTGAGCGACCTCAGGGCCATCATGGCCCTCTTGTTATCTGTGATTGCAGGTGCCCGAAAATTAATCAAGAAATCTCCGTTGAAAATTAAGTCTGGTCAAATTGTCCTTTAGAATCTGGCAATACTATAACTAAGTTTCAATTCGATGAGCAGGCATCTAAGTCCGGTTTCCTATGGCTAAGTAATGCCACGTGGTTAATTGTCCGCCATCTTTGTTCGGTTAGACAAAGGAATTATTCCTGCTTCGCCACTTTGACTTTGTATCCCGTTCACGACAATATATAAATTTCTTAGATCGTAGCCTACAGCAATTGCGTAGTAAATGCCGAATTTACATCAAACTTTTAACACAAAATCAATTTCTTTTGAAAAAATTGTAAAATTTTTCAGCGAGTCTAAAAAGTCATCCGCTTCGTTTCTTTGTTCAGCTAGAAAGAAAGTGCGCATGTGCAACCTTCGTAATCATGATGACATATTATAAAGCTTACTGCTGACTACATTCTAAAGTAGTACAGAATGGTGAAGTAGTTGTCTCTCTTTGACAATTAATTAACAGAAAACCATATTGTCCATAAAACATTTTATACTAATAAAATACATAAATTGTAGATATATTATATTTCTACAGCTTGTATGTCTAGTGTTAAACAGAATTACTCAGAAGGATGGAATGTTTGATAGTGTTGTCTCATTATATATTACAGGTAAGGGACAAAACCTATAAATTTAATTGTATTCTTTTTTAACTAAATTCTAATATCTTTGCCATAGTATTACTACAACTTATTATGTATCTAATCTGTAGAGCAATAAATTTTAGCAAAATTTATCAAACATTTGTTCCTAAATGTATTTTGTACATGTATACATGGACATATGAAATAAAGAAAATTTATAATCCTTAAAAAATCACAATTACAAAAAAAAACAACATCATTTGTGAAGTCCGTGATCATTCTAATTTTTTAGTTAATTCTAGTTAATTTAGCAAAATTTATTGCTACATATCCAAGGATGTTAATGCATATCTAACTTGATTTATAGTTGGAAAGACAGAAATTATCTTATGAAAATGCAATATATTTTGACAGGACATCATTTGTGTTACACAAACATAGCATTAAGACGTGCTAAATGATAGCGTTACACTGTAAGAGTGTCAATGAAAAAGTGATTCTGTTTTACTGTAAGCAGATCTTGTATTGGATATGTGATAAATAGAATATTATATTTGTGTAGGTTCATTACTGAATATATTGAACTCATTGAAATCATCTTTGATATCAACAATCATTGTCATAATTCATGGGGATTGGCCGATTTTAAACATTATCTTGCATGACAAATATTATATTCCTTTTCATTTTAAACAGACATGAATAAAAAATAAACCAGAATGTAAAGTAGCTCACAGAAGGCTTTCTTTATAGCACTTTCCTGGACTCATTTAATCAAAGGCTACATGAAATGAAAAGTAACGTAATATAATATACATGTATGTTAAATATATAATGTACTAGATAATACATAGGATGTATATATATTTCAGGTTTGGAGAGTGTCACACATTATCCCATGCTGTCTGTTATTGCAGGCATTCTTACCATGCTTATAGTCAATGCTGATACTGAATGGTATGTAATGTTATATATGCATCTTCATGTACATCAACGTTGAATACCCACGATTGATAAACATGTCACATAACATGCAATCAATGTAAATGGTTCAGCTGTTGATATCCAACATGTACATGTATTATGATAATAAATTATCAGGTGTCTTACTGATATACTATATACTTGTAGAAGTTTTAGTATTATTAAAAACTGGCAAATAGTTAAATTGTAAAAAGGTTTGATTAAACAAATCAGTGATGTACACTTTTAACTCTGTAAGGTGTCTGCCTTTGAAACTAGAAGCCATGGGTTTGAGACCTCCTGGAGACAGGACCATGTTTCCTCATATGAAACCAGTATATAATGGTTAGTTCCATCAAACAAGCTTTAAACGTTCTTCACATTTGAGCTAAAATAATTAATTGACATGTTTGAATAAATGGTCTCTAAGTTTGATTTGTGTTGGATTGCTAACACGTAGTCTATTGAATGCAAAAATGTGTAGGTACCATAAGCATGTACACAAATATCTAGTTTAAATTAATATGTCTGCCTTCCAGGACTTGAATTCTCAAAATCTGAGGTCTGTAAAACAAAGCTGCTTTCCATATTATAAGGCAGGCTGTTAATTTCAAAAGTTTTAATTTCATCCATATATTGATGTAGAATTTGTATTACCTATTATATACTTTTCATACAAAATAGAATGCTTATGCCTTCCAATGTATACATATGTTATTTTTTGTTTTATTTACAGTCAGGAGTTGGTAACCAATGTATTATTGGCAGATCATGGTTTCCAGATTACTGCCCTTGAATTTATGCTAAATAATCATGATGATAAAGAGAAGGGAGCCGTGGGGGGTGTAAAACCATTGAAGGAGAAACAGTTCGATTTTAGAAATTGTGAGTTACCACCTTTAATCATATCGATATTGTATATAATATTATATTTGTCGCATTGTTTAATTACATTTTTTTACCTGCATGAACTCAAGAAAAATATCAATTATTTATTATGTCTCCCCCACCTCGGGGGGAGACATATTGTTTTTGCCCTGTCCGTCCGTCAGTCCGTCCGTCCGTCAGTCCGTCCGTCCATTCTTCGTTTCCGGACGATAACTAGAGTTCCTTTTGACCTACAGCTCTCAAACTTCATAGGATGAATGGTCTTATTGAGCAGATGATCCCTATTGTTTTTGGGGTCAGTAGTTCAAAGGTCAAGGTCACAGTGACCGTTGGTCAATTTCTCGTTTCCGGATGATAACTAGAGTTCCTTTTGACCTACAGCCCTCAAACTTCATAGGATGATTGGTCTTATAGAGCTGATGATCCCTATTGTTTTTGGGGTCAGTAGGTCAAAGGTCAAGGTCACACTGACCGTTGGTCAATTTCTCGTTTCCGGATGATAACTAGAGTTCCTTTTGACCTACAACCCTCAAACTGGGGGGAGACATATTGTTTTTGCCCTGTCCGTCCGTCCGTCCGTCAGTCCGTCCGTCCATTCTTCGTTTCCGGAAGATAACTAGAGTTCCTTTTGACCTACAGCTCTCAAACTTCATAGGATGAATGGTCTTATTGAGCAGATGATCCCTATTGTTTTTGGGGTCAGTAGTTCAAAGGTCAAGGTCACAGTGACCGTTGGTCAATTTCTCGTTTCCGGATGATAACTAGAGTTCCTTTTGACCTACAGCCCTCAAACTTCATAGGATGATTGGTCTTATAGAGCTGATGATCCCTATTGTTTTTGGGGTCAGTAGGTCAAAGGTCAAGGTCACACTGACCGTTGGTCAATTTCTCGTTTCCGGATGATAACTAGAGTTCCTTTAGACCTACAGACCTCAAACTTCATAGGATGATTGGTCTTATTGAGCAGATGATCCCTATTGTTTTTTGGGGTCAGTAGTTCAAAGGTCAAGGTCACAGTGACCGTTGGTCAATTTCTCGTTTCCGGATGATAACTAGAGTTCCTTTTGACCTACAGCCCTCAAACTTCATAGGATGATTGGTCTTATAGAGCAGATGATCCCTATTGTTTTTGGGGTCAGTAGGTCAAAGGTCAAGGTCACAGTGACCGTTGGTCAATTTCTCATTTCCGGATGATAACTAGAGTTCCTTTTTGACCTACAACCCTCAAACTTCATAGGATGATTGGTCTTATTAATCAAATGATCCCTATTGTTTTAATGGTCAGTAGGTCAAAGGTCAAGGTCACAGCGACCGTTGGTTAATTTCTCCTTTCCGGATGATAACTAGAGTTCCTTTAGACCTACAACCCTCAAACTTCATAGGATGATTGGTCTTATTGAGCAGATGATCCCTCTTGTTTATGGGGTCAGTAGGTCAAAGGTTAAGGTCACAGTGACCATTGGTCATTTTCTCATTTCCGGATGATAACTAGAGTTCTTATCAGTGAGGACATTTAACTATTATTGATATATCAGTGATATATCAGTTGTCTGGTTTTATATACTCTGTTCTTTTATCTCCATTTCCATTCCTGTTTCCATTCACAGTTATTCTCAGCAGTGGGGGAGACATGCGCTTTTTTACAAAAGCATCCTCTAGTTAAACTGCTTTATTTGCCCTTCTTTGAATTGGAAACATTCCTTTTGACATTTTAAGGGATTTAAATATGAGCTACCAGCACTAAAGGGTGTGGTCAGACAGGACAAACCTGCTGGCAGACCTGGATCTATGCTGCTGGTGCCACAGATTACAGAATAATCAGTTTTGTTACTAGCATGGTAAGGATTAAGATGGTGTGATACTGATCAGCCCTATAAATTAAGACATGGATACACTATATACATAAGCAGTAGGTTTTGCTAGCCTGTACATTTTTGTACTGTCTGACTTGTCTGTATACTGTTGGCAGCTAAATTTTATTATCGTTATATTCGCATCTCAAATATACCAATGTTTACTCTCAACATTCAGTCATTCATACAAAAATCAACAGGATATGGATTGGTATATATATTTGTTTGTATTTTATATGTTGAAAAATAAATTTTAAGTTAGGTGTATGTTCAGTCATATGTTAACTTGCTTCAGTGGTTAAAATAGATAAAATGAGCCGCACCATGACAAAACCAACATAATGCGTTCGCAACCAGCATGGATCCAGACCAGCCTGGGCATCCACACAGTCTGATCAGGATCCATGCTGTTCGCTATCAGTTTTTATACCTGTTATAGGGTTTGTAAGCTAACAGCATGGATCCTGATCAGACTGCGTGAATGGGCAGGCTGGTCTGGATCCATGCTGGTCGCAAACGCACTATGTTGGTTTTGTTGTGACACGGCTCATAAAATGATGAACACAAAAAGGATTCCATCACATAACTTCTGTTGTTTTCTATATATTATTAAAACCATTATGTTATTCTGAATGTAACACATAAATGTGTTAGTACATGAAAATAAAGTTGTACAGGGATTTCATTGTTGACAAAATAAAAAATAAGTACAGTACTGACCTGGTAAAACTGCAAAGATGTGTGGGCTGGCCCGGGTCTATACTGGTGGCAATTTAGGCTAGTAGGATAAAAATTGAAAACAATTGTAATTCATGTCAGAATTATTATAACTTTGATGTCATCTTGTAAAACCAGATTTGGTTTATTTTAATATTAACTATTTAATTTATTGTCAAACAATCAGTGCATTACATGACCTGAAGGTGAACATAAAAATGTATAGGTCAGTGATAAAAGTTTGTTGATGACAACAATTATCATGTTTTTGTTAACAAACAGTGGAGGGTTTTTGTTTGATTAGAAGTTTATCTTTTGTTAATCTTTTGTTGACCTATTGTTTTATAGATTATTGATCATTGGTTTATCAAAGGTGTATTGTGTGTATAATTATGCTTTAACATTTTGTGTACTTTAACTCTATTATTTGAATATTGTTAACATGTTAATAACCTTTTGTTAAGTTATTGTCTACATAATTATATATTTACTTTCTTGTTGTCCTAGATGAAGAAGTTAATGAAGAAGAGATAGGAAATGTGGAAACTTTGATCTCCCACCTACGTGATAAACAGTCCACGTTTGTACGGCAAGATAGTGAAATCAAGGATGAAGACTTGTGCCAAATATGTTATGCTAGAAAGGAGACAACAGGTTTTAAACCATGCGGACATCAGTCCTGCAGGTAAATTACTTGCGATACTTGACAAATAATTATTGGCTCTAAGTATGGTGCAAAAAATGGTCTCAAACAGCTTGTCTGCACCATAACTATCACCCTGGTGTAATTTCAGATAACCTGGCACAAATGTTCAACACCATGATATGGGGTGTGGCGCACAAGAAACGTTTAACTAGATCAAAGGTCAAGGTCTTACTTTTAAGGTCAAATGCAAAATAATGGTCTCAAACAGTTTGTCGGCACCATTACTCTATCACTAGCTGGTGTAATTTCAAATAACCTGGCACAAATGTTCAACATCATGATATGGCATGTGGGGCAATAGAAAAGTTTGACTATATTAAAGGTCAAGGTCATACTTTTAAGATCAAATTTCAAATAACCTGGCACAAATGTTCAACATCATGATATGGGGTGTGGCGCACAAGAAACGTTTAACTAGATCAAAGGTCAAGGTCTTACTTTTAAGGTCTAATGCAAAAAATGGTCTCAACAGTTTGTCCGCACCATAACTCTATCACTAGCTGGTGTAATTTCAAATAACCTGGCACAAAAAAATCAACATAATGATATGGTGCACAAGAAACGTGTGACTAAATCAAAGGTCAAGGTCATACTTTTAAGGTCAAATTTCAAATAACCTGGCACAAAAAATCAATATCATGCGACAGCATCTCACATGCAAGAACTGATTGACTAGGTCAAAGCTCAAAGTCAGATGTGACAGCGAACTTGATATGTTGCCTTTGGGCATCTAGTTTTTGGTTGAGTTTTATGGCACAAGAACACAGAAGAGATTATATGGCAACTTCCCAGCTTTCCTGGTGGAGAAAGACCTAGTGTGCCCCACAGTGCATTATTTCATGCACAAGCAGGCACCATAGTAGTACATGAAAGAATCCCAGGTTGGATATTTGGTGAATAACTTAAACTTGGTCAGTGTTGTAATATGTTATAACTCTATGTAGTATTATGCTTTTATGATTGTATCTTTATTTTTTGTACTTTTCACATTTCAGGTCATGTATAAACCACCAAATGTTGATCAAGAAAGAATGTTTCTTCTGTAAAGCAGTTATTACATCAATTGAAGATCTCCAGTCAACCACCAAAGTCTAACAATATTAAAATGTTATAATGATAAACAATGAAATTACTGAATGGTTTATTGGGAATAATGACTTAAGTTATGACCTAATATTAGTTTATAATAACATTTGAATCCTTTTCCTAGATGTAGGTACCCAACACTCCTGAACAAATGTCCTGCAAATGGACTTCATTTTCACTGAACTAAATACATATGTACACATGTACATTATAAATTACAGATAGAACTTTCTCATACTTTGCTATTACAAAAATGCAGATTTGAAGAAGAAAGGTTAAAGTTATTAACTTATTTGTTAAGTGGACATGATTCTAGTTTGAAAGTTTTCAAATACTCGTTTGTATTTATGATTTGATATTTGTATCATAATTGTTTATTATCTTCCCACAAATAACACTGCCATGTACACCATTTATTATAAGGATACTAGATAGTAATGAGAATATGCTTTTTAGCTCACCTGAGCTTGCTCAGGGTGAGCTTTTAGGATCGGTGAATGTCCGTCGTCCGTCGTCCGTCGTCCGTCCGGCCGTCCACAATTTCTTGTGAACACTCTAGCGGTCGCATTTTTGCCTCAATCATCATCAAACTTGGTCAGGATGCTTATCTAGTTGAAAGCTCGGATGAGTTCGAACATGGGTCATCTCGGATGAAAAACTAGGTCACAAGAGCTAAAAATAGAAAAACCTTGTGAACACTCTAGAGGTCACATTTTTGACCCAATCATCATCAAACTTGGTCAGGATGTTTGTCTAGGTGATAGCTCGGATGAGTTCGAACATGGGTCATCTCGGATGAAAAAGTAGGTCACAGGAGCTATAAATAGAAAAAACCTTGTGAACACTCTAGTGGTCACATTTTTTGAACCAATCATCATCAAACTTGGTCAGAATGCTTGTCTAGTCAATTGCTTGGATGAGTTCGAACATGGGTCATCTCTGATGAAAAACTAGGTCACAGGAGCTAAAAATAGAAAAACCTTGTGAACACTCTAGTGGTCACATTTTTGACCCAATCATCATCAAACTTTGTCAGGATGCTTGTTTAGATAATAGCTCAGATGAGTTCGAATATGGGTCATCTCGGATGAAAAACTAGGTCACCGGAGCTATAAATAGAAAAACCTTGTTAACACTTTAGCGGTCACATTTTTGCATCAATCATCATCAAACTTGATCAAGATGCTTGTCTAGGTGATAGCTCGGATGAGTTCGAACATGGGTCATCTCGGATGAAAAACTAGGTCACAGGAGCTAAAAATAGAAAAACCTTGTTAACACTCTAGTGGTCACAATTTTGACTCAATTGTCATCAAACTTGGTCAGGAAACTTGAATAGGTCATTGCTTGGAATAAATCGAACATGGGACATCTCGGATGAAAAACTAGGTCACATGAGCTAAAAATAGAAAAATCTTGTTAACACTCTAGTGGCTACTGTTGTGATCCAAATATTCTGTTAATTGGTCTGAAAGTTTTTTTTGATGATTTCTAAGTCAAGATCAAACATGGGTCATCTTGGATGAAAAACTAGGTCACACCGCCCAAATATGGAAAAAACCTTGTTAACATTCTAGTGGTCACATTTTCGACTCGATTATCATCAAACTTGGTCAGGATGCTTGTCTAGGTAATTGCTTGGATTAGTTCGAAATCGCATGTGAAACTAGGTCACCGGAGCTAAAAATAGAAAAATCTTGTTAACACTCTAGTTGCTACTGTTTTGATCCAAGTATCCTGGAAATTGGTCTGAAAGTTTGTTTTGATGATTTCTAGGTCAAGTTTGAATATGTGTCACCTGGGTAAAAAACTAGGTCGCACTGCTCAAATATGGATAATCCTTGTTAACACTGTAGTGGTCACATTTTTGACTCACCTGTCATGAGACTTGGTCAGAATGCTTGTCTAGGTAATTGTTTGGATGAGTTTGATAATTCAGGTGAGCGATCTAGGGCCATCATGGCCCTCTTGTTTATAGTTTCTGTATTTATGTTCAAATGGGATATTTTAAAAAGGGACTCCACTGAGCTTTTTTGACATGACAGGACGGAAGTGGGAATAATTTTTCGAGATAAATGTTCTATTTGATGAAAGTGTGTGCAAAATTTGAGATCATTTCCTTGCTCTGTTTTTCAAGAATAGTTCATTTGTAAAAAGTGACCCAAAATTGAAAATTGTTGCAATGCTTTTAACTAAAATCTGATCAAGAAAATCTCAAAAATATTATTCTAACCATTTGTTAAATATTTTTGCATATCTGTCTCTGTTGCAGATCTATGTATGAAATTCAAATTTATGTGTTAAGGCCATTAAACCACAGTGGAGTTCCTTTAAAGAATTGAAACTTTTATGACTTGACATGATAATTTTCATGATCGAGTTAACACATTGTCAGACACTTACATATTTTTTGTCATCTAAGTGCAGTAATGGGCTAACATCTCTTAAATTTCAATAGGCGTTAATCCATTACTGCACTACAGTAACAATTTATTTATCATTTGAAATAAAGCCTTACAAATCTAAACATTTTTTTTTGTATGGATTAAAAAGAACTGAAATTTTATTTACTAATTGTTTCTAAATGTAGATATGATAAATTTGAATTGTTTTAATTATTATTACAAAATGTCAACAAAGTAGTGACATATTTTGTCATTAAGCTCTGGGCATTTAATTCATATAGATCTGTTCAAAGTGTTCACCTACATGTATCACAATGTTTCACATGTCTTCCTTATGAAAAAAAAGTTTGCCATGAAATTCCCCGGTGTTCATTTCAAGAGAAAAAAAAATAGATGTCAAATTGTTCATAGACAGTGGGAGATAACACCATCATTTCAACTGATACAGAAAACGTACCCACCAATTTGTCCTTAATACGTGTAAAATAGAGGCAAAGATTTATCCTGTTAAAACATTTTATCAAGCTGATCTTGCTTTTTAGCTCACCTGAGCTTGCTCAGGGTGAGCTTTTAGGATCGGTGAATGTCCGTCGTCCGTCGTCCGTCCGGCCGTCCGGCCGTCCACAATTGCTTGTGAACACTCTAGCGGTCGCATTTTTGCCTCAATCATTATCAAACTTGGTCAGGATGCTTATCTAGTTGAAAGCTCGGATGAGTTCGAACATGGGTCATCTCGGATGAAAAACTAGGTCACAAGAGCTAAAAATAGAAAAACCTTGTGAACACTCTAGAGGTCACATTTTTGACCCAATCATCATCAAACTTGGTCAGGATGTTTGTCTAGGTGATAGCTTGGATGAGTTCGAACATGGGTCATCTCGGATGAAAAAGTAGGTCACAGGAGCTATAAATAGAAAAACCTTGTGAACACTCTAGTGGTCACATTTTTGAACCAATCATCATCAAACTTGGTCAGAATGCTTGTCTAGTCAATTGCTTGGATGAGTTCGAACATGGGTCATCTCTGATGAAAAACTAGGTCACAGGAGCTAAAAATAGAAAAACCTTGTGAACACTCTAGTGGTCACATTTTTGACCCAATCATCATCAAACTTTGTCAGGATGCTTGTTTAGATAATAGCTCGGATGAGTTCAATTATGGGTCATCTCGGATGAAAAACTAGGTCACCGGAGCTATAAATAGAAAAACCTTGTGAACACTCTAGTGGTCACATTTTTGCATCAATCATCATCAAACTTGGTCAGGATGCTTATCTAGTTGATAGCTTGGATGAGTTCGAACATGGGTCATCTCGGATGAAAAAGTAGGTCACCAGAGCTAAAAATAGAAAAACCTTGTTAACACTTTAGCGGTCACATTTTTGCATCAATCATCATCAAACTTGATCAAGATGCTTGTCTAGGTGATAGCTGGGATGAGTTCGAACATGGGTCATCTCGGATGAAAAACTAGGTCACAGGAGCTAAAAATAGAAAAACATTGTTAACACTCTAGTGGTCACAATTTTGACTCAATTGTCATCAAACTTGGTCAGGAAACTTGTCTAGGTCATTCCTGGGAATAAATCGAACATGGGACATCTCGGATGAAAAACTAGGTCACAGGAGCTAAAAATAGAAAAATATTCTGTTAATTGGTCTGAAAGTTTGTTTTGATGATTTTTAAGTCAAGATCGAACATGGGTCATCTTGGATGAAAAACTAGGTCACACCGCCCAAATATGGAAAAACCTTGTTAACATTCTAGTGGTCACATTTTCGACTCAATTATCATCAAACTTGGTCAGGATGCTTGTCTAGGTAATTGCTTGGATGAGTTCGAAATCACATGTGAAACTAGGTCACCGAAGCTAAAAATAGAAAAATCTTGTTAACACTCTAGTTGCTACTGTTTTGATCCAAGTATCCTGGAAATTGGTCTGAAAGTTTGTTTTGATGATTTCTAGGTCAAGTTTGAATATGTATCACCTGGGTAAAAAACTAGGTCGCACTGCTCAAATATGGATAATCCTTGTTAACACTGTAGTGGTCACATTTTTGACTCACCTGTCATGAGACTTGGTCAGAATGCTTGTCTAGGTAATTGTTTGGATGAGTTTGATAATTCAGGTGAGCGATCTAGGGCCATCATGGCCCTCTTGTTTTTTAAACCCATATTTAGATTTTTAACACCATTTATCAAGCTGCAATCAAAAGTAATTAGACTTTGCCACTTGTATAGAGCCTGGTTAGTCTGTCACTAAAGCTGGTAGTTATATGACTTTAACAGTACAATATGAAAAAGTATGCTAAAATTCTGTCCATATGATTGTACACATCATCTGCATATCAGCCTACTATACTCTTAATATGGTCATTTGTTTATCCTTTATAGTTCTTTCATAGCATTATTTGTGAAAGTGCAGAATTTAATTATTTTTGAGTAAAATACTGAATTCAATAGGGCAAGTACATTGCTGTCAAACCTGTATTGGACAAAGTGCCTGCAGAGTTTGATATAGGTTTTGTAGCTGTGTACAAGTCCAATGGAATCATAGTTCCAGAGACATAGATAACATCTACATCTCTGATTGCTCTCAACAATTTTTAATGACCTCTTTATTTCTAATTTTTGGACAGAACTTTGTTATTTCATGTACAGTAGAGACTTTATATGGTTTTATTACCCTGAAAATGAGGCTAAATTGAATGTGATATGTGTTTGATATAGATATTTTGGACTCTGAAAATGAAAAAAGGCTATATATGGGTATGATATGCATTTGATATTGATTTTTTGGACTCTAAAAATGAAAACGAGGCTCTATAGGGTATGATATGCATTTGATATGGATTTTTTGGAAACAAGGACAAATTAAACAAGGACAAATTGATAAGATTGGATCCAATACTGATTTTTGTTGGATTATCACATAGTTCAAACGTTAAATGTTATTTGGTTATATTTTGTTAGGTGTGTAATGAATATGTATATTAAACTATATATACTGGGATATGTTTTATATCTATGTAATATATAGATATTGTTTACGTGTATATATATGGCTCAACTAGCTTGTTTTTATATGTAGAATAGTCTAGACATTATGATTCACAAAGTGCCAACTTCGATTGTTTTTTTATATACTTTTAACAAATAGAAGGGTATAATAGTAATTTAATGTTTGCTTTGCTTATGAACTGTTTGTTTTCTGTATATAGTATATATTATTTGTTTAAGAATACAGTTTGATTGCTAATTAATAAAAAAAAGTGCTTAATGTTACTTATCTTGCGTCTCTTTTTGTCTTCTTTACTTACAATAACAGCAGGTAAGTCAAGGATGTAGAGTTTCTGACCCTTCCCATTAGGGGGGAGGAGGCTTATAGGAATCATTTTGTCCGATCCCATCCCATTTTTGATACCAGTAGAGATATAAACTTGAAACTTAGCATATCACAATGCAGCTGTCTTTGTCAAGTTTCATAACTCTGATAGTTGGCTTGACAGAATTATGCCCCTTCTTATTAACTTAGAAACTGTCCTGAAAATCTACCAGAGTGGCTATATAGCTTTATTATTAATGAATAAATTGTCTTCATATAAAGACACAACAAACCTTTGGAAAGTTCCTTCAAGTTGTTGAGACTTGCATTGACGTTGAGTCATAAATGACCTTGACTTTCAAGGTCAAGTAATTGATTTTTTGTGCTGTAACTGGCTGCCTCTTTCCATCTAGGGAATCAGTAGGGATATTAACTTGATATCATGCAATATCACAATGAACCATCATAAAATATAGGTCCATTTTCATTTGGCTTCAGAAAACTTAATTTTCAAAAAGTAATGTAGGGCCGGGGTATGAATCAACCTTTGGTGACAGTTCTAGTTAAATAAGTCGGCTATTGTTTGAAATGTTTAAAGCAGCACTTATAGTTTTTTTTTGTACCTTCGAAAATTGAAACCTGTATTAAATATCTTGCCTTGGATGATTTTTTAAAAATACTTTATCATTACAATTTGCAATAATTTTTTTTGCTACTTTTAATAGCAATTGGAAGATAATCTTTGAAGGTCTGATGTATACTTCCACGAGTGTCTGATATCAGTATAAAAAACATGAAGCTGGGACTTCTGTCCCAGGTCGTTGTTATTCTGTACCAGCATGAAGTTACGACACTACTGAGGTAAAATATTCTCTTAATTATATCAAAACTACTACATGTTCAACAGTTAAATGTCTGCAGTTGGAATGTTGTTTATCTGTTTTACTCCTTTAAAGGGCATTAAATTATATCTAATTAGGTATACTTGTAGAAAATTTATAAACGGTAAAATTATGATGTTTCCGTAATCTTATGGTTGATAATAAACATGTTGCAAGATGATATAAAAATGTTCCTTGTGAATTTTGTATTTAAAATGTGTTCCGGAACAAAATATTATGATTTTACTTTAAATTAAATTTGATATAGAAGTTAGGGTTTTACCGTGCATAGCCTTATACACTTTAAAATCAACAAAAGACAAATAACTTACTGGATGCAGGCAAGTGTATAAAAGCTGTGTCATGGTTATTACGTATTTAATATAGAACATTATTAATATACAAAAGATAGAATATTATCATGCCTCGTGATTCTCATATGTCTCTCATATGATTCTACAATAAATTATGTTCATAAATAAATGAATAGCTAACTGAAGTTGTTTTTTTAAACGTGACATATTACATAAATATTTTTATTAGTTCATAATATAGACGCTGAAATAAGACTTTTTTCATAACAAGCGTATTATATATATGTTACATGTATGTTACATAAGTGAAGAATGGGAAATGTGACACAGAAAATCACACGGAAATTCTGGGTATTTATATATAATAAGTTTTCATGCTTGGATTGAAAAATATACAATATTTATATGGATTTTAAAGCGTTTTGATCTCTACAACCAAAGTGTCAGTGAGATTCAACCTTTCTTACTATTAAACATTGAGGTCATGCAAATGGTTATGCTAGGTGTATTTAGTTGTTGAACTCGCTCGTTTCCTTGTTACATCGGGAAAATCCGTTGCTTTTGCGATGAGAACTTGTCCAATATAAAAATTGTAATTTAAATGTAAGCATGGCTTAAAATGTAATGACCTCTGAGTGACCAATCACTTTAAATTTATATACAGCTAGTGGTGTAAAAAAAAGAACAACACCGTTTTGCAATACATTTACCTAACTACATATATGAACGTAAATAATTTCATCTTATCAACCTAACCTGTTCATCATGCATTGATCGGTATTTCAATAAAAATTCAAATTACTTCTCTGTTAAATTAGATTAGAAAGTCATGTGTTTAGAATGTGGAAAATCCCCCCTTTTAAAACTAAACCTACATGACGTGGATCTAAATATAAAGCCTTATTATCGCTGCCGAAGACTTAGATTCTGCATTTATTATTGTAAGTACTTTTTATTACATTTTTATTGCAGTCAATTCGTCAAAACAGATAATTTAACACTGTTTAGTATACATGTGGTCTTAGTCTAAACAATATTAATATTTGTAATTTATTCATTTACATAATAAATTACATCAGAACAAATTTTATACTGATTAAGTTGGAAGATTAAAAAGGCTTTTTTTAAACTGTCCGTATGTTTTTTGTTTTGCTATAAATCACATTTAATGCCAAATTACAATTTTAACATTAAATCACTATATATATTTCTGCTTTTCGTGTTTAAAACCGAAAATACAATTTTAGCGAGCATCTATTTCATTTGCTTTAAGCATTATTTAAGCGTCAGTTGTATACATGTGTGTATATTCGTAATTTGTTACGGAAAATAACGAAATTGCTCCCGAAAATATATGAGTGCCAATAAATAAATAAAGTCTTTATTTACTGAGGCTTCAGTCTTTCATGTTAGCCTCAAAAACAATATTTACAAAACAGACATAAATTTATATTATGGTTTTACATTGAAATTTTCAAAATACATACATAAAAACTGGAAACATATTATATTTCTTTAAAACAACAACAACAACAACAACAACAACAACAAAACAACAACTAAAAAACAAACAATGCATATTCAAAACACAATACAAACATTATGCAAGATCAAGGTACTAACTTGTAAAATTCCAACGGATATAAGAAGCTTGAAATTTTGAAATCGTTTCAATTTTACGAACGGAAAGAGGGATATCCCGTTTAAGTCAAAGATTTTCAAAAATTTATTTTTTAAGGTTCTGGTACAAATTAAACTGATCGTAAGGTTACGTTCAAATTGAACAAATTGAAACTTGGTTTTCATGTACTTTGGAAATGAAGCATTGTTTAAAAATTTATAAAAAATTATAAATAATGACAGCTTTCTTGTATCTTATTCTTTAATCAAATTTTATCCAATTTAATTCGTTAAATAACTCAGCAGATGAAGCATTATAGTTTTTGTCAAGATTGATTCTTGCAGCTCTTTTCTGAAATTTTATTTCATGTATATCCCAAATCTTTTCATTGCTACAACTCCCCATGTCTTGTCCCCTTGGGTTTTCTATTTAAGAGTGTTGTCAGCATGAACACCTTTTAGAAAATTGAATTTCATGTTCTTGCAGGTGAAGTAGTTGAAATCGTTTAATGTTATTGGATGACAGGTTCATTGCTTTTTTTCTGGACATTTAGCATAACTGCATTTTGTTTGCACCACAGGTTTACATTGTCAAAGTTATTTTGAGTCATGTAAATTTTGTATAGAGAGACCTGATACTGTGCAAGTAGTGTCATCAGCAAAAGATCGGCTTTTAAATAGAGCTGTCGATAGTGTTAGACGGGAATGTCACGTAGAGTTATTTTGTTTGGTTTTACGGCGCACCAACATAGTTAATTAAGGTCATATGGATACGGTCATACAGGGCTAATATTGGGTGTTACAAACTTAAAGCAACGTCCGGCCTCGAATTCACTTAAAAAAGATCACGGTCAAATGATCCTGGTTCTACTCTTAATGTCTTATAAAATTGACCGTATTTTGGTAGAAAATAAATGATACATATTCAAAATGTAAAAGAAATGCTGATTTGCAAAGAAACAAACCTATTTTTTGGGTAGAATCGACGAATATCAAAACAAATACAAAAATAATCGGATCAAAATAAGGATCAATTTAAGGATCAATATCAATATTTGGATCAACTGTAAAATGCCCATACCTTGCAAAACAACAATAAATTTATTTTTAAAGTTCTTCAACATGCTATTTCAAGACCAATTTTATCAAGTTATAAATTAATAATCTAATATGTTTAATCTGTGAGGATAAACGAATAATTTGATCTTGATCTTAAGCCTCATCCTTAAATCTTTCTGAACACGGGGCTAGGGGTGAAAACCACCTCACCTACTGGAGCTAAGAAAGATTATGGAATCCATTAAGTCGCCTCTTACGATCACGCAGGGGTAACCCCTCAGCCACAAGGAGATTCCAGTCAGTATTTTATGAAGCTATAGTATTTAGCCATATAACTGTCAGGTATCCTGAATACGATAAAATAGTCATATTATGTTCGTTAACTAAGGTGATTCCGCATTGCAGCCATGTTTGATTTTTTCACTAAGTGGAGGCACATGACATTAAAGTATGGCAGTTTTCATATAAAGACAAAGCTTCAAATTATCAACTCTTTGCTAAAATAGGCCACTATTCACTAAATACATAAACAGACCGTAAGGTTTTATGCTTATTTCATGAATTGCAAAGTCCAGTTTAAAGTCTCTCACTGTAGTGAAGACAGATGCTTTATTTTTACTTTTACAACAAATACAAAAAACTTGCTAAATTCAACTTTTTGAGATCTTAATAAAGCAGTTCCTCTGATATTAAAAAACGTGGCCGCCATGTTGAGTGTAAGAAAGTAGTGCCAGAAAAATAAATATATTTTATGTATTTATTGTATACATGGCAAACAGACTCACTTCACTTTTATCACTATAAATGTTGAATTTTAAAATTAGATTACTGTTTATATTATTATAATAGTTTCAAAGGTTTCAAAATTTATTGGTTTAGATAGAATTTGTTTTAGTTCGATTGTGTAGGAAGCTATAAGCTTATAGACACACTTTCGAATCCGTTCCTGGAACCAACCAGTACTGAGCAATGAGTGTAAAGTTTCTTGCTCAAGGAAACAACGACTTGCCCCTGACGGGGTTTGAACCCAATCGGCTAGCGATCATTAGTTTACTAGTCCGACGCGTTAACCACGCGGCCATGTCG